GAAGCTTTTCACTTTGATAGTGGCCGATCTAAATTTGCGGGAACCCAAGCCTTCTGTGGACCCGCCTCCTGCCGCTATCATCGATTCCCCGGTATGTGCGATTTCTGATTGGCACGTTGGAATGACTCTCCCTGGATCATCGTCAGTCCTCGCTGTTTCCCGAAAATACAGCTCTACCTGAGGCGAAACAATCGCCCCCTCCTCGCGAGTATAATATGCAAATGGTGTCAAAGAAAGCCTGATCTTCAGCATCAAACCATGCAGACCGATCCCCTGGCCCATATTTTATGCATTATGCGCACAGCAGTTGGTATAAGAGGTAATTTAACTATCGGAGATCAAGAGTCGATCGCAACTGATTTTGTGCAGCTTCGCCACAATTTCCATTTCTACCCAACGAGGTACATAATTTCGCTAGGTATATCTGCACCTACCTTGCCTATATTGTACGATGTACAGCTTTAAATCACAATGATGCAGCTCCAAGTCGATCCACAACACATCTGGAAATTTTCAATGTATAGCGTATTGACAAATGAAAATTTCAAGATCTGTGCGCTTTCGGTAACAATCCAGAACCCCCGGCTATAACTTTGGCCCGAGGATGGAGCTATAATTAAGACACGATCAAGCCATGTCTAGAGCTTCATCGACCCGGCAAATCTTCAAATAGAAGTTCCGTCGCATCATATTCTTCAAGACCCAATGGAATTGACGGTGTTGGTCATTAGATATTCAATGTTTATACAACACAAATATGCCCTTTCGGGTGGCAACAAAGTCATTATCGGAGATGTTACAGTGTGTAAAGTCAGGAAATGTTTCAGAACGGAGTTAACTGCGTCTCACCCCACTCTTGTACCGCTCCACTAAGGATATGTTTTTTTCGATCGCTTAGAATCCTATCAGAAAACTTGGTTCATTATGTATACTACGGAGTAATATTCTACCTCTTCGACTATGGAGCATGGCCGCGTTGTCATGTAGCGAAACCTGCGTCTACAAAATTGCAAAAACAAAAAACCGACACACGCAGGCCTTGATACATACCCATGCTCATTACGCCACAAATATAGATACCGCGAAACATCAAACTAGGGCCAGCTCTGTGCTGTCCTAAACAGCCACTTGTCATATTACAAAAGACACATGTGTATAAAGTACCCCGTATGGTGATTTCTGTCTCATGGCATTCAACTCACATTCCCATCCTGTCGGCCCTAGGAGGCCGACAGGCTGGCCACGCACCGGAATGCGTGGAACGCTCAGCAACGGGTGTGTGCCTATCTAGGGGTCGCGAATGGCCACATTCTCTATAACACCAGACCATTGTCAAAAAGTAAACAGGCACAATTCACTCCCCCGACCACTCTGGGGTATGTGTTTATATCCTAATCCGGATTATCATGGTCGTGCACGCTAGGGCTGCAATGCGAAGATTCTCGTGGTCTCCAAGACTAATTGATGATCTCATAAACAAGGATCCATTCTTGTTTCGAACTGATGCAAAAACGTCTGAGGGGATTTGACTTGGCCTATGTTGTAACGCTTCGGCCTAAATACTAATCTCTAATTGCATTAAATGAACAGTCGGTTCGTTCCCACTTTTCTATTTTTTCCCTCCCGGATATAATTAGTCGGCAAGTTGAAATAATATAATCCCAAGTCACTAACGCGAGCACATGAATCTTCCATGTAATCTCGCCATTTAGCTAAACAATTCTCTAACATAAGATCACACCGATATGTCATGACTATATCGATCTATTTATGCTTAATCCTCTGGGTTACTAGTTGTCGGAACTTTCATGTAAAAGTTGTCGTATTGTATTACGAAGCTACCATGGACCTTCAATTTCGGTCCACGGGTGTTCTTGCGGATAGTTCCTACAGCGGAGTATATTGCATCCAATAGTGTGACTTTTCACTATAAATCCAACCTTGGGAGGTACAATCCTCTTCATAGGTACTTTTTCCGTAGACATATCGTAAGAACTGATTTGCTGGCGGGTACCATGGAGTGAAGCTTGGATATTTATAGCGACAGTCTAATTTAACAATGAGAATACCAGGAATTTTATTGGTTCAATCAACCCTTGGATTCGATTCTAGTATGTAATATATATGTAGATTGAGAAATAAATTTTCTCGGTTTTCATCAACGTAAAAATAAAGACTGCTCGCAATATAGAACTAACTAAATGGTAAAACCATCAATAAGTATTAATAGCACCATGCATTCAGCATGTTGCGTACCATGTCCATCACGCATTCAATTACCTTCATATTCTAGGTTAAATCATAATGTAATGAGCACATCACGCTCGTTGAGTGAATATTGATTTCCAAGAAGCTCGAGCCGCGAGTCTACCATGGAAGACTTTATATATCATCGCTCGGCACCAAATTTTGCTTCCATGCGATACGCACGCAGGGCCTTGTTACCAATGTCCAGCAAGGGGTATTTTACAGTATACGGGACTGCAACAGCTGTCATAGTAGTCGGCGCTTGTCACGGCAGCACAGGACAGTCACAGCAATGGGGAGCGTCGATATATGCTGCAGACGATCCACTATGGCTGAATATACTAATTCGAGACTGATAATCAGATTCTGAGAAGTTCTTAGGTCTGCATCCGTAGAGACAAGTGGAATAAATGTGAAATTCAATGTAAATTCTACTCTTGTAAGATTCGACATAACTTATGTATAAGTCATGACGCACAACCCCGGGTCAAAATGATAATTATAGCAACTATGCAATAGGGTGTATAACCTTGTCTTCCATGGGCGCGTGTAGTTTTGGTGTGAAAGTAAATTTTTGGAGGGGTTTGGAAGTCTCTTCACGAGGAAGATATATATATATCTCGTTGTGTTGACCGGAGATATTGAAGAGCATATATATTTGAATATATGTGATAAACAGAGGGAAAGTGGTATACTTAAAAGCACACACGAGAAAAATGAAATCAATTCTCATACCGAGAATCGACGCTCAATGATAGAAGTTTGCGTGTCTGTCTGCCCAGCTGCCATTGAAGAGCCGTCATTATGCTTGGCACTCGTGGGGTAGCGCGGCCAATCTCCAACTCCGCACCTCCGCAAACCCCAGCTTCCCCTATAACCTGTTCGAGACTTCCCCAGAGCTGGTACATAGGTCATTGGAAACGGGGTGTCTCATATATTATTCAAGAATGTCACTCAGACGCTCAGCCCGACTGGGTTCCATTCCAACCACCAAGGCACCACTACTCCAAAGCGCAGCTCCGAGCGAAGCAACCAGAGTCCAACGCAGCGCAGTGACAAAACCCCGCAAGGCACCCACAAAGTCCAACAAATCAGATAGAAAGTCCACGAAGACGAAACCAAAAACAGGAGCCTCATATTGGTCCCCCGAGCCAGCAGTCGCAGAGAAACAAGAAACAGACAACCAGCCCTCGACCACTAACCCCACGATATTCAGACCTCAGACACCTCCTCCCCTCGACCGCCCCGTCGACCCGCATCGAACAAACGCAACCCTCATCACCCCTCATGGCTCGACGGTAAACGCCTACCCAGCCCACGTGGAAGATGCCTCCCCCTCAAAAACCGGCCTTCCACGGCCAATAGCCACAACAGGGACATTACTCGAGAAAGCTGTCGCGCACCTCATAGCAACAGATCCCCGCATCGCAACAGTGATTGAGCAGCATCCATGTCCGCTCTTCTCGGCTGCCGGTTTAGCCGAGGAAATCGACCCATTCAACAGCCTGACCAGCAGTATCATCGGCCAGCAAGTCTCCGGCGCGGCAGCAAAGTCTATCAAGAACAAGTTTTTGAAGCTGTTTGATTTACCTGATACTGTTGCGCCGGATGGACATAGACATGCTAAGTTCCCGACCCCGGATCAGGTCGCTAAGTGTGATATTCCCACACTGCGCACCGCGGGGCTTGTCGCAGCGCAAGGCGGAGTATATCCAGGGCCTTGCGGAAAAGTTTGCTAGTGGAGAGCTCGGGGCAAGGATGTTGGCACGGGCTACTGATGAGGAGCTTTTTGAGAAGCTTATTGCTGTCCGTGGATTAGGGAAGTGGTCAGTTGAGATGTTTGCTATGTTTGCGCTCAAGCGCATTGATGTGTTTTCTACTGGGGATTTGGGAGTACAGTAAGTTCATATCTTGTTTGTGTTCTACGAAAATCCTTTGTCTTCCGGCTGGGATGGAGAGTGTGGTGGTTCAGAGGTTTATTGACACAGTAGTAGACGAGGTTGTGCTGCCTTTGTGGGTCGTGATGTGAGCAAACTCAAGGGCAAGGGTGGTGGTAAGTTCAAATATATGGCTGAAAAGGATATGCTGGAACTTGCTGCCAAGTTTGCACCATATAGGTATGTCTTACCCTGTTGATGATGTAGACAACGTGCTTACCTCCATAATCTAGGAGTCTGTTTATGTGGTATATGTGGAGGATTGAGGACGTTGATGTGGCTGTTCTTGGTGGTTAAAAGACGTAGATGTCAGTGAATCAGGCTGTCTTGACACTGTGTGGTTCACCGGACATAGAGAATTTGAGATCTGTAGTATAGATTTTACCTTAATGCATATAGTCAATGGTTAATAGTGAATTGTGGCTCTTCCTTTGTGGACATGAGAAAAGGGGAATAATTGAAGATGATATACATGCAGCTAGATGAGGTTGGGCGCCTGACGCCCAAACACACCAGGCACCGCAACCTGCATAGGCTACGCTACCTCGAACCACTCCAGTAATTACTAAATGTTATGAATACAGCAAGAGGTGCAAGACCCACTTGTCGATTACAAGATTGACCATAGGTATAAGCGCGCGAAGAAAATCGATTTGTACAGTATCAGTACACTCAGGCTGCGTAACCAAGCCATGGGCCGCCGACGACGACGCCCATTCCATTACGAAGAAAGCACACCAGGCGTTTATTCCATGTCAACAACAATGCTACCCAACCCCCTGTTTTCATATTCTATTGAACCAAGCAGCAAACGGCTTACTTGCGGACAACAAGGTTGTCAAGGTCAGCACGCTCCTTAGCCTCCTTCTCGATCTCGCGGATGATGGGGCTAAGGTACTCGACGTCCTATTTGATTCACATCGTTAGCATTGTGTTTGTTGTGGTGAGTGGATGCTCCAAAACGGAGTCTGGATGAATGTGACAAATCCATGCAACAGGATTGGCCGATATGGAGACCAATGCGGGGAGGGCGAAATTTGGATGTTGGGGACTCACCTCCTCGGGCTTGATCTGCTCGTTGGCGGGAAGGAGAGTGTGGGAGATGGAGCACTGCAATTGACACATTTGTTAGGTTCTGCGCCAGTCGGATACAAAGGAAGGGGGTCGGTCGAACCTGGAAAGCACGGCGAATACGGAAGACACGGTCGTAGGCCTCCTTGGCGGGAAGACGCTTGATGGCCTTCTGGACGTTCTCACTCTCCTCAGGGATCAAGTCATCGAACCTAGTTGGGCAATTAGCAAGTGTTTCGGTCCAACCCTGCCGCGAACGATATCGGGAAGACCGGGCCTCCGGGCAAATTCGACACAACTGCGATCGCATTCAAAAGGATATGCCACCGGTGCGCGACGAATTTGACCAGCCAATTCCCAATCTGGGTCTCAATCGCTCATGGTCGGGGGGTTGTCGATGTGGGAGGGCAAGATTTACTTGAGTCCGAGTCTCCTGTAGCCGGCGGCATCGGTGTACCAGTGGGAGAGAGGGGTGAGCCAGCTCTTGAGCCATGGGCGCTTGACGATGTAACTGGCGAGCGAAGGGGCAGACATTTTGAATCCCGGGTATCCCAATTGACGTGGGTGTGGTGAAGGGTTGGTAAGGCTATCCGACTGGAACACGAGATGACCCGATGTTGCGAGGTTGTGCAAAACGGAGCTCGGGAGGCTAGTCCCGAAACGGCATCCCTACGCCTGAGGCCAATACACGTGATATACATATGCCTCAGGCGGTCTAGAAACTGGGAATGTCAAACGGCGCACTCCACCTAACGGATGGGTTTCCTATGTCATATCCCCTTTTCGATCTTATCGCTTGCTTTGACAGAGGTGGGATTTGCTAAGCCTCGAAGCAACAACTAATCCCTGCTTACACTGGGAAGCTTGTTTGTTCTGAAAACCCCGCCCACGTCCGTGCTGCAAGATAATAGAACATTGCGGATTCAACGCAATCAGACCGGGTTCGGCAACCATCGGCCCCGAAAACTCTCTCTCACTCCTCCGTCAATACTCACACCTTCTTCCTTACACTATCTACGGACTTCGGAATTTGCACTTTGGATATTCGGATAAATCTACATTTCTTTCCCAGCTCGGTTTGAAATAGGGTTCTTGGGTTCCGGATCGAGCACCCGATATGCTCGTGTCCGGGAGCCCTCGTTGATTCAGTACGGTTCGATAAGCTGCGTGAGCGCCGGCCACCAAGATGACTACAAACGGCCGAAGCGCTCCGAACAGCTCCCAAAACCAAACTCGGTCAATCCATGTCGATGCTCCCCATGTGCCCGCCGCACCGAGCTCTGATTTCAAAGCACGCCTCGAGATCTTTTCCACCAAGATACCCAACTTTTACATAGCACCTTTCTGCGGAGCCAGCGCTGGCGTGGCCTCTGGTATTGTCACCTGTCCTCTTGATGTTATCAAAACGAAGCTCCAAGCCCAGGGTGGGTTTCGGCGGGGAGCAAAAGAAGTTGCCTCGGGGGTGCTGTATCGTGGCATGCTCGGAAGTGGGAGGAGGATTTGGCGAGAAGATGGCGTTCGTGGTCTCTACCAGGGTCTAGGCCCAATGTTACTGGGATATCTTCCCACCTGGGCTGTTTATCTAGCAGTCTATGACCGGACTCGTGAATACTTCTATGACCAGACAGGTAAGTACCTCCAGAATAGAGGATTCGGTCATTCATCAATACTGACTAAATTATAGGAAGCTGGTGGTTATCCCGTGGCTATGCATCAATTACAGCTGGTGCCTGTTCAACTGTTGTGACGAACCCTATCTGGGTGATCAAGACCAGGCTCATGTCACAAAGCCTTAAACAAAGCAGCGAAGGAGTGCGAGCCCCTTGGCAATACTCAGGAACATGGGATGCTGCTCGCAAGATGTATCAAATTGAGGGCCTTCGCTCCTTCTACTCTGGTCTCACCCCGGCTCTGCTGGGACTGACTCATGTGGCCATTCAATTCCCCCTCTACGAGTACTTAAAGATGGCATTGACAGGCTATAGTATTGGTGAACACCCCGATACCGGTAGCTCACACTGGGTGGGAATATCTGTCGCTACTTTCCTCAGCAAGATCTGTGCAAGCACAGTCACATACCCGCATGAGGTCTTGCGGACCCGACTTCAAACACAGCAACGGACTATTCCGGCACAATCTCACGAAGAGATTGCATTCCGCGGCGGATTGAAACATCCACATGACCGCGGCCGGTCGGGCGGCATATCTTCGTCAGACGGAATGCCTAGCCGCCCACGCTATAATGGCATGGTGCGCACGTTCCAGACAATCCTCAAGGAAGAGGGATGGCGTGCGTTTTATTCCGGGATCGGCGTCAATCTGTTCCGGGCCGTCCCGGCCGCCATGACTACCATGCTCACCTACGAATACCTGCGTAAGCAGATCAATACCTTACAGCATGAAGGTGCACTGAGGATCCAGATGGAAGAAGAAGCTGGGAGATCTATTTGACACCCCCCGATATATCAACACACAAGAGACTATCTCCAATCTCCAACCTCCTCCCTTCATATCCGCTTTTAAAACACCGCATCCCACTGCTTCTGTCCGCCAAGTCCCTCCTTTTCTTTTTTCACAACCTGTATAGACATGGACGGAGCGGTCTATTGCCCGATATTTGCAGATCAATCTTTAGCGAGTAAATTTTGGCTACTGCATTCTGAAAGCATACGAGGGTCTCGGCATAGATGACAGTGTTCTCCAGACTTTATGGCCCTGACATGTGAAACAGCTTTCACGTGTCTTCACATGCTCGCTGCATTTTAGCTGAAAGATTATTGTGCTTTAAAGCATGGCTTTTCTTTTCTTATTTGCTTTTCAAACTTGTCTACTATCTTCCTGGTTTCTGCATGTCTTTTTCTGTATATACATCACCTATCCTGCATGCTTGCCCACTCTCGTGAATATACATCCTCAAATAAAGCAATGGCTCTTATCTCTGATTTTGGGAGATGAACGACATATTTCAATTGAAACCCACTAGGCGATAATAGATGGGAGATTCTATCTCGACCATTGTGAAGCGTCTGGTATGAATGAAATCCAAGAGACCTCCAGACCACCATATCTCTTTGGGTTCCACCTCCTTTGTATTAGTGTTGTATTCAAACCTGTGGCTATTTCAACTTTGTGATGAGCTGAAAGTAGCGAGGATGCATTTGCAAATGGCAGATTGATGTCGACTTTCGTGTCGAGCCTGACAATTCTCACAACGGAAAAAACCCATATGAAGAAACTCCCCTGCCTCCTTGGTCACCTTAACGAGTGTTTCATAGTCTTGACGAAGGTATTATCGAAAGCCAACCATTTCCTTTTTCGTTATTTTCGAAATAATGAGAGATCCAAGTTGACCGTGATTTTCGAGAAGCTCGAGAATTTTATTGTGGCGGCCAAGTACATAGAGGTGGTCAGAAATGACATCCGCGAGAAGACCGAGAAGACTGGGGTCATGAGGCATTCATTGATGTCATAATCTGGAGAGCGATTTTGGGGAACAGTGGTGTCATGTAGCGGTCTCTGACCCAGATAGAAAGCTTGGTCAAAGCAAGCTCCTTGAGAGGAAAGATGCCAAATTTGTCAGCCACAAGGTAGACAGAGAGGTTGTTATAAGCAGTGGTCTTTCTGTGCTCAGGCTCGTTTGTTGGGTTCTCAGGGTTGCCTGGCGCATTGCTTCTTGGCTTCACATATTGGTCATCATAAGTCTGCTGGTAGAGAAAGCAGAGGACTCGTACGATGGTCTCTGGGTCGTCGTCGGGTAGGTTGATAGTCCCGCTGATGGATTCCTTGAAAAAGTATATCTAAGCAACTGAAACTATTGGACACTGAGCATTTTACCTTAAAGCCACGCTTAAGAGCGGCATCGAAAAAACAAGATTGTGTGCAAAGAAGGGCACGGTGTGCCTTGAAAGTCACCTCCTGGCAGGCAATAGTCATATTCGAGAACCGATCCTCCATAAAGTCGACCCACTGCCTTGCAAAACAAGGAGGGGTTTATGGTCGATGCCATATTGAAAGGGAATGTTTAAAAGGACAACTCTGTCACCGAAGGACAAACCCGCTATACGCCATATATGACACGACCCTCCCTATAGATTAAATAAAAAGCACAACTTTTACACTAGAGTTAAAGTGGCGGACTTTAAAGTCTAGCTTTGAACTTGACGCTGATAGATGTTGTCAGGCCGAAAGTAGAGTGGTTGTACAAACATATGGGGCAACCACGTGACACACTATTTAAATTTGCCGCAATTATTTTTTCCCTCCTTCCCTTCCCACTTCTCCATTCACACTTTTTTTCTTCGACAATCATCGATTTGTACATGTTTCTCAAGTGTTTAATGTTAGCACTTTGAAGATCAATCCTACATCGGTCATATATCAATCTCAGATCAACAGATGTCGATTTTGATCAGGATCACTTGCTAACCTAACTTGCATTCAACCAATTATGTATGCCATTGGCTTTGTGCCCGTTTGGTATATTCAAAGGCACCTAGATGTGCCTGTATAGTCTCATCACCTGTGTTTATTCTTCCGCACCCTGCAATTCCGTTGGCTACACACATCCCTTCTCTATTCGCATGATGAACAATTTCAAGATTGAACTGGGTTGTCAACACACTTAGACTCCCGGTGCATGATCATTCATACACTGAAAATTCTGATTGAATATGAAGATGCGGATGTTATTTCCAGTTTGAATCTGGTTTATTCCCACCTATATAGCAACAAAGAGCCCCAATGAACAAAGAATTCTACATGTTGGTATCACAAGCTTTTATCAAACACTGCCGTAGTGGATTCAATCTATCATACATGTACAAAAGCACCTTTCAACATGGGTACACCTCAAGGCCGTCCCTTCCCACCATTCTGCGCTCGACTCTCATCAAGTGCTTGTTGAACCCAAGACTCGTCCTTCCTCTCAAGTGGCGTGGCTCGCTGATAAGAACCGGAGCCCGGAGCTTGGGTCTGGGCATCTCGCCGCGCAGTGCGGATAGAGCTAATACAGTATGAACAAAGGAGGACAGCCATTGTAAAAGCTGCAATAGGAGCATTGAGAGACTGGATCAAGATTAGTATTGGAAGATCAATATAGAAAATAGACGGAAAATTGGACAGTATGGCTAATAAATTAAGTGGGCTGATAGTGTTTAGATTGGTATCTGCAATGCAGTGTACATACTCCTTTTGGCTTGCCTAATGCTTTGGGGTCCGGCTTTTGTTGGGCCATTGCGTTCACGGGTATGTTGTGCTTGACTTTGATGTAGGCTTGAGCTATCCTCAGGCTCACCTTTCCGGCCAAACTTGTTTAAAGGAGTGTCGTGTCACTCTTAGGAATGGCACAATTGACCAACTTTGAGAAGAAGAAAAAAAAATATCTATATGCGAAAGAGGCAAGGGATGGATGTTCACGGTGATGGTAAATGAATAATGGTGGTGGTGGTGCCCAGGCAGAGGCGGAGAGAGGCGAACCTGCGAAGAGCGGCCAAAGGTTGAATGCCTGATTTTGTAGGGTTTATGCCTGAATATGCCTGATTTGCTGGAGGGTTTAATAAGCAAAGCATGTCCCCGGGGCCCGAGGTCCACCCGTGGACGGGTACCTAAGTTCAAAATGAAGCTATTCCCCCCATACAAATCCACGTATACACCCATTTCTAGGTGTTGAAGCTGTTACGACCGGCCAAATTTCTAATGCTATTAATAATATCATACTTAGCGAGTTCCTTCGAGAGCTTAATAAGGATAATATAGTGGACAAAGAGCTCTAGATGTTTTTGCTTTGTCTAGAATAGATTGTTATAAATAGGTTTTACTGTAAACATAACTGGCTAATTTAAAACCCGAAGCTTAAAACCCAGCCTGAAACCCACATTGTTCCGTTTTCCGAACACCGAGATGGAGCCAAACAATTTCTGACCTTACCGAACACCGAACCCCGAGAAATTGATCTGATTGTAGGCTGAGGGATTATTCTACTTTTCCGATAGAGGGAGAATAGAGTCTAAGTATATGCAAGGTGGTAGACGTGGGCCTTTGAACAAGCCGATCCAGCTCACCCAAAATCTCCGGTTTAACTAGCCGTATTATTATTTTAAACTCTCTTCATGAACAGGATATAAGGCTACTCTGCCTAACCATTCAAAAGTGATTTGGAAAGCTTGGAAAGCTCGGTAAGATCCTTAATTATCGTCGCGCTATGCACAGCGATATGAGCGATACTGAGTCCATTGAAGATAGTAACGACAGCGATTGCGAGGAATGGTTGGTTAAGCTTCTATACCTCAATTTACAAGTGTTTTAATATGGCCTTGCAGTACTCACATACCGAACGATGCGACCTACACAATGTTCCACTTGGCTCGTCCCGCTCCGGCAAAGACCAGCCAAAAGCTTCACCTCCGACCAAAATATATATTGCAAGTCCAACGGGTCAGCTGCAACGCTCATGCAATGCCTGTCCTCGAACTCTGGCGTCCAGGTGTCTTCAATTACGGCGTTGTCAAAAATTCTATCCCGGAAGCCAAGTTACGTATGAACGATATCTACGTGTGCCAGCACACGGATTATCCTTTACTTGACTCAGATGTTGCGGATCAGGAGGATGATGTGTTCGCTGTTATTCGAAAGTGCAAGTCGAGACACAAGGGAAACAGTACTGGTATAATCAATTTTCGAGGAGATCATTTGGTGAAAGTACAGTCTATTGAAGGCCATTACCAATGTACTTGGGAAGACGCCAACAGGGGCCCTATGAAAATGAAGGCTTGTATTCCTTATGGGGATGGAACTGGGTCTTGGTTTACAATATCTGACTCCACTGGAGTACAAGTAACACTGGGTCGTATGGAAGACAGGGTTATCTCATTATTCCAACAGAAGGAATGTCCAGAAAGCGAGGGAAGTTTACGATCCTCGTTAAATGTTGTTATTCTCCATGTATTGGCAGCATTGATTGAAATAGATAATGCAGGTATTTGGTAGATTGGCCAGGTCTGTCTACGTGTATGTCAGTAAGTCCTCATTCCTTCACCAATTTCACCATTTGTTCCGGCTATTATCTCGACGTTGTCGAGCCCAAATATCACCAGTGACTTGCATTTTCAACAATGGATAAAGATGTTGTTCAGGGGGGTTATACTGGGTTTCGTGAATAACTCTCCTGGAAGGTCTTGTAGAGGGATAGTTTCAGTTTAAAATATAATAGAGGGGTGGAAAGCGGTCTATGATTCAGGCACCCATTTGGTGTCGGATTGGTCTGTATTGTAAATGTAGGGGTCCAATCAGTGGTATTCAACTCTCTGTATTTCTGTATCGGCTCTTGGTACAATTTATATGGAGCCATGATTATATAACATTAATTACAAAAATGTGTAGGATTAATAAATCCCCCGGTATGCCGGTCGTCATGCTCCGACACACCCCCTCAGCTATCCCAGTATGGGATTGCTGGACTTGTTAGATCGGCATATTGATCTCCATGGTTTAATTGACTAGGCCATTAGATAGCCTATGTCCACCATCCTGAGCATCCTTAGGAAGCTCTCATGCTTCTGGCGAGATAGCATCTTTGTGAGTCCATCTGCAACCATGCTCGCCGTCGGCACCCATCGCACCATTATGCGTCCTTCTCTAACCTCTTGCCGAAGCCAATGATGATGAATATCGATATGCCGAAGCTTCGTTTCGAAGGCAGTGTCCTCACTAGTAAGTAGGCTGATCGTTCTCTCGTTGTCGCAGTCGATCGTCATATTGTGGGAGGGTTCAAAACCGAGGCTTTTTAGTAGTCGACGCTACCATTGAAGTTGCTTCCCTGTCTCTGATAGGCCTAGCAGCTCTGCTTCAGTGGTTGACGTTGTTACGGTAGGTTGCTTGCTCGCTTTCCAGTCAACTGGTCTACTATAAGCTTGACAGATGTAGCCTACAGAGCTCTTTCGATCTGGGTGATCTCCGTATAAAGTATCGCTTGCGAACTGTATAGAATCGATTCCAGTGCTTACTGCGTCTGCACTATATTCAATAGCTAGGTTCCGGGTAGTATATAGGTAACTGATGACCCGGTCAGCTGCTTAGTGGTACTGGGGCCCTGGATTCGTTAAGAACTGAGCTAGTCGAGCGGTGGCCTTTACAGCATCTGGCCTAGTGATAGTGGTGGCATAGCCTACGGATCTAACCTTCTTTTGATAGAGAAGGATCTCCTTCGGGGTGGCTACGCCTTGGTAAGGCGTCAATTCGTCAACTGGTAGTGGCGTATAGACAGATAGTCGATCTGTCAAATTGTAGCGGGTAGTAATGCTTGTTATATAGCTATCTTGATATAGCCAGAGCTTCTTCTGCTTCCTATCGCGAATGATTCGGATATTGAGAAACTATAATACTTCTCCATGATCTGTCAGCTCCCAGTAGGCTTCTAGATCTCGCTCCAATTGCATAGCTCTTGCCTTAGCATTTACATAGCTAGCAATTAAGATATTATCTATATAGAAGAAGACTATTAGCCCTTCTCCGACGAAGACATAAGGGTCTTCTGGTGCTTATTACAGACCTAGTTTTCGGAGTATACTAGCTGCTTCTTGTTACTAAAGACGTGGCGAGATCCGTAAGCCGTATAATGCTCGACGAAGCTTCCAGCATTTACCTAGGGACTGGAACCCTTCTGGTATCTGCGTATATGTCGGTTTCTCTTAGCTTAGCTTACTATTCAGAAATGCAGTAACAGCATCTCGCTAACGGAGGTCTAGGTTAAAGGCAGCGACTAGTGCAAAGATTATTCTTGCTGTTCTTGCTGCTAGCGTAGCAGCTCTCTTTTCTTTATAGGTAATCGTCTCAAGATCCCCACGAACACAGATTCGAGCCTTCAATTTCAAAAGGTAACCGTCCTAGTCGAATTTGTATACAAAAACCTATAGTAAGGGAAGGATTTGTATCCCTCGATCCTTTAGCTTTTCAATAACTTCGAATATCTCTTTTTTAGATAGAGAGTGGATCTCTTTCTTCATTGCTACGAGAAAACCTTACTAAAAAGGATAATTTATGATATCCTTCCAGTACTTGGGTGGTGGTGGGAGATCATCTCGATAGCGGCGAGCGTTTAGTTTCTCGGCGTATAGACCAGCTACAAATACATATAGTAGAGCCGGTGGCTCTTCTTCGTCAATACCCTGTACTATAGTGGTTGTATATACAAAATCGTTATCTTATTTTGCTTTGCGTATTCGACGTCCACTTAGTATGTTGCTGGCATCTATATTGCTGGAGATCTCTCTGCTTAGTACTAGCAGTTCTGCCTGGAGCTGTCTTTCTAGCTTATTTTCTACCTCTCTATTGGGTTCTTTATTAGGTTCTCCATTAGCTTCTTTATTAGCTTCTTTATAGGCTTCTTTATAGGCCTGATCTTCACTGAGCAGTTAATCATCTAGATCATGCGTATCCACCCCCTAATCAGGGCCAGTTTCCACCCCTTGCTGTAAGCCAGTTTCTTTATTTAGTAGGGTTAATAGTGATGGATCTTGATCCTTTTGTATGTCCTAGATCTTACCGGCTTCTTTTCTGACCGAGGTCAGAAGTATAGGTAGTAGGCTTATTGGGGTAGGCATTAATACCTACCTACTCACCCCCTGAAGTGGGGTGATCTCTCGGTAGTCAACCTCACTTAGCTAAATATCTTATAAAGTATCTAGTAGAGTATCTGGTAGAGCATCTGGAAGAGCATCTAGAAGAGCATCTGGTAGAGCATCTGGAAGAGCATCTAGTAGAGTATCGTCGGTTTCATCTTATCGGTTTTAATACTCACTTTCCGGCGTACTAGTTGCTTCCTAGCTAGCGATCTGATGGTTAATAATTTACGCCACTTCGTCGGGCGTAATCTCTTCTGGCTCTCTCACTAATAGTAGTGGAATAGGCTAAGATTTCTCATAGTCCGGCGAGTATTTACGTGCTTCATCAATAACTACATCTCGTATATACCTCACTTTCCCACTGTATAGAAACCAGATTTTGTAGATATTAGATACCAAGTATCCGACTAGGAAGCCGACCTCTACTCTTAGATTCATCTTATCTGACTGAACCTACTTCTTAATACGACAGTACGCCAAGCTTCTATATAATCTAACATTTGCTAGATTGATCTTTGGGGCTGTTAGAGCAAATTCTCTTCTTACTTCTTCCCATAGTATTAACCACTTGTTCTCAGAAGCAATATATATAGGGGTACGATTTAATAACCACACTGCAGCGCTTACAAATTCAGGCCATAGGTCTTTCGGAAGCTTGCCTTCAAGAGAGAGTATACGCATACAGGTAATAATTATCCCGCCAGATCTCTCGGTATACCCATTCATCTCTGAGTGGCCGGGTGGAGTATGATATATCAAGATACCATCGCTTGTCAAACTGTACTCCGCTGTTTTGCCTACTGCAGCTTCATTGTCATAATGAAATGCCTTGATAGGTAGATTCCACTAATTCCTTACTAGCTGTACGAACTGGTTGATCGCCAGCTGGCATTCAGGCTTCACTTCATATATCATTATCTAATAGAATCGTACTCCTTCCATATAGAAATGAGATATCCATCGGTGTCTATTGTATACTAGCGGCAGTTGTATGAGATTAAAGTAGATCCTTCCAAATCGTCCAAAAGTACGTCCTACTAGCCGGCGAGAGATCTGTTTTAGTGCTCTCCCAATATAATAGGTTTAGCATAATAAAGCTTCTTCTTACTCTGCTTCCTAGAGGACTATACCATCTACTATAGTAGCAAGCTTAGCTACGGCACGGGGCTCAATATAAGCAAGTCTTCGGTGCCAGACGTCGGGGGATGCCTCTGATTTCTGCGGCTTTATTGACGTTCTTGATACTCTTAGTACCGGTACTAGTGAGCTTACGCTTACGGTATATGCTTGTTGCGGTAGAACCTCTCCTAATTCATCGAAAATCCAGAGGTTAAACTGGTCCTATAGATATACATTGACAACAGGTAGATCCTTTGGATCTCGGATACAGTTTGTACGTTAACACCAGGTGCCCCCCTTCTTCTTTAGCATCGCGTACGACACTAGATTTGTATAGAAGCTAGGCGAGTAGAGAGCATCACTCAATATGATTTCTATTCTCCCTTTCTGTAGATACTTGCCGACTAGTCGAACTTTACCTCTCCCTAGCACCTGCGTAATACTATCACCAGTTATCAAATCTATAACTTCCGGCGTAAAATTAATAAACAGTGCTCTGTTATTGCATATATATGAACTGGACCCAGTATCAAGAATCTATCGATTACGGAGAGAGAGCTCGCCAGTCTTTGCAGCTAAGAGTATATACTTGCCAATCTATATAGCTTCACTTAGTAGCTTGCCTTAGTGCTTGCCCTGGGGCTTGCCCTGAGGCTTACTCTGAGGCCTGCTCTGAGGCTTACTCTAGTAGGTGGTGGCGAAGCTAACGTGGTTTGCAGATTCATGATACTTTGATTTAGCTTCATTAACAGCTTTGTCGACCTATTACTTCCACCCTAGATCATTTGCTAGCTTCTTTCTAGCTCTCTCTAGCTTCCCTTCGTCTAGGGTATATCCTTCTGGGCGTATAGCTTCATTCATAAGCCAGCAGTTAGCCACCTTATGGTATGGATGACCATTGCCACATAGACATTTTCTCTTCTCGAATAGAAGCTTCTCTTGCTTCGCTTCCGGCTTTACTTCTCGATGACCTTGCCAGGTTGAAAAAGCACTTTTTGGAGCATTAGTTGAGGTCACAGTTTTGACGCCTATCTCCCGATTTATTGCACGGAATGATTTAAGAAGATCTCGAGTGTTATATTTCTTCTTATCTATAACAATCTCTTAGTATTTTCCTTACCACCAGATTGGCAGTACCTCTTTAACTGCATGTAGGAAGTCTCGATTAGAATCTGCATCGCTAATACCGAGGCTAATAGCTTACTCTCTTAGTAAATTCCACTTTTGAAGCTACTGCTCAATATCACCGGTTAGTTTCTGCATGGCAAAGACCTTCCAATTCATACGGATTTCTTCTTCGTACGCCGTTGACCGAGCAAATCTAGTCTTTAGGTATACAAGCCTCTTATACGGAGTACGATATGTGATCAGAGCAAGGTGATACATTGGGTCGAGGTAGGTAAGGATATACTCGTTGACATCACTTAGTCCTTTTACTTGCTTCTCCCACTTCGTGTACTTCATTTTATACACGTCCATTCGATCTCGCCAAATCCTTCGATCCTTGTCATCGCCGTCCTCTGGGTATTCCGGTTCCACCGGTTCTTAGAGAGGTATAGATCTTATTGCTTGGGATTCGGTTGTCGTCGGGGGATCTGGGTTGCAAAGGTCCCATACGTTCTTTTGCATGGCATATAGCTGCACTTTTGCAAACCAAGTGAGCCACTGCGGCGAGTCCTTCAGTTTTTCGCCCTTCATAGCGGAGAGAATTGATGCTGCCTCCATTGCTGGATTCAGGGGTAGCTGGGAATAGCTTCACAATTGCTAATTCAGGGGTAGCTAGGAGGTTTCAAGGGGTAGAAAGCAGGCTTCTAGTAGTGTACTAGATACTATATCTCAAATAGTAATGCTTTCTTCGATGCGAACCGGGCTCATAACTGTCGGATTGGTCTGTATTGTAAATGTAGGGGTCCAATCAGTGGTATTCAACTCTCTGTATTTCTGTATCGGCTCTTGGTACAATTTATATGGAGCCATGATTACATAACATTAATTACAAAAATGTGTAGGATTAATAAATCCCCCGGTATGCCGGTCGTCATGCTCCGACATTTGGCCTTGGACGCACGGACCGCCATGGAGAGATACTTGAGAGGTCCCTTATCGCGAGTCTCAATCGCGATAAGGTTAGATTAGTCGTACTTGATCGATGCCGACGTTCTTAGGCCGTCGACACACTCTTACCATAATAACACACATGGCTTCTTCTGATCCCACCCCCCAAAAGGGGGTATGTCACTGTATGCCAACCTACTTAATTCATCTTCTGACACGTCTGGAATCATCTCCCGTGCTCCTGTTGTCTTTAAACAGTCGGAGACCGAACCTCAACCTGATGACGCCGCGGTCCCCAAAAAGCAACAACTGAATCCTGGTATTTAATTTACCCTGGACTTGCTTGCTTGACGCATGAAGTGGCACCTGCTGATTTTATTATTCTTCTTTCCCTCCACAGCTTCCCTTCGGTTCCAACCACCCAAGAGACCACAGCTCTCAGCTCAGAAACCCAAACCGAAACTTGCTTTCCCCAAAGCCGTGCCACAACCACAGCCCTCAGCTAACCCTTCGGTACCGACGAAAAGTACTTTGGCTGATTGGACCGCTATGGAAGACGACGATTATGAGTACGCGCGCGAGAAGCGACAGCGTGGAGGAAGAAAGAAGCGCAAGAAGAACATTGAAGCACATGCTTCTCAAAATTGGGATGATATCTACGACCCTTCTCGACCTAACAATTACGCAGAATACCGCAACAGTGACGAGAGGATCGCTGAAATCCGCGAGTGGAAGGATGTCTTGTATGCGCATGTCAGAAAACGCTCACCTAGCAGATATTCCGATAGCGAGGATTATGATGGGCCATACAAGCGTATGTTCGGGTCTTTTGCGATTAGTGACGACACCCAAACTAAAAAGAAACTAGAACAATTTGCGCCTCCAAGCAACTTTGCGCCGCCGTCAAATCTTAATGATGTGCCACCAGCAGCTTCTATCCCCAATGACGCATCTGGTGACGATGCATTTGCTCGCCGCGCCGCATTAGGACAACGCTTCGACAACGGTTCCATTGCCGTTCAGGCCCAACTCCAGACTTCACCTCCATCCCACATTGAACATCCCTCCCGAATTCCGGATGACTCTACTGGCGAAGACGCACATATGCGCCACTTTCAGGGAGCCGAGAACCCACCATCGGGACAAGTCATACCACCACCTCCTCCATCACGCCCCCTTGACGCCTTCCAACCCAGCTCCGCCACCATCTCCCGCGCACCGGTCCGATACACTCTGCCTCCGCCCCCAGAAGGCATCCCAGCTTCCGAAGCCGAACTTGAAGCCTTATTGGCGCAAGAACAACCGGAAAATGAGGAAGAACCAGATGAGTCCGCGCCACGATCACTTCGTCCCGGCCAACCGGACTTCGGTGCACGAATGCTTTCCAAGTGGGGCTGGAACAAAGGATCCGGCCTCGGCGCTACTGGTTCTGGCATGGTGAATCCGCTGCAAGTCAAGCTCGAGAAGCGCAAGAAGCGACCAGACTCAGAGGGTGGTGGCTTTGTAACACCTGCTGGACGAGGTAAAATCATTGGAAGCAACACGAAGGGTGAATATGACACCAGCAAGTTTGGCCCTATGAGCGAAGTGATCAAACTGCTAGGTATGCTAGATGGCATGGACCTGGATGTTGAGATGGATGGGGGTCAAAATGGTGGTTTGATGCAGGAGATTGGACAGGAGTGTGGTGACAAGGTACGTTTCCTTTCGTCAATTGACTTGAGGCTTTTGCTAACTTGAGGGGCTCTAGTATGGAGATGTGGAGCGAGTCTTCATCGCTCGCGACGTCGGAACCCCAGTCCCTGTCTTTGTCAAATTCAAGCACCCCTTGTCTGGTCTACGGGTAAGCTTTTGAGATCTACACCTTGAATCGAATGTGAGTTTGTGCATTGCTGACTATTGCATCTCTGATAGGCTGTGAATGCGCTCGAAGGCCGGATTTTCAACGGCAACACAATCACTGCACGATTTTTCGATCTTGATAAGTTTGATCAAGGGATTTACACGGACTAATTGTCCTTGTTAGTGCCCTTTTATGTACGTGTACGCCATGGCATGCCAATTGTTTGTTGTTTGGGCATTCTCGACTATTGCACATACGGTAGGCCGTGAGTGCGCCTGGATGACAGGCACTCAATGGCAACAAAATCATAGCGCGGTTTCCTTTTTCGATTGAGGAGTTTGACCGGGAGGGTTACATGGCCAATTGCTTATGTTCACACCCTTTCGTGTGCTTAGTTAGGTTAATGATGTTGCTCGCGTAAAGTCTCATTGCAATGCTCTCCAAAATTATCTCTAAAAACCAAACAAAACGTAGACTATGACGTTTCCTGACAACGAAACATCCAATTCCCTACGAAACCTCAAAAAGTCTGGTCAAAAACTTCTACCCTACCACTATTAATCTATTGCCCCGACACCTTCTTAGTCGGAAGTGGAATCCAGGAGCGCCAAGTCCGATGATCCTTCGGCTTAGAAGCACCGAGTAAAGCCTCTGTGTCCACCATATGGTCATCAGTGACAAATGCCATATATGAAGGATTCTGCTGGTTGCGCACAAACCTAGTAGGAATAGGAATCCAAGAGCGCCAGCTCCGGCGCGCCCGAGGCTGAGGTGCTGACAAAGAATCCTCGTAGACGTACTCCTCATCATCTGAGTAATCGTCAACATGTTCAACCAAAGCGACAGAAGATAAGTGAGGCGAGGACTGTTCCACTATGGTTGGCGTGCGTGCCGGACCGCTGTGGAAGGACATATGGGTCTCCCGGTTCTCATCTCGATCAGTGGGGTTTCTACGAGCCAAGGCAGGAGATTGGGAGAACAACGTCTCCATATCAAGTTCCTCGGCGTCGCTGTCATCCGTAGTCCAGCCATCGTCTTCGCTATACTGGAATGCATCGTTTAATGCGTCCAGAAGATCTTCTCTCCGCCATTCGCGATAGGTAGACTGGCGTAGCATTAGATGATTCAGCTTGCATTGCAGACAATTCCCTATAAGGGAGATGAAGGATGTGCTTTGCGGCTCTTCGGTGCACTCATAGCCTGTTCTAAAAGCATTGTGGCACGCGATTTGGTGGGTTGAATCCTGGTCTAGGTGTCGGCATAGGGCATAATAATAGATAATGGAATGACACATGATGATGGATGATAGTGTGTAATTTTGGGATTTGTTTGTAGAACTCTCTGATAAGAGTTTGGTTGAGAGTTAATGAGTGTGGATGAGATGAGTACATATGAGAATTCAACAGTCCTTTATACTACTCGGATTAGATTAAAAGTGTGTTGGCATCTGCCGACAAACTTTTGTTGTTGGGGAAAGCCTTTGTCGAGGACCAATCCGGGGTTTCGAATAAAGAAGTTGTGTCCCTTCCTATCAATGATTTTCGATGACTCTTGTCCTCAATAGAAGGCTTTATAGACTCTCTTTGTTACCCTGGAGAATATGTGAAAGCCTTTGTCTCACGATCTTGCAGGTAAAGGTCACGAGTGGAATGTTTCTGATTAAGGTAGAGTAGTGTAGTGACTCATTGAAAGAAAGAAACGCATTTGAGGCTGTAATGGAGAATGGAATAGCCGGGACTTGTATCAGGTAGAGCTGGCCGGAAGTTCATAGCTTGCTGCTCTATATGAGTATTCCAGTGGATATTATCAACGACATAACTGTGCATTTGACTGGCTACATTTTAATTATAGAAACAAAAATGTAGATATAAGCCATTAAAAGACCACTACTTGAATATGTCATTATACTCATTCGCGAGTAGCAAAGGTTTACTTCACTTCATCTCCCTCGGCCTGCTCGCAATATTGTAGTTCAGTCTGCAACCTGTGAGACATATACCAGATAATGATGCTCCTCCTTATTTCCTATCGTATGTGTATATATATCTAGGCCCGATCCAAGGCTGATGCCGATCGGAAATCGTCAGCATCGTGAGGAATGATGTCAAAATAATAGACGCATGGGTTATGGTAAGCATTCAACATTTTAATTAACATTTCAATTAACCATCAGGCATCCATTTCAGCACCATGGGTAAAATACAGTGACTCTAACATACATATTCCACCGACATCCCCGTGGAACAATAAGATAGTAAAAACCCCGAATATTCGGGTCCATCTCTCGATCAATCAAGCACGCGGAGATCCAAATACCTCCATATGAATACGCTTAGGGTCCACACCTAAGGCCTCCAGGTCCTTGCTTTGAGCACTCATGAACGGCTGAGGCCCACAGATATAATAATCTGCATCCGGGAGAATAGCCTTATCTTTGAATTTGGTCAAATCCACCCGACCTATGTGATCATAGTCTACCCCCTGCACGTCACTCTCATTGGCATCTTCATAGAAAACCATGCGACTAACTGACGGGTTTTCGGCGACGATCTGGAGGAGGTCATTCTTCATGGCATGAACACGGCCATTGCGTGCTGCATGGACGAAGACGACTCGCCGTGCTTGACCCTGTTGGTTGATGATGGCTTTCAACATAGACATCATGGGTGTGAGCCCCACCCCTCCACTGATTAGGACAGCAGGAGTAGTGGCGTTAATGTCAAGAACGAAATCACCGAAAGGCATGCTCAATTCCAATTCCGAACCTTCCGGCAGCGATTCGTGAAGCACGTTCGAGATTTGGCCAGCCGGCTTTGAATCCTTTGCGAATTCTCGCTTGACGGAAATTCGGAAGTGATCTTTGTTCGGCACGTCAGATAGGCTGTACTGACGGGGCTGGTAGACGCCTAGTTCGGGAACGTAGCAGCGCACGCTAACAAACTGTCCCGGCTGATAGGATGGGAGAGTATTCTTGTCCAATGGGGTGAGATAGAAGGACATAATTTCGTCACTCTCTAACGTTTTCTTCGAGATGTAGAACTTCCGCCATCCTTTCCACCCGCCGGGGGTCTTCACACCTTGCTCGTAGAGACCTTGCTCGAAGTTGATAAAGATATCCGCGAGTTGCTGGTAAGCTGCCTTCCACGCATCGAGCACTTGCTCGTTAGCGGCGGGCCCGAGGACATCTTTGATTGCGGCGAGTAGGTGTTCGCCCACAATAGGGTAGTGGGCAGGCAGGACGCCTAAGCTAGCGTGTTTATGCCCGATGCGAGAAACGGCTGCGCTTAGGGCTTCGGGGTGGTCAATGTTAACCGCATATGCCCACACAGCATGTGCCAAAGCCGCTGGTTGCTCGCCAGTTTTTTGGTGGACGGTATTGAAGACATTCTTGAGTTCTGGATGTTTCTCTAGCAGGCGCTTATAGAAAAGGGTGGTGATCGTGACCCCATACTCTTGAAGGGCGGGAATGGTAGCCTTCACAATCTGCTTTTGTTGTGCTGTGAGTCCGGTGAGTCCCCTCCGTGGCACTGAGACATAAGACCTTTGGGCCAGTGACTGGAGCACTGAATGCCGGAAAACACTTCGTACGAACATATTGAGGATGTTGCAGACAAGTTGAATTCCAAGAGGTTTAATTTGGGTTGGAAATCTTCAGGTTTTATCGGCTAGAGGTGTCATCGAAAGAACCCCTGGGGTCTTTAGCTTTCTTTTCTAGCCAATCTATTAGTAACTACAGGGATGAACTTTATAAATACGTAGGAATAGAGTAGGTAAACTAGGACTAGATTCCGAAAGTATACATGCCAAGATCGGAGTCTAGTCCTTTTGTGGTATACATTGAAAAATACCGTTTATTTTACCAGAACACAACCCCATTTTTGGCATATCCATGCAATCCATAGCTTGGAAAAAAACCAATAAGATAACTTGGCTCCAGAGATCATGGAATAATTGATTTCTACTGGGCAAAGTAAACGTCATTCATCCTATTTAGGTAGCTTAATTGACAACTTGTTGGCTCATCCGACCGCCAGCTTCTCCATCTATCTCCGCGGAGCAATTATATACCGTAAGTGGTTGTAACCCGAATCAATGAATCATCATGCCAGGGGGTTATGTTCATGGATATTTCAAGCCCATGATGCATATCACTGATATGTAATGTTCATTTGAACTACATATCACGAGCTAGGTCTTGAACAAGTGAAAGAATGCATTTACTACAAAATAAAAGACATGGAAAAGGAAAAAAAAGCAACATCTAGAATCAGCTATGAAGAGCTGATATACCAATCATCTAACCCCAATATTTCTAGGTTCATTATGCCGAGCACTTGCCGGAGATCCCATCTTCGTATCGTTGCTCCGTAGATAGGTTCCGCCTTCTTTCTGGCCTTGATCACGGGCTACTTACTATGTGTTTCAACAACACAACTCCGCATGCCTAGCTACATTTTCATCAGTCTTCCGAACCGACCTCCGCGATGCACATCCATATATTTCCTATGAGGGATGCGCTGGGAAGGTTGCGCGGTGAGGTGATAGGTAAGGTCTACCGAGATATTGAACTATCTATGCCTCAATATTTCAGAGTCTCCTGAAATTGATGATGCTTGGGCTGGCTTGATGTGAGGATTGTCTATTCTCGAATACTTTGGAGCCTATTCGGCCGTATGGTAGCGACCTCAACTTATATAATGGCGGAATTGTATAGGCGAGTTCCTACATATGTAAGGATATACGATGAAGAAGCGATACTATATACACTAGAGCTTAAAAGCTTCCACATTCGGACTATTATCACATTCGAGTAAACTCCCTAGGAAATAGCTATATTCCCCCATGTCTCCAATCTGATATTCCTCCCTATTAGACCTTGCATGTTCCACTTCCTCTAGTGGCTTAACGCAATCCGAATGGAACTCACCACGGCGAGCTAGAAGCAGCTATCAAAAGCTCCACGAATTTTCCAGATCATTGGGATCAAATCCACCGCGATCATTGTCTCGATAAACCACGGCAAGCTATCCAATTTACGCCAATATGCCGAGGGCAGACATAAATGTGACACCGTGTAACAGCACCAAATTCCTCGTAGTACTGCAGTATTTCTAGGCACCTGTATGCCCTCGATGTTTCTATGTAGCTCCCAATACAGAATAGTAACTGTAATTTAAGACTCTCAATCTTCCAGGGTGGTTTTAGTTGACCCAGCTTTTATGAATATAATCAGTTTATAGCAATCAAGTTGTTGTGAAGTGCAAGTGTATGCATACTCAGTACTGCCCTCAGAGAGGTTGAAGAACAACATAATATTGGGGCCACCAAACAAAAATAGTAAATTCTATATCCATATAGAAAATAGCAAAGAAAAACACCCCACATAACCCGTTTTAACGGTTATTCATGGCTAACAATAGAAGTGAGGCTCCCGGTAGGTTCCTGGGCAAGGCCAGGCCCACCTGGGCAGTCCCGGTTCCCTATAGATATTACATAAGCATGGTCATTGTTCGCGTGGGGAGGTCAATTGCTATCACCTCCCCGGCTTTGACGATTGCCACTTTAAAATCTTCCACTCGTCACCTCACATCTTTCTCCCTCCCTCACTACCCATCACTAAACCACCCGTCGTGCTCTGCAATATATTTGAAACCAAGTTGCATCTTTCTGCTGCTTGATCTTCCTACACCGCGAGGCAACCTATTTCAGCTACTCACCCGCTGAACACCACCCGAGATGTCGTTGTGTCAGAACCGTCTCCAAGAAGAGCGGTAAGCATATTTCATGTCCAGTGAATTCTGTGATTTTGCGCATCACTTGCGCCACATCCTTGGCCCGTGCTAACCTCTTTGGATTTCATAGAAAGCAATGGCGTCGCGACCACCCATTTGGCTTTGTCGCAAAGCCGAAACAGTGCTCCGCAGGGTGGCCTGGACCTGAAGAACTGGGAATGTGCTATTCCAGGGAAGGCTAATACTCTCTGGGAAGGTGGGCTTTTCAAAATCGACTTGATTTTCCCCGATGGTGAGTGGCGCAACACATCCATGACTACTGAAGATCATTATACTAATCCAGGTATTTTCACGCTTCTAGAATACCCTACCAAACCCCCCAAATGTACGTGTCTCTTTCGCGATATACTCATGTGGCAGCTCGCCAAAAGAGAGCTTCTGCTGGGGGCTGTCACTATGATCTCTTATGGCAACATAACACTAATACAAGAACTGTCTAGGCAAATTCACGCCGGCACTTTTCCACCCTAATGTCTACCCTTCCGGAACGGTTTGCCTGTCAATTCTGAATGAGGAGGAGGGTTGGCGACCTGCGATCACTATTAAGCAGCTCTTGCTCGGCATCCAAGATCTCTTGGATGACCCGAACCCCGAGTCACCTGCACAGGCTGAGGCCTACAACCTCTTCAAGAAGGACCGCCCTCAATACGAACGGAGAGTTCGCATGGTTGTGAAGGAAAATCAGCCCAACTAGGAAACTAGCCCAACTAGGCTTTTGAGTTACCCAAGCGTAAACAGCGATGGCGCTGCATGGGTCATTTACTTTTTTTTTTTCTTTTTTTTACTCTCTCTTTCAGCATGGGATACCGGGGAGACTGAGGGAAGATTATGCATTTACTGTTTAACGAAGGGAGCATGTTTTGCTGTTCTATCGCGAGCATGGCGTTTCTACATATCCCAATGGATGGCGTTTTCTGGGCTTAGGGTCATTCAGAAACAATGATACCACATACATGCTCCTTGCTGGGATGCTTAAGCTCGCCATGTATTGAGTACAGGATGACTCTGGCAGAAGAAATTCAATGTCGTACTTATTTGCTCCTCTGCATAGATAAATTCACCTGGGCAACCAACACAACATCCATACCTCTGGAATGAGCCCATGGTAGGTGTCTCCGGAAACTGCATTTCAATTGCAATTTTAAGTAACAAGAACCCAATATAGATACTATACTTGATGAACTTGAACCCATGCCGGCAAACCTTTCTCCATTTGGAATCCAACATTGTAGAAACGGGCATTGAACAGGCGTCATGCCTACCAATTCGGCAAGGGCTGCACCACAGATTACAATCTTGGAGGGTTCTAGGGTTCTAGGGCTGAAATCTAGAATACGATTCGCTGCGGCTTGGCCTCTTCCACCATCTTAGCATTGTATGTAAAAAAGCTCAGGATGGTACGATCCCATTCTGTTTTTGAGGCATAAATCAAGGAGCCGGAAGAGACATATGAGTCCCTTATACGAATACAATCCCCATGGGTCTCACATAGATCTTCATGATCTTAATATCGAGATAGGCGTGGCCTTGCCTTTAGTGACTCATATCGTTTTAACGATCTCTAACTGTGGTCTTAGAAGGGATCCACAGACATGCTTGTGGGATGAGGCAAGCTTGTGATCAACACAGTATCGTTCTGATATCGTTGACTACACATCCTGATCTTTAGTTTTATTATGAGTTTCCTTGAATGTAGATGGAGGGCACATTTCGTCAAGGAGAGGCTTGGCTAGGGCTATAGTTCATGGTGGGGGTATATTAATCACGTGACATCGAATCCGCTCACTCTCCAGGGATCCCCTGTCAGACTGAGACAGACTACTCCGTACAATATAATAATAAATGGTATGACCCGACAAAAGGAATCCGCTAATATAGTCACATATTTAGCCACAGTAGTAAAAATCTTTAAGTTGATGCTAACTGGGCCAATTATCCAGGGGCCGTTATCTTATCGGTGACTCAAAGACTTGCCGACATCGCCCCTCGCCCCGCCGGGAGGGCACCGGGGCAAATTTGAAAAAAATCGCCGTTCTCAGGTTCCCCATATAACCGGACGATTAGTCAATTCTACTCCGTTACCCTTCTTCTCTCCCCCGAATTGATCTTCACCTCTAACCACACTTCCCAATTGCCCATCATGTGTGGAATTTTCGCGTGCCACCAGTGCGTCATGTCCTACCCTAACTCCCCGCCTCTAGTGGGATGTCGATTAGGGAATACTAACTAGAGTATAGTCACCCCGATGTGCAAAAGTTCAAGCCTACCGCTTTGCGCATGGCCAAGGCGTGAGTATCTCCATTACTTTTTCAATTGTTGCAATCTACAGTCTGCAATTCGCGATGCGCAATCTATAGAATTCTCGCTGACCTGTGTTCTCGTAGTGTGCGCCATCGCGGTCCCGACTGGAGTGAGTCACAACCCGAGTTGCAACATTGCGCGGTATAGGTGGGGATTATAGGGTTAACAAAGTTCTCCAACAGGTGGAAACTTCTGCGCCGAGAGCACTAGTAAGTTAATACGCAATGACTTCGGTGTCGGCGTTGGTATACTAACGCGTGATTCATAGTCCTGGCGCACGAGCGTCTGAGCATTGTCGGTGTTGGTATGTGGCCCCTGTGAACGATCAACAATTCGAACATCGATTTGTTAACAATATCCCCTTAGACTCCGGTGCTCAGCCCCTCGTCAACGATGACAGCACCCTCGCCCTCGCTGTCAACGGTGAGATCTACAACCACCGTGTTATTCGCAAGAACCTTCGCCACAAGTACAACTTCAAGACACACTCCGATTGTGAAGTTATCATTCCCTTGGTACGTCAGGATATAACGGAATCTGAATTAGGGCCGAAATGCTGATATATACTAGTATGAGGAGTATGGTCTTGATGCCCCCAAGCACCTTGATGGCATGTTCTCCTGGGTTCTTTGGGATAAGAAGCAGGACCGTGTTGTTGCTGCCCGCGACCCCATTGGTATCACCAGCTTCTACCTCGGCCGGTCCTCGTCGACTCCCGGCGCCGTCTACTTTGCCTCTGAGCTCAAGTGTCTGCACCCCGTCTGTGACGACATCATTGCCTTCCCCCCCGGCCACATCTATGACTCCAAGACCGACTCCCTGACCCGTTACTTCGAGCCCAAGTGGTGGGACCCTGCCAACGTCCCCTCGACCCCTGTTGACTACAAGGTAGTCCGCCAGAGCCTCGAGAAGGCCGTCCGCAAGCGTCTGATGGCTGAGGTTCCCTACGGTGTTCTGCTGTCTGGTGGTCTCGACTCCAGCTTGGTCGCGTCTATCGCCCAGCGCGAGACCCTCCGCATGGCCGAAGCTGCCCGCAACGCGCCCCAGAACGTCAACGCAGACGGTGAGTTGGTTGGCATTGATGACAAAAACGACCTGTCGACCGTCACCACCTTCCAGCAGCTGCACTCATTCTCCATCGGTCTTCCCGGTGCCCCCGATACCGCCGCTGCCCTTGAGGTCGCCAAGTTCCTCGGCACCAAGCACCACCCCTTCACCTTCACTGTTGAGGACGGCCTCGATGCCCTCTCCGACGTGATCTACCACCTCGAGACCTACGATGTGACCACTATCCGTGCCTCTACTCCCATGTACCTGCTCTCCCGTAAGATCAAGGCCATGGGTGTCAAGATGGTTCTGAGTGGTGAGGGTTCCGACGAGATCTTCGGTGGCTACCTCTACTTCCACGCTGCCCCCAACAAGGAGGAGCTCCACAAGGAGACCGTCCGCCGTGTCAAGAACTTGCACTTGGCTGACTGCCTCCGTGCCAACAAGTCCACTTCCGCATGGGGTCTTGAGGCCCGTGTTCCTTTCCTTGACAAGGAGTTCCTCGAGACCTGCATGGGTGTCGATCCCCAGGACAAGATGATCACCCCCGAGCGTATCGAGAAGCACATGCTGCGCAAGGCCTTCGACACCTCCGATGAGCCTGAGACCGCTGCCTACTTGCCCGACAAGATCCTCTGGCGCCAGAAGGAGCAGTTCAGCGATGGTGTTGGCTACAGCTGGATTGATGGCCTCAAGGATGAGGCCGAGCGCCAGGTCACTGACGAGATGATGAAGAACCCTAAGCCCGAATGGGGTACTGATGTTCCCGACACCAAGGAGGCGTATGTTTCCCACCTTCCCCCCCAATTTAAAGTACCATTGAAAACTAACCTGGGATATAGATACTGGTACCGCACCATGTTCGATGAGCACTTCCCTCCTTACTGTGCCGGTACTGTCGAGCGCTGGACCCCTACCTGGTCCAAGCAGACCGACCCCAGTGGAAGGTGAGTTAATTCTTCTTGATTCCTTATTTGGTTTATCTTCTCTAACCATCCTTTGCAGAGCCATCGCCATCCACAACCAGAAGTATGACAAGTCGGAGTAAAAAGTCTTGAGAGTATAAACAAAAGGATGTGAACTTTTCTGATTTAGCATTTTCTTTGGGGATATAGCACCGGATTAGATTGTACATATACCCTTCTGGTATATAGACGGTATAATGTTATGATCTCAATATTTTTCTTTTATTCATTTTCTTAAACACGTGACCTGCCCTGCCCAAACATTACCGGCGGGCTTTCCCGGCAGCCGGGCAACCGCCAATCACCGCCCTCCCACTAACCCGTGCTAAGCCCCTAGGTTCCCCCAACATCATCACAACTCTTCTTTCCCTTCCTCTCTCTTCATCTTTTCATAAAACCACCTCTTCCTCCTCCATCTCTAATTAGACTACTCTCGTCAAGATGTCTGCCCCCGCTGCCTTCTCCGATATCGCCAAGGCGACCAACGATGTACGCACAACTGTTGAGAACAAAACTCAGAACCTTGGCTAATACTTCACCCCAATAGCTCCTGAACAAGGATTTCTACCACGGTGCCGCCGGTTTGTTTATCCACACCACATGTCGAAGATTCAATAGTTGATCAAAAGCTTTTAGCCAACCTTGAGGTTAAGTCCAAGGCCCCCAACGGTGTTACCTTCACCGTTAAGGGCAAGTCTGCCCACGAGGGCCCCATTGCCGGCCAGGTTCGTTGAATATCTTCTCCAAATACACCATGCAGATTGCTAACTAGCGCGCCTACAGCTCGAGGCCAAATACGTTGATGCGCCCACTGGTAAACGCCCCTTCCACAAAAAACCTCCCGATCCCGGCGCGCACAAATCCCGTCTCATGCCATTGATGTTCGGATGCGGCATTCCAATCGCGCGCCGGGTGAACATGTTTATTTTTTCGGATGCAAAGGTGCACAGGATTAGGCTAATATGCTCGCCCCGATCAGGCCTCACCCTCACCCAGGCTTGGACCACCGCCAACGCTCTCGACACCAAGCTCGAGCTCGACAACAACATCGCCAAGGGCCTCAAGGCTGAGATCCTCACCCAGTACCAGCCCGCTAAGCAGTCCAAGGGTGCCAAGCTCAACCTGTACTTCAAGCAGCCCAACCTGAACGCCCGTGCCTTCTTCGATCTCCTCAACGGCCCCTCCGCCAACTTCGACGCCGTTCTCGGCCACGAGGGCTTCCTCGTCGGTGCTGAGGGTGGTTACGATGTCAACAAGGCCGCCATCACCAAGTACTCCGCCGCCGTCGGTTACAGCGTTGCCCAGTACTCCGCTGCCATCACCGCCAGCAACAACCTGTCCCTCTTCTCCGCCAGCTACTACCACCGCGTCAATGCTCAGGTTGAGGCCGGTGCCAAGGCTTCTTGGGACTCCACCTCCGGCAACGCCGTCGGCCTCGAGGTCGCCAGCAAGTACCGCCTCGACCCCTCTTCCTTCGCCAAGGTTCGTTTAAAGTGTTTATATGCCTATTGTAAATCACGACTAATCGCGCAATTTTCTCGCAATATAGGCTAAGATCAACGACCGTGGTATTGCCGCTCTGGCTTACAACGTCCTGCTCCGCCCTGGTGTTACCCTCGGCCTCGGTGCCTCCTTCGATACCCAGAACCTGAACCAGGCTGCCCACAAGGTCGGCGCCAGCTTCACCTTCGAGGCTTAAGCGTCTGGATCCCAAGCCTTCCAGGAACCTGACAGATGACCTACCATCTTTTAGGAAGATTTTTGTAAACTTCAATTATTAGTTCACTTGTCTTGCTGATTCACCAGAACGATGATTATGGTGGGGGTTACGTCCAAGATAATAACCATGTGTGTCGTAGATCTTTCTGCTCGATCACTTCTGTATATCAAATCCAACTGTTTCCTTTGTTGATTAATTCGATCGATTCATACGATCTAAAGCACTACGAGGTGTGCTTGTAGCCATGCAAGAGTAGGAGTACATCAACCAGCGATGTATTTGAACTATGTATATACCAAGAAACTACACGTCTGCGAGAATGTATGTGCCCGAAACAGTACGAGACAACTCCATCAAGAAGACAAAGTCTCCCTCTGCTTCCTCGTTTTCCTCCCATCAACAACTTTAGGAACCGCCCGCCAAAGATCCACGACAACAAGCATAACAATCAAACACCCAGAACAAAGAAAGAACCTCGAGAGCGTTTGATCAACGCCAGGCTCACGCTCAACCCGATCCTCATCAAGCCTCCTAGCCTCCCTCCTCCTCTCCCTCCTCCTCCGATCCTCCGCTTCTTGTGTCCGGAAATGACCCCGAGCATTAAAATGATTCAACGGATTCCGCCGAATAAACGCCTCCCAATCCTCCGGATCAGCATGTTTAGTCCCAGCGCCAGCGCCAGTCCCGAACCCAGACCCCATCCCAGCACCAGCCGCGGGACCCTGCGCCTGTCTCCCCGTAGCACCGTACCCACCCTGTTCGTAGAAACTAGGCGGCGGACCATGGAATGGCGAGCGCCGCTTGCTCAGCCCGCTGGCAGGTCGCGACCCGGCATAGCTGCTGTGGCTGCCCATCGGGTGTTGGTGGCTGTGGCTTTGGCCTGGGGAGGCGTGTTGCGTGACGTGGAACCCGTGGTCGCGGTCGTAGACTGCGCGCTTTGAGACGTTGCCGAGGACGTTGTAGGCGGCGGAAATGCGGGCGAAGCGTTGGCTTGCGTTTGGGTCTGTGCGGTTGCGGTCTGGGTGGTGGCGCATTGAGAGGGCGTAGAATTGTCTAGGGATTGTGTAAGTATTAGAGATATATATATGCAATATGTGGGATTGGAGGTGGACGAGTGGAGGGGGGTTTGCTGGGTGTGGGTGTAAGTGTACTTCTTTATCTCCGCTGCTGACGCGGTTATGGGGATGTCGAGGATTTCGTAGAAGTTTTGTTCGCGGGCTCGGGATGGGTTGCTAGTTGAGAAGAAGGATATTGTTGGTCTTGAGGGTTGCTGTAGCTGTTGTTGGCGTGTGTGTAGTTGTGGTCGGAGGGGTTGGGTTGAGATGCCCCGGTGGGTTGAAGAGGAGGGGGGGAGGGTTGCGCGCGGCAAGAGGAGGATTGATGTTACTCGAGATGGAGGCATTTTGTATATGTAGAGGGTGTCACATCGAAGTAAGTAGAGAAATAAGATCCTAGGTAGGGGGTGGGGGGAGAGGTGGAAGAGAGAAAGAGAGGGAGGGAGAAGCGGAAGAAGATCGGAGGTGAAGATCGGAGTGGCGTCACTGCGGTTCGAGGTTGGTCGACTCTACATGTTCACCGAGTATTCATTACTGGCTATTGGTATACTCTAAAGTATAGTATCAGTCTATATGGTCTCTCTTATCTTTCGAAATACTACATTTAATACGATTTAAACTCACGTGGGCAGTTACAATTGCCATAACCCTAGCTGATGATCAGATTAGATAAGAGATCCTAGATTATCCCATTTCGGGCATCAACCTTCCGGTGGACTACCTGATCCAATGAGAACACTCCTTGGCTAGCTTGGGATACTCAAGGATCCACATATCGTGAGATTATGGTTTCTTTCATTCCATAGGTTGCGTATGCTCTTCATGAGCTTGCACTTGGTGATACACCTCTCATTGCAGCTGGTGGAATCACTGACCGGAGGGGGTGTGCTGCAAAATTAGCTCTTGGAGTCTCTGGGTGATTATGGAGCACCAATTCCTCAGTGCTGAGAAGACTTCCACTACTGCTTTTTATCGAGATGCGAGATTTGAGGCCTTTGATGGAGGTCAAATGACGGCTAGCTCGATGGTTTTCGATGAGTTCCGAGGACCTAAGTTCGGCCAAAAGCTTGCGATCATCCGTGCCCCAGGAATAGGGGTATGAGCAGTATAGAAGTGGGATTGATATAAAGGAAGTTCGGAGTTGGCGTTCTGGCACCACCGATGGTCCAAATGAGGATATCTGAAGTATACCTCCAGCGCTTCGGGAATCGTGGTGAAATCAACAAATATATGGCATAACCCGATAGACAGAACAATAGTATCCACAATCATATCATATAAGTGTCCGGGCCTTCTCTTCAAAATAATAATCAACGCCTTCGCACCTTGTTTATGCTTATTGTCTCATATTCGCACCGAATTTTCAACAGCGCTTACAGCGCTGGGTGCGAGAGCCCCAAAATGTCAAGAGTCTCGGCCCTGAAACGGTCCCTAAATTGAGATTCTCATCGATAGAAATATTATCACGGTCGTGGGCAATTTCTTAGGCCTGAATATCCGGTTGCGCCGATTGTCTACTTGGGGGTTTAAAGGAATCCCACCCAGGACATTATCTATTCTTCAAATCTGAACCCAAACCTTCTATTTGGTGACATACAACATGAAATACCCGGGGGCTTTGTGCCTGCAGGCATGCCTTTGTACTCGCTAGTGTCCGCAAATAGACAATCGAGCACCGAGACTTCTTTGACATATATAGTTATTGTTATACCCTTTGTGACTAAATTTGGGCTCTGAATCAAAGTGTTCCACACGAAGAACCAGGCGCCGATTTGAAACACTTGCTTCATTCAACATAGAACACAGCACAAAGAAGATGCCCGGAGTGTCTGTATAAATCCTCTCATCCCCCGTCACTTAAATTGAGATCCTAGTAACCGCCTGGTATTCAAATCAAACAGCTCAACCTAAAGCGATAGACTGATTTGATTCAGTCTTTGGTCCCTAAAACACGCACCCTCCCTTTCTCAACGATCGAACTCGAACTACACCCAAACATGACGACTCTTTCAGAACTTCCTAATGAGATGCTACTGGAGATTTCCGGTCACCTCGACTATCCAGATCTCAATGCATTCACACAGGTCAGCCGCCACTTCCATGCGTTGTCAAACGGGGGTCTTTACAAAACTATCGCCAAAGACTCGCCCGGGAAAGCGATAGCATGGGCAGCCGAAAAGAGGAAGGAAGCTAGTGCACGGAAACTGTTGCAGATGTGCAGCTTGAAGGTATTGGACGACATCGTCTTTGAGGGCCAAGAACCAATAGTGATCGCTGCATCGAATGGACACACCAATCTTGTCGGATTATTTTTGCCCTATTGCATTCAACATGACACCGACAAAGAAGGAGAATATTTATTCAAAAGAGCGCTTACTGTTGCAATCTCAGAAAAGCATATTGCAGTAGTCAAACTGCTCCTCGAACACAAGACTGATTTCAAAATCAACCATGAGGACATATATGCTGCGATTCCTTTATGCAAGGCAGTTGAAATGGGATATGTATCAATTGTGAAGCTTCTTCTTGAACACAATTACTGCAATCTCGATACATATGACCCGGATGGTATGACGCCTCTAGCTCTCGCTGCTGCTACGAAAGCATCACCCGAAAATCTGGAAATTGCCCAACTCTTGGTAGGGGCTGGTGCAGATTTATACAAAGATGACAAGCTGTTACTCAAAGCCGCAAAATCAGACAATCTGCCGGTTGTGAGGCTCCTTTTAGCGAACAACCTTTGTTGGCGCCGATTGGAATGTTCCGAAGTCTTACGTGAATTCTCTCGACCGAGACGGAAAAACCACGAGATGGGGTCATTGCTTCTAAGCTGGATTGATGTGGATCGCATCTTGCAGGTCAGTAACATTCAGCGTTGCTACCTCTTAAGAGGAGCGATTGCCAATCGCCTTGACGATCTATTAGAAAAGATATTGGATAAGTCGGCTGTCCTAGATGAAGACAACAAGGAAAACCGAATAGGAATTTATTTGTGTCCTTTAAGTCTGGCTGTCTGCTATGGTCGACCTAGGGCTGTCAAGCTCTTACTCGATCATGGCGCTGACCCTAGTGGCGAAGGCGATTGTCGACCAGTACAATTTGCTCTTGAAAGGGGGAAGGACACAACGGCGAGGCTGCTGTTTGACAAAGGAGCAATATTTGATCCGGAAAAGTGTTGTGGGTCAGCCGAATACTGTCAATTAATGAAGCTGCGTATGGCTCGAGTGCAAAGGAAACCTATTGATTAAGACGCAAAGTTACATTTATCTATGTGACATGGAAAATGTATATAGTATCAAAACATAGATTTATTTAGTTTCCAAACAAACTTCAGGCTATGGACTTATATCAAACGTAGAAATGTCTCTTGCACAAAGTATGCTTCTTTTGCTACCTTTGTATACACCTAAAAGACCACTAAGAAGGTATAAAAAGAACATATCAAAAGACATGAAAAGGCCCCATAAGCGGCCGACGGTTCTGTCTGCCTCATAGTTTGACTTACTAGCTAGTTAATATGGGATTCATTTTCTTAGGCCTACTCAGGATATTTATTTGATAGGGGTAGAAGAACGCTTGAACAAACCCTGCTAATAAGCTACATACATACCAAAGTGCTCAATTCAACTATTCAGTAGGACAAGGATAAACTTTACGCCAATAATAATTCCGGAGGGTGTTTTGTATGATCAAAGAAGGTTTCTTCCCCTCCCAAAGAGTGCTATTAGAAGCGTCATAAGGGGCCGTCGCTGCCAATATGAGACTTGACTGTACTGATCGGAACGTTTTGATCAACATATTCCAGCATCATATTAACCGCTTTAAAAATATCGTTCATTTCATATGTCTTAAATTAGGTAGAGAACTAGTTCTAGACTAGTTATTGTGAATAATCATCAACTACTTCTCGGTATCACCATCTCCACTATGATTGCTGTTTTGCTCATTACCCTCCTCGGATTCGTCCTAGGAGAAGTACTCAAAGTAATCATACTTGGCGCGACGAGTATTAGTGCAGCAGGCTGAATTAGTTATAAATTCGCTAAAAGGCGGGAAATAAGGGTCACTTACACTTAGCGGTAGAATCAGCTTTGCATGACACACAAGCCCCAGTATGACCCATCTCACGGAGTTGAAGACGCATTTCAGTCGCATTAACCTATATAGATGTTAGGAACTAGTTTAGAACTAGTTTAAAAGAATACTAACCTCTCCATTACGCTTCAGAGGAAGTGTAGGACGGTGTTTAGAATCACTAGCATGAAGTTGCTCAAACCGAATTTGCATCACCTTGTAGAAATCATCTGAATTAGTTAGCAACTAGTTCAACTAGCAGTATAATATTACTTACCGTTGGCCTCCCGGATTAATACTAGAGAGGGAGAACCACCAGAACTCCGCGTCATAGTGTCACCTGTACCCATATGCTTCTTATTGATATGGTGCTTGAGCTTATTGGTATCGCCGAAGGAAAAGACACGTGAATTAGTTCTAAACTAATTCACATATGCATATATCTCTCAGATAGAACTTACTGGGTGAAGACAACTAGGGTAACGACACCACTTTTCACCGGAGTAGACGATCCATTCATTACCAGCCTAGCCATAAAAGTCAGTAATTGATCTTCTATAACTAGTTCTAAACTAGTTAATCGACTCACATTGCGGGTCATAGCAGGCCAGGTACCTTCAGCAGTGCTCTTGGTTTGGGTGAGATACCACTCATAAGCGGGCTATTCTCGAACGAAATCCATCAGCTTTTGACTCTTTGTCATCTTATTTCATCAAAAAGGCATCACTCACATAGGATCTGAGGGTAGACATATTGAAAGGTGACAGAAATAGACGGATACGACAATGTATGGTAAATCTGACATATGTAAATTCTCTAACTAACTAAAATGACAAGATCCGCTCTTTTCCAATCTCGGCGGACATAGCTGATTAAGCAATGTATGTATTTTTGTATGGTACCGTTATCATGACGGTCCATTGATTTCCCGGTTTGTAAAGACCTGGTAATTTCAGCATGCATAAATGCATAGTACTTGACACACCCCCCCAGTTCTTGAAGCTATTCAAAGCTCTCAAGGACTGCCTTTCTTCCAACTGTTTCGCAGCTGCTTCGCAACCGCTTCGCAAATGATTCGCAAGTGATTCCAACTTACCTCACCTGTCTCCTCACTGATCTCGGCTCAAATCGTCGATTTATGCAGTTTCCGCAAAACAGCCTCTGTTCTCAGAGGTCATGTGACGAATCATGTGACCTACGTCCCTCATTCCAACCAACTCTCTGAAGTGTCCCTGCTTCTGCTTCGTCAGAGCTTTGGTGAGCCCATCTGCTGGCATCGCAGCAGTTGGTACCCAGTCCACATATACTCGACCTGCGCTAACTTCTTGCTTCATCCAGCATCGATTGATGTCAACATGCCGGAGCTTCGTATGCATCGCGGCCCCTTCCTTCGTCAATAAATCGACAGTTTGCTGGTTGTCACACATGATGGATAGTGGGTGATCTGGTTCGAAGCCTAGTGCATTAAGCACTCGTCGCCACCACTGTACGGTTTTTCCTGCCTCTGCTAAAGCTAGTAGTTCGGCCTCGGTAGTCGATGTGGTGACAGTCTTCTGCTTAGTGGCCTTCCAATCGATTGGGCCACCATATAACTTGCAGATATACCCTTCGGAGCTCTTTCGATCTTTATGGTCTCCGAACGACGCATCGCTTGCAAATTCAACTGATTTCGCCGCCATCGTCAGGGTCGTATCTCGATTTCTAGGTTGTTTGTTTGGTGTTCTGATGCCGTATTCAATGGCCCAAAAGCGTGTCTCATAGAGATACTGTATGATGCGATCGACTGCATCTATATGCTTTGGTCCTGGATTTGTAAGGAATTCAGCCACTTTGGAGGTTGCTTTTGCAGCATCTACCCGGGTAATGGTGGTGGCATACTGCGCAGATCCAACCTTGGCCTGGAAACCATGAATCTGTTGCGGTGATGCCACCCCATCATAGGGTACTAGAGGCTCAATGCTCAGTGGGGACCCTATTTTTCTCTCTGTGACGAGATTGTATTTGTGTGCCATGCTCTCGATGTAGCTATCTTGGCATAACCAGAGCTTCTTCTGCTCTCTATCACGTATAATACGTATATTCAAGAACCAGCTTGCATCCAGTTCTCGAAGCTCCCATTGCTTCTTTAGATTTTGATCTAGTAAAGCGGCTTCTTTAGCCTGTTTGGGGTGATTGACGATGATGATATCGTCCACGTAGAAAAAGACAATAATGCCTTTGGTTGTAAAGATGCATGGATCTTCTTCCACTGGGGTAAGGCCTAGTTTTACTAGCACCTTTGTAGCTTCTTGCTGCCAAAGCCTTGGTGACATGCGCAATCCGTAGAGGGCTCTATGCAGGAGCCAGCACTGATTTAGTGCTTCGAAGCCTGGTGGACACTTGGTATAAACCTCGCTTTCTAGCATTGAATTCAGGAATGCGGTAACCACATCTCTCTGAATCATATCTAGATCAAAGGCGGCAACTAGTGCGAATACTGCTCTCGCTGTTTTGACAGCTAGTGTAGCAGCTCTCTTTTCTTCAGTTGACATCCACTGTAGATCTCCTCTCACGCAGATTCTTGCTTTGAACTTCTCGAGCATACCATCTGCATCAAATTTGTATGTAAATACCCACTTCAATGGCAAGATCTGGGTGCTCTTTTTGTTCGGTAATGCAACCTGAGAGAAGGTCTCTTTAGCCTTTAAGGTCTCAATTTCAAACTCCGCAGCTGCCTTCAATTGCGTGGCAAAGGGATGGATTTTTAGCCGCTTCCAGTTCTCTGGTGGTGGAGGCATCTGATCTCTATGCAGTCTGTTTTGCATATTGAGCTTCTTCGTAATACCTGTTGTAAAGGCATATAGAAGGCTTGGTGGCTCGGCTAGCTGTTTCTCGTCTAGCGATAGATATGCAGTGTAGTCTGGATCTGCCTTTGGCTTCCGTATTCTGGGGCCTGAGATGATGTTAGATTCATCAATTGACGCAGAGATCTCTCTAGTAGGCCGATCTTCTGGCTCTGGAGTAGGCGTATACTGCATCTCTTGTTGCAATTGACGCTCTATCTCTGCTTCATCTTCATCATATTGATCTCCCTCTCCCCCTTCAGCTTCGATCGACTGTATGACATTGATCGGATCTGGCGAAGATAGCGAGGTAGGAGATCTCTCATGTGGCGTACTCTCAATCGTAGCAATCGACGATAGTGCTCTTTGTGGTGAGGCTCTCTGTGGTGACATAGGGAAGCTCCCAGGGATCTGTTCTTGATCCCTTACCTCTATCATTGAGATATGTTCTACCACTGAAGCAGGGCCTGCCATTGAAGCCGGTGTTAAAGGTAAAACAGGTGTTTCCTTTAAAGGGGGGACCCTTGGTGTCTCCTCCCTACTATCTAGAGTTTGAGCTTGCTCCACAACTCTAGATTCCTGGATTTCTTCATTTACCGCCTCTGGTGCAGTACCTTGTTCTCGGTTTTCGACGTCATCATTGAGAGTTATGCGAGCAATTGACATCGGCATACGCATCTCTATGCTCAATTCTGACTGCGCTTCTTCCATTGAGAGCACTTGGGGCCAGTTCTTAGCGCTTAGTCCATTTGTCATAGTACTAATTGCATCTTCTTCTTGCGGTAAAGGCTTCGTTTTAGAGTACTGTCTCGATTCATCGAATACAGCATCTCTTACAACTTCAACTCTGCCTATGCCTGCTCGCCCTTTGTATGGAAACCAGATCTTGTATAGGCTCTTTGAAACATAGCCTACAAGATAGCCGATCTCTGCTCTCGGAGCCATCTTGTTAGATTGTACTCTCTTCAGAAGCCTTGAGTACGTTAAGCACCCATATAGCCTCATATTCGACAGGTTGACAATTTGATCTTTTAAGCCATCTGGAGCCGCATAGCGCATCAATTCCTTCCATGGTATGATCCACTTACCATCCATCTTTGTAGGGGTACGATTCATCATATATGCAGATGCATACATCGTCTCTGGCCATAGATTGTGGGGTAGGTTCGTACCATTGAGCAATGCTCTGCCGTTCCTTACTATCATGCCTCCAGATCTCTCTGCTGGTCCATTCATCTCTGGCAAGCCAGGTGGTGCATGCTCAATGGTACACCCTTCGTCTTCAATCATAGATTCAACCTCATTGCCGGCGCTTCTCTCATTATCATAATGAAATACCCTGATCTCGATTTTCAACCAGTTTCGGATCAATGCTAAGAATTTACGAACTGCCATCTGACACTCGCTCTTCTTTATATGGGTAAATACGAAGTGACACCTTATTCCATCGAGATAGAAGTGCGTCATCCATATATGACCGTTGTAGGCAGGCTGGTTTTGTACTAGATCGAAGTGTACTCTCCCTAATATACCATATGCCTGGCCTATCTTCCGGCGAGAGATTTGCCTAGGTGCATCTGCCAATTGACAAGCTTCACATACCTGCATTTCTTTGCCTGGGTTGCTTGCAATAGTGATTCCTTCAGTCATCTCTGCCAGTTTGACAATTCGCGCCTTGCCAATGTGGCCTAATCGACGATGCCAGAGCTCAATTGAAGCCTCAGATTTTGGCTCCTGATTGGATTTCTTAGTGGCAAACGTCATTTCAGGCTTCAAATCTGATGCCTTTTGGGTTATAAAACCCCTTGTCTGGGTGAGCCATGATAGCTTCTGATCGTGGTAGATCTTATAGATCTGACGATGGCCATCAATTGTCTCAATGCAGTTTGCTCTGAGATTCATTAATAGGCCCCCCTTCATCATCAATCCATGAGATATCAGATTACTATGGAAGTTTGGCGAGTACCTAGTTTGAAATAGGTTCATCTTAACGGCGCTTCCAGTGGTAGGGTTTACACCATAGATGACCACAGTGCCTATACCGGCCACCTTCGTCTCTGTATCTCCCACTTTGACGTTGCTCTGTACGCTTTTAAAGGTGCTAAACAAGCTCCGATTGTTGCATACGTGGATTTGAGCACCTGTATCAACTACCCATCTGTCTTCTGTAGGTGTAGTTGTGGCTTCAAAATCCTTGATTTTTGTTGACATAACGGTGTCAATTTTGACTGCGTTGGTTGTCAAGAAGCCAAAGGCTTCATCGTCGAGGGTTGTATTCGCTTGCTCTTTAGCAAGGGTCCCCCTTGGCCTTCTGCATATGCAGCTCGCTTCTTGTCGACAATTGCCTTCCATCTAGGATTAGCCTTCATGGCCTTCTCCCACTTCTGTTTCAATGCCGGTGAGGGCTGGTAATTAGCAGGCCTTCTATCTTCATAGATTTCCCAGCAGGCCCAAGGCATATGAACTCTCGATTTTACCCTGTCACATGGACATGGCCTTCTTTCTAGGCCATCATTCCTTGCCTCTATAGGCTTTGCTTCTTCATTGCCTTGCCATGTCGAGAAAGCAGCCTTTGAGATGCCTCTTTGCGCAGCCGGCCTGCCATGGGTAATCTTCCAGTGGGCTTTGTACCGAGTCATGATTTCGAAGAAAGGGATGTCCTGATTATCCTGTACTCTGAGAGCCCATGTTTCATAGAATCCAGGCGACATTATAGAGATTGCTTCAAGGAATTGATTCGTGGCATCCTCTGCTTCTGGCATCCTTGCCTTCTTACACGATTGGTAAAGCGATTCCCAGTTTAGAAGCCATTTCTCGATATCGGTGTTCCGATCTAGGCCTCTATCTAGGTTCCGCCACTGTTGACGGAGCTTAGTTTTGTATGTAGGATCGCTCTCTGGTGCAAATCGTTTGTGGAGATTGAGCATCAGCTCCAAAGGTGATGGTATATCAATGATAAAGGGCTGGTAGGGAGTATCAACTGACTGCCTAATTGCCACCGCCACTAGATCTAATGCCTGTAGTTTCGACTGATAGGCTCTGTTCTCTGCATCCCAATCTGCTTTTAGGGATAGCCTCACATTGAACCAGTGTTCTGGGTATTCTTTTATGGCATCTTTGACAGAGATGATCTCTTCAGGTGGTTCCAATTTAGGACGTTCTTCCTCCTTAAGAGACGGATTGCATTGATCCCATACTTTATATGCAACTGCAATTGCTTTAATATATGAGAGCCATGCATCCCATGATTCTGTATCCTTCAAAATGACGCGGGAGGAGGCCGCGGAGAGGCTTGACATGATATTCATTATTGTCGATTTTCGTCGATGAATCTGATCTTCTTCGAAGGAGATAGGGGTGCTTCGACGATTCAGGGGTTGACCGTTGTCAAAACCACTGTGAATCGGCGACAGCTAGGTAAAAGATGGTCTATATGTTGTAGACAGATCTTAATTGGAACGAAGCCGGGCTCATAACTGACAGAAATAGACGGATACGACAATGTATGGTAAATCTGACATATGTAAATTCTCTAACTAACTAAAATGACAAGATCCGCTCTTTTCCAATCTCGGCGGACATAGCTGATTAAGCAATGTATGTATTTTTGTATGGTACCGTTATCATGACGGTCCATTGATTTCCCGGTTTGTAAAGACCTGGTAATTTCAGCATGCATAAATGCATAGTACTTGACAAAAGGCAGAAATAAGGCGGTATCAGTGCATGAACTGAATAAGAACTAGTTAGGGAAGCGGTGAAGGTAATGTTTTGAAATGGTATTAAAAACTCAGGGGTCAGGTCACAGTTTATCACGTGACGTTTAGAGTCACGTGCTAAATGGTGACCTGACCTATGAGTTAATCGGTGACCCGAGCTGTAGTCACCGCCAAGGAAATCTCCAAGAGCTCGCCTTATCTTATCAGCAAAAATCTTTCCCCGACATCCGACATTCCCCTCTTTTGCCTTTGAACATAACTTGTTTAATTGCCACATTCAATATGGCAGCTCAAACTACGGAGAAGTTGGATCAGTTGGACCGTAAGATTCCAAAATTTTCTGCTTGCTTCTCTGTGTGACTGATCAGATCCCAGTGAACGTCCAAGCCACCCCCACGGCAGACCAGGCTCCCGCTGAAGCGGAGGAGGACTCGGACGACGCTCAAGACGGCGAGGGTGCCGCGGAGGCTGGAGCTGCTGGAGGTAAGTTTAGTTGAGGCTCATTTCCGTGACTGCGCCTCTAGAACCCCACCGCACCCCGCCCCACACAAATCGACCAGATTGAACTAACAGCGGGGTCAACTCTAGCCGACAAAAAGAAGAAGAAGAAGAAGCCCAAGAAGAAGAGCAAGAAGAAGGGTGGCGCCAAGGTTCAGAGCGAGCCACCGCGTGTCCCTGTGTCCAGCCTCTTCCCCAACGGCCAATACCCCGAGGGTGAGATCGTCGAATACCTAAACGATAATGCGTACCGTACCACCGACGAAGAGAAACGATACCTTGATCGCATGAACAATGACTTCCTACAAGAGTACCGCCAAGGTGCCGAGGTTCACCGTCAAGTCCGCCAATATGCGCAGAAGAACATCAAGCCCGGTCAGACTTTGACTGAGATCGCCGAGGGTATCGAGGATTCAGTGCGCGCTTTGACAGGTCACTCGGGTCTGGAGGAGGGTGATAACATCAAGGGTGGTATGGGCTTCCCTTGCGGTCTGAGCATCAACCACTGCGCTGCGCATTATACCCCGAACGCGGGCAACAAAATGGTCCTAAACGAGGGAGATGTCATGAAGGTCGACTTTGGTGCTCAGCTTAACGGCCGCATTGTGGACAGTGCTTTCACCATGACTTTTGACCCCGTATATGACCCTCTTCTCGCCGCTGTCAAGGATGCCACCAACACCGGTATCCGGGTAAGTTGTCCTACTCTTCTTCGATTCAAGCAGAGCTAATGGGTTTTTAGGAAGCGGGAATTGACGTCCGTATGAGTGATATCGGTGCCGCCATCCAAGAAGCCATGGAGAGTTATGAAGTTGAGATCAATGGCACGATGCACCCCGTCAAGTGTATCCGAAACTTGAACGGTCACAACATTGACCAGCACATCATCCACGGCGGCAAGAGTGTGCCTATCGTCAAGAGCACTGATCAGACCAAGATGGAAGAGGGCGAAGTTTTCGCTATTGAGACTTTCGGTAGTACCGGTAAAGGTTACGTGCGCGAGGAAGTAAGCTTATATCGTTACTGGACTGAGAACCGAGAACCAAAGCTAACATGACACTAGATGGAAACCTCGCACTACGCTCTCGCCTCCGATGCTCCTAACGTTCCCCTGCGTCTTTCCTCCGCTAAGAACTTGTTGAATCTGATCAACAAGAACTTCGGCACCCTTCCCTTCTGTCGCCGGTACATTGACCGCCTGGGCCAGGACAAGTACCTTTTGGGCGTAAGTGGACTGTGGAGTTTATTTGGGAGAAATTGAAGCTAACAAGTATAGTTGAACAACTTGGTTTCTTCTGGAATCGTTCAAGATTATCCCCCTCTTTGCGATATCAAGGGCTCATACACTGCCCAATATGAACATGTATGTTTCTATTTTGGGATTTTCTCCACTTGAAGACTGTTTACTGACTTGTTTTTCTTAGACGATTGTGTTGCGCCCGAATGTGAAGGAGGTTATTAGTCGTGGCGACGACTACTGATGTATTTCATAGACATACGTAAATACTAAAAGCATCTTCCCAGGTTTCCAAGTTATCTCCTATTAGTAATGTCTTAATAGATTGGCGAGTCACCAAAAAAGCCCTGACATCAAAGCGCCGATCCTGCCAAGCCTCAAACCATCAAGTATGCCGTGTCGCCCCACGTGGAACAACCGTCTTCCGACTTTTTAAATCAGCTCCTATCTCTCATGGCCTAAACTTCGACACATACCAATTTCCATCATGTCTGCGGTTGTTGAAACAAGTTCACCGCACCTCCGGGTGTCGGCAGCCAAGGCATCCGACAAAACACAGCCAGAGTCCACCAGAATCCAGGCACCGGAGGCTTTAGTCGAGGACCATTTCTTCTGGACATACACCGAAGAGCCGCATCGCTCAAGACGACAGGCAATTATCAAGGCCCATCCGGAGGTACGTAACCCTGTTTTGCAGACCCTCATGATAGCATGGGGACTGGCGAAGACTCCATGCGGAGGTCTGCGGAGCTCCTACATACACCTGGCCACTTTCCTGGGCGACGGACGGCCACAACAAATGCAATTGCAATGCTGATTCGTGGTATTATGTGTCTATAGGTTACTAAACTATGTGGCCCCGAGCCTCTCACCAAATGGGTCGTCCTCGGTGTCGTGTCCCTACAACTCACCTGTGCTTACCTCCTCCGCAACACCTCGATGCTCGATTGGCGGTTCCTGGTTACCGCATACGTGGTCGGTGCGACTTGCAACCAGAACCTGTTCCTCGCCATTCATGAGATTTCACACAATCTGGCATTCCGGTCTGCTCTCGCCAACCGATTGCTCGCCATCTTCGCCAACCTCCCTATCGGACTGCCGTACAGTGCAGCGTTCAGAGTACGTATACTCTTCTACATACCAGAAACGCCAGAGACTAGCATTGCCCCAAGAGAACTCATGAGCTAACCAAGTACCACCAACAGCCCTACCACCTGACGCACCACAAGTCCCTCGGCGTAACAGGCCTCGACACCGACCTCCCCACAGCAGTGGAAGCCTTCTTCCTAAACTCCCTCCTAGGCAAGACCTTCTTCTGCACCTTCCAAATCCTCTTCTACGCCGTGCGCCCAATGTTCATCTACAGCCCCCCCCTTCACCTACATCCACCTCCTGAACCTCGGCGTTCAAATAAGCTTCGACTATGCCCTTAGCAAACTATGCGGCGGCATGCAACCCGTGCTATACTTCCTGCTGAGCTCATTCCTCGCCGGATCCCTGCACCCCTGCGCAGGACACTTCATCGCAGAGCACTACTTCTTCTCAAACGTGAAGAGCGGCGGCACAGAGTCCCTGACAGAGCTGAAGAAGAACGAGAAGCCCAAGGCCCCCCACCCGCTTGATTCCCTGCCTCCTCCGGAGACATACTCGTACTACGGCCCGCTCAATATCCTCACCTACAATGTCGGGTTGCACAACGAGCACCATGATTTCCCTGCTATCCCCTGGACTCGATTGCATAAGCTGCATGAGATTGCGCGCGAGTTCTATGAGCCGTTGCCTTGCCACCGGAGCTGGGTTTGGGTTATTTATACTTTCATCTTGGATAAGGATGTTGGTCCGTGGTGTCGTGTGAAGCGTGAACAGGGTGGACGCATTGTTGGTGGTGGGAAGAAGCGCGGTGGTGATTCTGCTGCATCTAAGCAGTGGAATGGACGTGGTGGTGAGGGCATTTCGGCTGCGTCGGCGGGTCCGGCGGGCGAAGAGGGTGATGGGTGGAAGGAGAGTGAGATTCAATGTTAGATCTTGCTTTCTGCCTTTCAAGTATAACGTCTGGTGTTAAATTTCAGTTTTTCAGTTATATACATTATTGGGTGGAGTACTTGTATTTTCCTAGATATATTTGTTTACAATAAAATTGGCCTGTCGTTTCCAATGCCTATAAGCGTAAAGCAACTTAAAGTGCAAAGACAAGCATGACTGCAATCAACCAATTACTGGAGGATGGAGATGAAGTCTCCGACTATGTACGACATGGACTTAGTTCTAGTAGTAATCACATGAATTATCCCGAGCTCGAGAATGTTTTATGACACAAAGAGAAACGAATCGAGAGGCTGAGTCCGTGCATCATAAAATGATATTAGACAAGACAGGACTGGGTAAAGAAACAAAGGAAAGCAACGACAAAGAGAATGAGACTGACAAACATCCGGCCTCAAGTGGGATTTGGAGTCCAGGGTGACAATATGAAAGCAGAGTATTGATAGTGGTGTGGGAAACTTAAAAGCAAACGCAGAAAAAGGCTGATGCTAGAACAGATAGAAAACGGCATGCTCTTCAAGAGACAGAAAGTAGATGGGAATTTGGGAGAGGCGTCAGCGACGTTAGACCGGAGGCATTGAGCACGCGGAGAGGAGGCGCAATGAATCCAGATAGACCGTGAGAAAGCGACAAACAAAAGACGAGCTTAGAAGAAGAAGTATGCGATCAAGAAGCTGAGCAAGCAGAGGCATGCTACACCCTGGATCGAAACTCCACCGGCAGTTGGCGCATGTGATTGCTGCATGCTGGCAGGCACAGCCTGGCCGGTAGCCTCTCCGCCGGTCTTCCGCTGTCGCAGTCCTTGGTCTGCAAGTCGGTCCTTCAGTCTCTGAATCTGTGCATTGGCTTCAGACAGCTGGGACTTGAGTTCATCGCTCGAAGGGAGAGAGTTGACGGCGGCGGACCTGGCATTTGGAATGGCGGACGCGGGCTCGCGCTGGGGAGACTCGGACTTCTTCTCAGAGAAATCAGGAGCAGGAATTGGGGATGTTTCATCGGAGTCGATCTTCTTGGGGGCCGGGGTCTGGAAGTTTGCGCCAGCAGGAGACGTGTACGCTGGAGGTTCCTCATTTTGCACCTGGTTCAAGTTAGAGCTCGTGTAGGGAGAAATGATTGTCGAGGAGCATACCGAGTCATTGGAAGTGGCATCTGTTGCTAGGAAGACAACTCGAATCTTGCGCTCAACCACATCAACCTTGGGAGTTTGGTCGAACTAAATGTAAATATTAGTTATTGGTCGTCATATTCGCGATCCCGCATGGTGGACATACAATCTGGGCAACGCTGGCTTCCTCCAAGCCACGAGAAACTGGGACGGCCTGGACCAGGAACTTATCCTTGCACTTAGCATCCGGAGCAGGGTCCTCCTTCATAGCTTGAAGCAACACTACCGAGAACAGTTAGCCCGGCGGAATTCAGCTGTACTCGCTTATCAACCAACCTTGGACTTCGACGGTCTTGCCAGGCTCGATGTGGCCGGAGTTAGGTCGCACACAGTAACTAGAATATGGTCAGATAACATATCTCGAGTATAGGCATTGCGCAGAGAATTGTCGGGACATACTGCTTAGGAGCGGTGGTCTTGACCTAGTGCGCCGAGGACATATGTTAGTATTGCTTGTCCCGCGACAAAGACCGAGGGGGGTGTCACACATACCTTGAAGACCACAGATTCCTCGTTCGGGTTGGTCAGGCGGAGAACCTGGCATACTTCATGATTGAAGGGACCTATTATCAAGATATGAGCTATTGATCTAGGCAGGTCTCAGACAGGTTCGGGATGTGGCACTCACGCTTGAAGCCCAACTCGGAGGGCTCGATTTGGATAGTCATGGTGCACGTGGGTCAGAGTGAAAGAGGTGTGAAAAGGGAACAAAGATGACAGAAGCACAGATGACTGCACGCGATTAGGTTCCGATTGGAGAATAAAGGTGTGGGAGGGTTATCAGGTCTAAGCCGATGTGATGCCTCAGGAGTTTGATTACTGTCCACCTGGGCACTTTCGGGGAAATTGGATGACTCAGCAAACAGTCAGGTGATGTCACTATTGACAAGGTATACATCGTCAGGGGAATATTTGCCTTGTTCATTTTAGTTCATTTTAGTTCATTTTATTGGTATCTTGGCTGTGAGATTATATCTTGTTCGAATACCTCACTATTTTCTGACATTCTGTTGAATCCTCGCATCCTCGGATATCCAGCTTCCTCTACCTGCATGTGATGCTTCCTGTGGGTCAATCGTCCCACTTGGGTTTAAATTGTATATATTTCATGCTCTATTGATTGATCATACAGTGGCCCTGGCAATCATTGCCCAAATTAAGCCATGTTATGCTTGATTTCTATAGTCGAAATGCATAGAGCTGTAGCATTGAGGTATGCGACCATATCCCTCGGCCCCATTCAAGTTATGTAGATTTCAATTTCGCTCGTTAATCAAACTTGTCAATATCTTGTAGAAGATATTCTATACCCACCCTTAAAGTCTGAGACTATGAGAAAACCCGGGGTATCTGCAATACAGGTGCGTTGTAGCACACATCCTTCATAAAGACATCTTTCAGTAGACATACAATGCTAGTCTCTCCCCATGAATAAATTATATATATACGTATATATAGGATTCAATCGTCAATGACACCTAGCAGGTCTCTCTGAATATGTCTTACACACCACTTGTCTTCAAGTTGCGTGCTTGTTCGACTCAATGAGCTGCGCCACAGCACACAGGCACCTAAATACATAGGTGGGAGACGTGTGCATAGGTAATACAAGTAAAATACAACATGGAGAGATGGAGTTCACACTGTCACCCTTTCAATGGCCTATAAATGTTTAAATATCCCTCAGACGCGCCATCAAGAAGAACTTGATGCCATAGAAACCCGGGGAAGGTAAGTGGGCCTTATCGCTCGCCGCCTTTCTGATACGTCACCCACTCTCTTCTCTCGCGACCAACTCACTTCTGAATCACCTACCTGAATCAATCTTGACAAAATTTGCTCATTTTCTGAATATTGTCATATTTTTCACATTCCAACAGTCATCATGGCATCGGACCTAGACCAGCTCATAGAAATGGGCTTCGACAAAGAGCGCGCCCAGCTCGCAGTGACAAAGACTGGTGGCTGTAAGCTTCTAACCTTTCCGTGATATCTAAAGTGAGGCTTCGTTTAACTGTCTCAATAGTGCAAGGTGCATTGCAGTGGCTCGAAGACAACCAAGACAAGTCATTGGAGGAGATACAGACACAAGCGAAAGAGGCACAAGACGAAGAGAGCCCCGCACTTCAGCCAGGCGAACAACCGCGCAGCTTAGTATGCAATGAGTGTGGCAAGAAATTCCGAGGCCAGTCACAGGCCGAGTTCCACGCATCAAAGTCGGGGCATGTTGATTTTGCTGAGTCTACCGAGGAAATTGCTCCCTTGACCGAGGAGCAAAAGAAGCAGAGATTGGCAGAGCTACGGGAGAAGCTTGCGGCGAAGCGCGCAGGGCTCTCGGAGCAGGAAAAGATTGACAAGAAGAGGAATGAGGTGTGTATCCCTGGTTTTGGTCCCATCAATTTACTGGCTAGAGCTATTTTGCTGACTTTTACCACTTAGGAAATCCGAAGGAAGAGCACCAAGGAAAGTCAAGATGCCAAGGAGGAACTTGAGCGGAAGCAACAGTTGAAGGAAGCAGCCAAGAAGAAGAAGGAGAAGCAGGATGAAATCGATGCCAAGAAGCGCATCAAGGCAAAGATCGAGGCCGACAAGGAGGAGCGCCGATTGAAGGCAGAGAAGCAGCGAGCTGAGCGTGCCGGTCTGGCTCCTCCTACCCAGCCTGCCACCGCACCCGCACCCACTTCCTCCGGTCCCGCCACGTCTAAACCTGCCTCCGCCTACACGGAAACTCGGTTGCGATTCCAATCATCCAAGGGCAACATCATGAAGACACTGCCCGTCGACACCACGCTATTTGAGGTTGCCGCTGCATTGAGGGAACAGGATGGGATTGAGGTCCAGAGCTTTGTGCAGAATTTTCCTAAGAAGGTGTTTGGTAATGAGTTCTACGGAGAGACTTTGAAGGAGCTAGGACTTGTTCCTAGTGCCAGTCTCGTCATTCAATGATTTATGCCCAGAGAATAGATAGCTCTTACAACGAATGAGAAATGAGATGAAGCCTCGAATAATAGCTTTCAAACATGTACCATAGCCCCATTAATATCCAACTATCCTTAAGCAGTAATGTGTTTTGTTTATTTGAATCTACTCGATTCATGAAGCTCTAATCTTTTATCTTATCGCGTTATCGTCATGTGATATCGCGATGAGCCGCGTCTTGGTGCCTGACAACGCGCTCGCCGACTGGCCTTCATTGCATCTCTAATATCGAACTCGACATTCATTCACAACAAAACATGCCAGCGTGAGACCCAATACCCAGGATCCGGAAAATGTCATATGCCATGGAACCGAGCACTGATAGTGATAATCTCAGCGTTGGTGACCAACATCTCGGTGGTGTGGGATCTATAATGATGCCGAACGCTACAGGAGCCGCCACAGCAAACCCATTCGAGGAACCCCAACGCCGCATCAGCGAATACACCGCACAGGAAATTGCAACATTACAAGCTCGTCTGGATAAGAAATTGGGACCTGAATACATCTCTGCACGACCTGGTGCTGCGGGGCAGAAAGTGCACTATCTCTCCGCGGACAAATGCATCAACCTTGCGAACGAGGTGTTTGGATTTAATGGCTGGTCCAGCTCGATTCAAAAGATTCAGATTGATTTTGTGCGTTAATCATACACTTCTTAGCTACTTGAGGGTCAGCTAACGCTTATCAGGTCGAGGAGAACCATAACACGGGAAAGATCAGCCTGGGCCTTTCAGTTATCATGAGAGTAACTCTGCGGGATGGAACATTTCATGAGGTAAAGGAAACTCTTGGATAGATGATTTTTTTTTCTTCTGGGTTGTTGTGTTGACTCGATCGCTCTTCTAGGATATTGGCTACGGGCACATCGAGAACTGCAAGGGCAAGGCCGCAGCGTTTGAGAAGGCCAAAAAAGAAGGCACAACAGATGCTTTGAAACGTGCATTGAGAAACTTTGGCAACGTGCTGGGTAACTGTATCTATGACAAGGATTATGTGGCCAAGGTGACCAAAGTCAAGGCAGCGCCTGTAAGGTCCCCGATATCCTCCAATTTGCGATGTGTCGTGCTGACTATCACAATAGGGAAGATGGGACGTCGACGATCTTCACCGTCACCCTGACTTCGCGCCACCTGCTAAGAAACAGCCGCCTCCACCCAAACGTGCAACCGAAGAGGATGATCTACCCCTTCCTCGTCCCATACATCAAGCCAGACCAAACAATCCTGGGAATAATACTTCTTTTGATGGGGATGGAGAGTTTGGCAGTATGTGTTGAGAAAAACACAACCTTGGACCTTGGCTAATCGTCTCTAGGTGACCTCTTTGACGAAGCCGATTTTGGGGTAGCCGATATAGGCAATCCTGATGAAATCGTGATAGATACGGAGACCCATCGAGAACCGCAGCGCCCTATGCCGACGAATGGTCCAGCACCTCAGCGAGGACCGCCTGTTCGAGCAGGATTCAACCCCGCTGTCGTAACACCATCAAAACCAGAGCGATGGAACGGCGCAGGCCAGGCGGGACGACCTAATCCTCTGAATGCGCGACAGAACCAATCGGCTATCCCATCTCCAGCCGCGGTACAAGGCCGACCCATGCCCGGTCAAGGTCCTGCTCAAAATATTGCGAACCCCAGACCATCAGTCCCACCACAGCAACCAGTTGGTCACAATGTCCCACAAAACAATATCCCTCAGCCTCCGGTCAAAAAGGAATCCGTTTCTGGGGGCTTTCAAGGAAACCAGGACATGAACCCACCACAAGGGACACCGTCAACGGGTTTCTATTCGGCCAGAGCAGTGGACCTCCTCCGTGAAAATCCAAATTCTGTCCCGCCAGGAGCACCTCAATTCGATCCACACGCAGAGAGTCCCTCCATCCGCAAGACGGCTGGTGTGGACCATACCAAAAGTATTCCTATTGCTAGGCCCATGCTGTCAAATGCCTCTCCCGCACCCACCGCCAATAACAACAATAACACACGTGATTTTGTCAACCCTGCAACTGATATGCAGCGCAGAGTCGGTGCTCCTGTGGGTGGAGTCAGCAGTCCGGTCAGCAGAGGTCCTTCTGTTTCATCGTATCGACCATTGACTCGACCCAACATTGACCAAAGGAACGTTCCCAACCCAGCCGCAATGAATCGAGGGAGTGTACCACCCCAGCAGAATCTCAACGGAAAACGACCTCCGTTGGTAGACGTTACAAATGGCGATGCTACACCTGGCGCATATGCAGGGGTCCCGGCCCCCGGCCCGAACGACCCAAAACGGCCCCGAGTCTCGGATGTTGACTCCTCCGGGCCTTCTTCCGGGCCTTCTTCCGGGCCTCGCCCACCAACTCAGTAATGATCATGATCTGATTTGTCTTTTGTGCCCCAGAGGGTGCATTCCCGCGCAATTTCCAACTACAAGCGTTCCTATTTTATCGAACTTCCCTTTTTTTTCTTCTAATCTTTACCTCTGGTCCACGGCGTCAAGATATGGTTATCACAGCAGGGAAGCATGGCAGGCGTTCCGGAATTCCTAAAGCAAATGGATCCATCGGACCAGCGGGGGAAAACACATAGGTTAACTGGATATTGATACATTCTTTCACATTGGCATATTTTTCTTGTTATCTTCAAACGAATTTAGAGCATATCGGACTTCGGGAACACAACGGTAAGATTAGATCCCAGATTTATGTCACAGAAATATCAATCATATCAAAAATGAAACGTATAAATAACCCAAGTAGCTCCCGCCACCAAAAGCCGACTTCATATTCGATACAAAAGTACGAACAGGGGTTGGAAAAATCTGATCCTCCTAGCATGATGCTAAGGGACCGGTACAGCAAAAGCAAGCAGAAAGTCTATCCGGGTCTTCTGTCCTTTCTGTCCTCTCTGATCCTTTCCCCGCCGTGCCCCGAGGGCTAGCAAGAGCTAGCGTTAAAAGTCCAAAGTAAATCTAAGACCAATCGCGGAAGACACCAAAGACGCGGTCCCTGACATCCAAGCCACGAATCCACAAGAAACACCCGGGTGTTCCCTTATGCATGCATGGCAAGCCCACAGCACCGGTAGCAATTTCCACCGTCCGCCTTGTCGGTACGCTGGGGTTAGCGCATTGATGCATGAGGTCAAGGGAAAAAAAAGATCCCAGACCTAGTGAACACTCTTAATTGGCTCGGGATTGGCGGGTTGGTGCCAGATATGTAGCCGCAGGATAGTTGGGGAGAAAAAGGAGAGTGGGATTTCTCAAGGATGCGGCGCAATCTGGTCTTTTTTGCTTTTTATTATTATTTTTGTTAGTGGGGGAGGGGGGGGGCTTCATTCTTACTAGCTTGCATCACACCTTGTCCTCGGCCCTCGCGTCTTTCCAATGGGTATTTGGGTATGGATTCCGTTCCTGGAACCTAAATATGAGTGCTTATATAGGGTTAATAGGGTCGTGTTCGCTTTCTCACTGGCCTTGCTAAATCTAAGCCGAGCACTAGTTCCTTGTGTACCTATAATAAGTGATTTATGGATCTGATCCCAAATGATCTTTTGAACTGACAGAAAGCAATGAGCATGTTGAGCCGCCGCTCTGGGCTTCCACTAACTTAAAATCGATGAAATTAATAAAAATAATAAAAAGCAAGAAAAAAAATGCAGAAATAACAAAAATACGATTTTCATAAGGAATAATTAAATTAAAATCAAATAAATAGACACAAGTACGATCTACAAATAGTGGGACAGGGATCCTGAATCGGGTCCCCAAATCCAAGCTACTGCGTGTCCTCTGAAGGCGCCAATCACTCTGCATGCCTACGACCAGAGAGGCATTCAGGCCCCAGAGGTGATGGTCAAGTGCCCAGACCACGAGTTGACATATCGGCGTTTATTCTCCGGTTTCCTGCTTTCGTGGCGGCTGAAGGATATTGTGATTCTGCACTGTCCGAGATGGGTAGTAGACAAGGGTCTTTGCCTTGATGCTTAAGCGAATGTGCCTTTTATGCCACATATCATTAATTATATGGATTGGTATTTAAAGAATGATGGATATCCACGTTCATCGAGGCATAATATTGCTTTTCATTGCCAAATTCCACTGTTCATAGACCTTGTCCGTGTGAACATGATTTCTTCGATTTCTCTTTGCTGGTCCTGTACTCCAGTTACAACTACTGTTGCTGCTGGTCTCGGTCTCGTCCTCTTTGCTATGGTCCTGGTTGTTCTTCGTTTGAGAGCTCATCGAGGTCCCAAGCATACCGCAGACTTGACAATTACACAAGTAAGAGGCTCAAGTATACTTCGAAGGTATTCTCTAACCTCTATAGGGAAGCATGATCAAGATTCCTACTTGGAAAAGATCCTATGGCCTGGATGTACAGCAGCCCTATAGGCGTGAATCGTATGAGTTCGAAGGTAAGCAACCTTATCGCTAACTCATCAGAGTAGTGTCTGACTAAATCGGATTTAGATGTGTGAATTGGAATACTCAATGCAAGGTACATGGACTTGGTCTAATGGCAGTGACATTAATGTCATCTAAAAAGAGATGGATTATGGTGACAGAGTACAGCGAGGATCTTCATAGGAAACCATCTATATCCCATGCCTCATGATTCAAAGCAGCGTAGTCTAGTAACAGTAATCAAAGTAGCCAATTAGAATTTTGATGTCTCGTGCTGAATTTTCACACTGGAAAAAGCCCAGGCGCATCCGATGGTACCGAACTGTAAGTTCAACATATCACAAAGAGCAAAGACTAGAAAATTTTCAAGTTCTGTCAGCACCGTGCACATCACACACCATGTAAAGTCTACACATGTCGATATTGATATAGTTAGACCGTTATGTACTTTGGCCAGACCGTTCTCTATGCATAGTACTTCTCGCCGGATGTCGCGTCGTCTTCCCCGTCCGAACTCCCGAATTTTAACGTGCTGAAAACAGTTCCTGACCGCTATACCCGCAGCCATGAGTCAAAAAGAAAAGAAGGGACAAAAAAAAAAACGCACGGTGATGGGTCTCTTTAGGTACAAATGTTCCAAGAGCGGCCGGAGCGGCCGGAGCGGGAAGTTTTCCCCCCGACAAATCATGTGTTGGATATACGATCTACTCGATTGTTAAGAACCTATTTACAACACCCCATCGGGGGGAGGTCTTGCTTGGTCCGCCAATTTGGGATGGATAGTCTAGGCCGATGCATAACCTGAAACACGTTTGCTTTCTTTTTTTGTTATACCTAGCTTGGTAGATTTGAGCTGTGCGATGATTGGTAGAGTATGTAGTGTGATAGATCATGTTTAACCCCCTTTTCTTATTTCTTACCCTAGATTATATTATTATTATTGTTGTTGTTGTTTTTTTCTTTTCCGTTGCGTCATTCTCATGAACAGTACAATCGTACGGAGTACGGACCACTTGTGACTAGATTGGGACCAAGCCTTTCCCCTGCATAAATCTCTTGAAAACGCTGAAGCACCTCTACAACATCCCAAGGCCACATATAGTCTCAGAAGACAGCTGCGAAGGCAAGATCCTCTAAATGCGTCACTTTTGTACGCATATGCGAGCCGGATATTTACAAATGCATTTGGCGGCTGCTTTCATGGTTTGGATAACAGGAATTCCTGCCATCATCATTTTGGGTCTACAAAGTTGCATGATACAGTCAGGGAGAGGTATATAGATGTTATTAGTGAAATCATTGCTCCATTTCCAGCGTTGGGGCGGGGGGTCGGTTAGGGCTAGATATTAAATGGGACGTGGCGGCTGTGATGACAACATGTGTGCTTTGCTGGTCCATTACACCTAAACTTAATCGTGCAATAATTTCCCAATCATCACTAATTCCAACGATTATAATAATCCCAAGTCCAATTCCACCCTATCACAATTGAATATAAAGTCCTCTTTACCAGGCTGACCCGATCGGGTAATCAAGACACCCGCGTCTAGAGTGAATCGGGTGTTCGCATGTACTTTTTTGCTGCGGACCCCATACAAAAAATACATCAGATACATTAAGCCGATTGACCGGCCTTGGCACGGGTAATCAGCTTCTCTGGGGGATAATCAACAACCATGTCGATTGGGTTCAAGATCGGAGTCGGGGGAATGAGGTAGTATGTCATTACTCTTTCTAGGGGTATAAAGAAATCGGAATGATAAATGTATATATAGTCCTGTGAACCCTTTATACCTGAACTGTATAGCGTCTTGAATATCACGTCTGTGTATAGAGACCACCAAAATCCAAAATGGCCCGCACCGTCCTGATTACCGGCTGTTCAGATGGCGGCCTCGGAGCCTCCCTCGCCCTCGCCTTCCACGCCGCCGGTCTAAAGGTCTACGCCACAGCCCGCAATCCCTCCAAGCTAGACCAGGTTTCATCCGCCGGCATCGAAACTCTCACTCTAGATGTCCTGTCTAGCGAGTCGATCAAGAACACCGTGACCAAACTTCCCAATCTCGACATCTTGGTCAACAATGCCGGCGCCGAGTATCTCATGCCCGTAGCTGACGTGGACATCGCCGACGCTAAACGTTTATTCGATTTGAACGTCTGGAGTTATATCGAGGTCATGCAGGCGTTTTTGCCTCTGTTGTTAAAGAGTCCTCATGGCGGTCTGATCGTCAACCAATCCTCTGTGGGCTCTGTCGCCGTACTGCCATTCCAGGGCGTGTACACGGCATCTAAGGCCGCTATTGCAATGCTTTCTGATACCCTGCGACTCGAACTGGGAATCTTGGGAATCACCGTTGTCGATTTGAAGACTGGTGTGGTGCGCTCCAATCTGATCAAAAATCAAAAGGAGGCAAAGCCACCTACCCTTCCAGAGAACTCGATCTATTATCCGGCGCGTGAGGTGGTGGAGAAGGCGTTGAGTCAGGATGCCTTTGCTGAAGGTGGGATGCCGACGTTGCAGTGGGCAACGGCTGTGGTGGGTGATTTGTTGAAGAAGAAACCGCCCCCCGTTATCTGGAGGGGAGAGCAGGCTTGGATTGTGAGGCTGATTAGTGTTCTGCCATTTGGGATTTTTGATGGGATGTTGAAAAAGTTGACAGGGTTGGATGTTGTGGAACAGATTATGAAGGTTCGGTCGTGAGGATATTGACAGCCAGGGATATGCTGGTCCATTTTGAACTGCTATCGTTGATATTCGCATCTGATGTAGCCATGTATATATTCCACCTTATGGAGCCGCCGTCTTCCTAGTTTTACAATGTACACTAGCTCCACGCTGCAAGAGGATCTGCACGCCCTCCTCAAACGCGGTATCAACCGCAATATGCAGTGGCGTGCGCCCACTACTATCATAAGCATCAATGAATCCCTGGTCGCTCATGCAATAATCTAACAAAATCTTCAATATCACCTCACGGCGATAGGAAACTGCGAAATGTAGCGCTGAGCGGCCTTGGTGGTCGGCTTTGTCTATACGCGCCCCATGCATAAGAAGCAATGTGACGACATCTTCGTGCCCGCCGATCGTCGCGTGGATTAAGGATGTGAGTCCATCACTATCAATCTCGTCGCAGTCAATATCCTGCTGCAGTAGCACGCGCATGATCCCGTGGTGTCCCTTCTGCGCAGCTATATGAAGCACAGAAAGACAGCCTGGGTCTGCGTTGTCGCATTGTGTAGTTCGGGGAAAGAGTGCGCTGACACTACCAGCACTAGCGGGCGTTGATTTATCTGTTAGCGCTTTCGGTGGGGAGTTTGTGTCAACAGAGTCTGGTGTAGCTCTGTGATTGATGCTACTTTCGCCTTTGCTTGCTAGAGGACTTGGATGCTTGGAGTTGGAGTTCTGATCGCTACTGGAGATGGTATGCTCAGCAGAATCGGTGTTAGATATGCTCGGTGATGGGCCTGCAAGGAGAGTTGATAAGGGCGAATCCTTCAAATCGTCCATGTTTATGAAATTTTGGATGCCGATCAGTCCATTGGCGCCGCCGTGTAGGCAGTTGACGCCAAACCCGATGGACCCGCCCGGGGATTTGATAGGGCTTGGTGGTGCCGGCCAGGTTCCAGCCGAGAACTTGAAAATGTCAGATGGGTTATCGGTCGCTGATATGGGTGTTTCTAGGGCCTGCTGGGGTGGTTGATCTGCCTTGGCTTTCTGCTGGCTCTGCCGTTCTGGAGAACTGATCAGTAGATGTAAAGCCTCGGATGAGACGGGACATCGACTGGTCACTTACGACGGAACCTGCGCTGAGCCAAGCGATTCTGCGCACGGCGATGCTCGACGGAATAATTGGACTTTCTTTTCGCCTCCATCGTCTAGTTTGCTTGTGCTCGGGAAATCAATGCGCTTCACAATTCTTTTTTTTTTCTCGAGAAGGTGTATGGAGTATCGGCATCGGCTTTTGAGGTGAACAAAGAGAACAAAGGACGGCACAAGGTCAAGGTATGTTGGCATCATCCATATCCACTAGTTAACTAGTTAGCACTTAGTGCTTACCTCATACTTTGAATGTATTGCATTATCTCGATAAAGGAAATAATCAGGCACACAGCCCCGGGACATCCTATACACCATGTTAATTGTAAATTACATGTAGAATATGAGAACCCCCTAAACTGACCAAAATCGGCTGTCTTTCCACCCGAGTCTGTCAACTGGGGTCTGCCATTGTTATGCAACCATAACAGACACGAAATTTAAATTGATCGGATCATTTTTGCTCACATAGATAGGCGTTCGATTGAAGTACAGTCTATCTTTTATGCCGATTTCAATATGTATGTCAAATTCCAATACAACATACGTTTTCTATCCCATACAGTCATTGGCTAGCTTGGATGCAGTGCTTAGTGGTGCCCTTGCGAACATCCCGAATAGATCAACATCGCAATCTTGGAAACCAATACCACGTTCAGATACCGATCCCCATTTAAGTTGCCTGGTCCAAGCCTTAACCAAACTAGACTTCTCACACGGAGCGAGTAGGCCTAGGGCACAGCCTCCATAGCCAATCCTGGCGGATGGCTCCCTTCATTGCGGTATGGTCCTGGTCCTGACTACTGAGGCGTGTGTCTTGGAGTTCCGAGGCGCTGCACCTTGCCCTTCCTGTATCTTTCAATACTCAGACTGTCCCTGCCAATACCTCTTTTCCCACCTCCATCAACCTCAAAACATCCTCAATAGATGTGCCTGCTGAGCCCTACTCTGACAAGTTCAACATCTTGAGAGACAAATCCCACAGCTTCTTCTCACCCTCCAGATCGAAGGCGTGTGGTGCAACACCGACCGCCAGTATACCACCCTCGGGGACTGGGCCAGCTTCCTGGCAATCCTCCAGATAGACGCCACCCTTGCCTTCCCATTCCTTGCCAAATGCAGCCGTTATGGTTGTGGCAGAGCCTTGAGCCGGGCTCTTACCATACTTTGTCGCAGGCTCACTGGAACCCCACTGCTTCAACGTTTCCGGGTCGACGTGGCGCTGTAGGCCTGTGGCAATACCTCCAGGCATCAACGAGAGGCCGTGCAGACCCCTTGAACCGTATCGGCGCTCGATCTCGTTCGCCATCCAAATACAAGCTGTCTTGGCACTGCCGTATGCCTTCCACGCCTCATACTCACCATCAAGGTTAATGTTGTCGAGGACAACAGAGCTCATGTGATGGCCAGCAGAAGAGACGTTGACGACGCGGGATTGGAACTCGGGCGTGGAACTGGACAAGAGCGTCTGCTCGAGTAGCTTGTAGAGAAGGAAGTGGCCGAGATAGTTGATTGCAAGCTGCGACTCGAAGCCATCCGCTGTCTTCGCCTCTGGACATGCCATGATCCCCGCATTGTTGACCAAGACATTGAGTTGGGTCGACTTGGACAGAAAGGTCTTGGCTGCGGTGCGGACGCTTTCCATGGAGCCAATGTCCAGCTCAAGCAGCTCCACACGACCGGGTTCGAGGATCTCTTCCAGGGCTTGCTCTCCTTTCTCCAAGTCACGAACGCCAAGATACACTTTACCACCAGTTGCGGCGAGCGCACGACCAGTTTCAATGCCAATACCTCCAGAGGACCCGGTGAGAAGAAAGACCTGGTTATGATCAATTCTAGTTCTGGTTTTCAGCAGCAGCAGTGCGAACCTTCTCCTTCATGGTACTGATCCGGTCGTTGTCCTTGAGAATGTCAAGAGCTGTAGGTCGAGCGTCGCCAGGCCCATTCTGCTCCAAGAAGGCCTGAGTGTACTTGCCGTTCTTGCCCTGGTGATTACTAATGAGCGGATTGGCCATTATGGTGATCGTGATGAAGGAGGATAGCTGGTAGATTGAATTTGCAAGTGGGTGCTGTGGAGAGGGTGTATGTCGGGGGGGGAGGTGTGGTAATAGGGTGACTTGCACTGGCACGACTTGAAACATGGGTCAAGAGTTGAAGGGCTGTTCGAACTTCGTCGGAGTTCGCTTCGGGCTTTAGTTCGGACTTTATTTCGGATTTTGCTTAACACCTTTTCTCGAGTCACGCATACAGGTGCTAGGGTGTATAATAGGATATGTGTTCATATACAAATTCAGTATTACAAACTCATGAAATCCTTTGTAAACCACCAATTAAGCTTAACTCCATCAACCGACTGCGATATTGGGCTTAAATCCATCATGTGACCATTATCATTATTTAACAAAGGCTAGATTAAATATAATTTGACAAGACTGGATTAAATTAAGTATCATTCAATTAATTTATGTTACAAAGAATGACATTCTGTAGTCCATACCACTGTATCCAAATGATAAATTGCGAGAGTATTCCGGTTTTACAACCGTAGGCCGATGAGAAAGAAAGAAACAAGAGATCACCAGGGTCAGGGCTTTTATGTCATGGTAATAGAGACGTATGGGGCGCTAGACTAAAAATGGCAAAACTAACCGCATGTAGTAGTTCACAGGTCCAGGTATTACAACATCTATACGGAGTAACCAATAACTACACGTACCTACATAAATGTATGTAGGTAGGTAGTTACAATTTTTATTACCCTAGACATAGCTTCCTGACAGCTCATGTATGTTAGATTCATCTAGTTAGCAGTTACCTTCCCGACTACATGTCTGACTTCAAGGTTTCGATGAGATACTGCATTTAAATTGAAGCGAAAAAAAAGATTAATCAATTCATTAGGGGTTCAAGTATTTAGCAAATCATACACAGCCCGCTAAACGATCATTGACCTTTCGCTTTGAACATTTGAACAACTGAAAATAAGAACACCATTCAGCAAGGGAAAGCGAAAGACCTCAAAGCTCAACTAGACCGCAGAAAGGATGAAAACAACACTGAAGTCAAGACCATAGATGATAAGAGCTGGCTGAGGCTAGTAGAAGAAATCCACTGGAACTCAGACTCTGAAAATTGGTTGTCGTTAATTAGCGGCGAGATCGGTTGGAAGGGAAAGAACCAGTAGCCTTCGCTTTCGGCTGGGAAATCGTCGCAGGATCAGGCATCGAAAACAGTCGGCGTGGGGCTTGCAGGGAAATAGGGCCACTGGATTGATCCATAGAGCTCGAAGCACCATGGGGAACATCCAATGAGGGCCGATTCTCAGTACTAGTATGCCGAGCAGAAAGAGTGCGAATGTGGGCTTCTGAAACATCGCGCAAGGTGGTTGGTTCATAGGGACTGGGGGCAGGGCCGATCACACGTGGCTTGTATGGCGCAGGGCCGATAGTACGAACGTCGGTTGAGTGAACGTCCTGTTGTTTGGGAATGTTCGGATGGTTTGCGCTCAGCCCCCAAGTCATGGTCTGGGATTGCACCGCATTAGGTTTGATAACGTTAGCATTGGAAGTGACAGAGCCTACAGGTGCTGCAAAGATCGAATCGTCAAGAGTCCGTGGCTTTTTGGTTGCCTCCTTTCGACGAGACGCCAGTGCAGGAGTCACCTGACCAGACGCATCGGGGGTAGGGGTCATCTTTGGAATATCAAGCAGACGAAGTGTCGGGACACGGACCACACGCTGAGGCTGGAGGGGCGCAGCGAGTTTGTCCGAGACCTGAAGGGATTCGAACTGCGAAATGATGTCGGAACTCTCACTCCTGGTTGGCGAGAGACCGGGCACACCTACCTTGTGCGTGTTGTTATCAGCAGACGGGGGTGAGTTCGAACTAGACGAAGGCTGGGGTGGCGATCGGTGTCCCTCAAAGGGGGTAAGGTCGCGCCGGGCAGCCGAAGGAACTTCGACGGCGTTAGTTGCTTGCTGCGGTGTTGAAAGATACTCAACAAGTGCAACAAGACTACCCAGCCGATTTTCAATTTCAGAGGCTGCAGGTGCTGCAGGTAGTGGTGCATATGCTGTAGGAACCAACTGGAGCAATTTCGATTCAAGTATGCGCTCGATATCACGGGTAGTAGCTAAGTCTTGGGGCGAACGAATGTGTCTGCGGATGTCTCGAAGTTCTTCAATAATTTGCGGTCCATAGATATCGATCTCATTGATCGCTGTTTTGGGCGCAATCACTTCATCAATGCTCTTGACTGGCACTGACCCCCCGGGCTTCCCAGCAAACTTGAGACCCGCCAATTCCGCAGTACCTGGACTCTGGATTGCCACTGTCTTTAAATGACGAGGGGTTGACGATGCTGCATTGACCGGTGAGTCACCCTCGCCGAGAAGATCTTGCAACTGGGCTTTCTGCTTGTTCTCCTCCGTCTGAATACCAGAAGGAACACTCTGCCTGCTTTCTTTAGGTTGGGTGACTTTGGGGACTGGTGTCTTCTTGGCCTCAGCGATGGGCATGGTGGCTTTGGGCAAGACTGCTTTTTTGGTCGATAAAGCCGTGTTCTTCCGTGGCTCTTCGCCTGGCGAAACCTTCCATTGAATTTCATCCTCTGCGATTGTGCCCACTGCTGAATGATGAGACTGGGAACTACTCGCCATATCTTTTCCTTTTTGTGACTTGCTGCTTTTTTGGGCGGAAACGGAATGGGATGCGGGCGGGATGGGTGCTTCCACTTGAGGGGTGTTATTGTGTGGCTTAGGAGATTTGGACGTATCAGGCTGGACCTTGCGGGTTTTGAAAGATGCAGTTTTATCAAGAGGAACAACACGAGCTGAGAGTGGTGTTTCCACTAGATAGGGTCCAATATGTGGCTGGTCAATATGGGCAGCACGGGACGGAGTCGTCAATGTTGCCACAGGTGAGGATGCATGCTTCGAAGATGGAGGAATGCTCGTTGATTTCTTCTTGGGTGCATCACTCGGAGGCATTTTGGGCTTTGGATCTTTGGTCGGAACGGGTTCTTGTGTAGATTTAGTCTTCTGCATTGGAGCGGAGACAATTGTATCAGTAGACTTGTTGTACGTTTCAGTCGCTCGGCGAGACTGAAATGAAGACATGAAGTCGGCAGGGTCGGAGATTCTGGTGGCAAAGTCGATTCTGGCCAAGCAATTAGCATATAAACTTCGCCAAAAGAAGTCTGATCACTTACGCTGGAGGCTGCCGCTGAGCTCTGCTAGGGGCGGACGGAACTAAGAACGTTGTCAGTTGTGCTCTCTTTCTGCACTAGTAATCAAAACGTACCCTGGACCTGCTGCTGGGAATTTGCCTTGCCCTTACCCTTGCCATACCCACGTCCCCTTCCTCGCTCACGAGAATCACCATCGTCATTGTTGCAGTTCAGCGCAGGGTCCAGATGAATACTGGCCGACATCGTGGTCAAGCGAGCGCGTGTTCCTGGGCGTCCTGGGCGGCCGATATTTCCTCGGAATGCGGCTCTGTAGTTTCATTTCGTCAATTGGGATGTCTTGAATGCGGGATTAAATCAACCTCTTACCTTGCAAAAGCCAGAGGAAGATCAGCAGGTCCCTTCGGGGGAGCGGGAACAACACCACCTCGTCCTCTCTTTCCCATGACACCACCACCGCGACCTGCAGATGGAGTTGGGTAAGGATGATTGGCGTAAGTCCGTGGCTGGCTTCCATCGGGATGCAACATTGCGTGCAAACTAGCACGGTGAGACTGGCCGGAATCGATGTCATCGAGTTCCTCCATTCCATGAGTATCTCCGATCTGAGTGTGGAAGTCTGTAACTAAATTTAGTACAAATTCAGTAACACAGGGGGTCCCTTCTTCCGCACTTACTCGCCCATTTGCTCAATTGATCTTCATCTCTCTGATCAATCAGTCGCTTGGATTCGATCTCGGCAAGGTGTGTGCGAGCCTGATTGGCGATATCAGCGGTCGAAATCATTTCACGCCGCGCGGTTCCTAGATCCGCCTGTTTATGTTGTTAGAAAGGTCAGAGAAGAAGTAAGAGACTAGATATGACCATTTGGATAATTTGCATTCTGCGGAGCTGCTCCGCGGATTCGCTCATCTTGCCGATACGCTTCCCGCGGCGGGTGAAGCGTCGATGATGGCAAGGTGAGGGCGCTAGACGCAGTTGGGTGACAAGTTGGTATCAACGTGTTACTGGGTTAGATTTGTGTTTTGGTTGACCAAAACACGAAGGGCAAGTGAGGTGCGGGGGGAGGGAGATAAAAGTTAGAGTGTAGGAGACGGTGTCTCCCAGATAGCGTGTATTGGCAGGCCAATGTGACTTCAGAAGCAATGGTTCTTCAAAGGGAGGACAGATGAATCAAGCCTTGAAAAAGCCCAAGCAGGGTCCCTAAGGTACAAATAACAAGTGGGGTTACCTCAAGGACTTCGAAGTCTGAAAAACGAAATAGACAAGTGATAGACAGCAAGCAAATTTGTCACCCGAAACGTGAACTGTGAGAACTACCGTGTGAGTTCAAATAGAAGTAGACGAATCGAGAGACAAAAGAACAGGGAAAGGGTGGTTGTAGAAGGAAACAAGAGAGAAGATGGGAAGAGGGTAAATAAAGGAACGATCAGGACCGGGTTGGGATCAAAGGCGCGACGCGTCTGTGAATGGGCAAACAATTGGATTGCTGCTTTTGGTAGGGACGAAGCTGCATATTGCGACACCAAGGCCGCAACAGAGTCGCAAGCCCGTCGCACCTTCCGTCGAAGTCTTTTGGTCTTTGGCAATGACATGTCCACGTGAGAGTCGTTTTGGGGCACGTGAAAACGTCCACGTAATAATGAAGCCCTGTAGATATATGCTATAAAGCCATTGAGAAAGGATTGTTGAGTTTTGGGATGTAGAGGGCGAGCGGAGTTGTAGAAGATGAGAAACGAAGCGAACGGATTGCGAAGCCGAAGTCGCAAAGCGCACGTGCCCAGTGGCTAGCACAAGGAAGGTGTTCTTCACCGTACTCGGTCTGACTTCAGGGTATACATACGTACATGCTACCTACCTAGGCATACAGCATCTACCGAGGTACCTGCTATGTATCCTCAGACGTTGCAACTCACTCCTACAGAAACAACGGCACATAGTGATTTCTGAATGAGAGTATTGCAGCGTATCATACACAACAGATATTTGTTCAAGATGGAGAAATATGTACATAGCAACACAGCCCCAAGAGACTTCTCGGGCACACCGAAAGTATAAGCCGCCGCCATTGGTGTAAAGTCCTCAAAAGGTCCCCTCTAGGGTGCACTGCAGCTATGAGTCTCGCCGTCATCTGCGAAGACAAATTTCAATATTAGTATATGTGCCGAGAGTGCGACCAAATAGCCATTTAGTTGGGTACAATTGCGGCCATTTCCCGGGACAGACTTACTTCGAATGATCTTGACGACCGCCTGCACTAGACTAACACCCATTACAAGCAACCCAAAGCATATGCATAGATACGCCGGGATCTTCTCCCGCCGCGTAGCACTGCTTAGTTTGATGTAACAGAGAGGAGGGAATATATAGGCTAGAGCAGCCGCACTCGTCGCGCCAATGAGCTCAAAAACACTTCCCAGATCACAGGTTATCAAGGACAACACCATTGAAGTCACCACCAGTGCTGTTGTGAAGATAACATGGCGAACAGTGTTATGTGGTTCGTCGGGGAAGTAGTAAGTTGTCATGACGGAACGACAGACGAATGCCTCAAGCGGTAGTGTCGTCAACATGTTCAGGCCAAAGCAACTAGTCGAAATTAGTCAAAAGTTCTATATCGAGATCAATGGGAAGATTGTACAATCGTGCGATATTGACAACGATATTGTCTGATGGGAAGTTGTTCAGAACGTTGCCCTGGGTTTTAGACCCGAAGGATAGGAACCCTGCTATGCCCATTGCCAGACACATCACTAGAGAGATTCCTGTCGAGTAATGAGTGACCCGAGTGAAACGGTCGAGTGTCGGCTTTTTCAATGAGCCGTATATCAGAAGGCTGTTGTGGTCTGTGGAAATTAGCGATCGTGATATCAGTGGGATAAGATGGGACATACGACAAACAAAAGCTAAAAATTGTTAGCAAATTTTCCAATTATCAACAGGGACAGCTAAAACTCACCAAAAGAGATGACCCCGACAGCTTGGAAAAAGCCAGTGTTGAATATGAGGTGGCTTTTAATCTCTCCGCGCGATTCAGGCGACACCCGGAAACCCTGGGTTATGACCGTGACAACAATGACTATCATACTGACCAATGCCAAGGCCGATGCTTTCGCCAGCTACCTAATTGTTAGTCTCTGATCAGCAGTAAGGAAAGAGAGATCTGACCTTGGCGATGTCTCTATACAAAGACAATGGGTATGAAACAACCAAAACAAAAATAACGATAACGGCCCGGCGATCCGTGAGGAGCCATAGGAAGGACATATCCCTAAGAGACGGAAACAAAGCGCCTAGAACGTGTGGAATGGTATCGCCGACAATAATACAGAATGCGACCATGCCACCGAATGCGAATGCCCACTGCGCAACCGAGATTGCGATGAGACCGGGTTTCCCGAAGCAATGCTGCATAGTCGCCTGGAACGAATCCGCCCCACTCAATTTAGAGTTGATCACAATCAATCGAATGGTCCAATCCACTGTGATGGTCAAGGCAGTCAACAACAAAATCCCCACTGTCATACCTGCCTGACGAAGCGCATAAGGTTGCCCAATAATTCCTGCCCCTATAATGCTGTTGGCCATGTTCATGAACGCCATTTTCATCCCACTCCGTGGCCGTGCATCTTCGAGATGGTCTTCGGGGAAGAAGTCGTCTGATGTCGCAAGTGTCACACTAGGCGCTTCAATATTTGTGAGGAGAGGAATTGATTGTCCATTGCGGTGTGTTCTTGGGCCCCGATTTCCAATTTCATAGTCCTCATCCTCTAGCCATAGTGTGTCGTCTGGACTGTCATCCAGGCTGTCATCTAGGCTGAGAGCACGCTCAATGGAAAGCCGGTTGGGGTCTTCGGGCTCTTCCTGCAGATCAAATCGAACTCGGTTCATGGTACGGGGTGTGCGGCGCTTTCCATCGGCTGTAGGCTGAGAGATAGAGGAGTTGCGTGTGCCATTTGTCGCGTTATGTGACGGGATCGGCGATGGAAGAGGCTCCGGGTGGAAAGCTAGATCCTGCTCTTCATTTGAGGCAGACAGAAGTGATTGGGCTTCGTGTTCATCCTGGCCATGCTGGGCATACAGGTGATCCTCTGACAACTCATCCCCTGGCATCGCTGACCTTAGATAGTTGGAAGTGTAACGGTTACTTTCAGGACACCTGGATGGAGGCGACACGTGATAGCTTATCGATAAGAGTTCTTTGGCCCGATAAGAGATAGCAACGGTTTACCATGTGTACGTCAACGGGTACTCCACTGTATGTACCTAAGGTTGCTAATGACAACATTGAAGTTACTACTTAGGGAGAGCTAAATACAAATGGATGAATTACTATGCTTATAAATGGAAAGGCACAGTTCATTGCGTAGAATCAACCCGAGGCGATACCAGTACATACAAACCAACAAAGGTTATCACCTCCACTTTTCAGTCCTAAAGTCACGTCTAGCTTTCCCTTTTTTCGTGTGTCACTTTAGGCAAAACGCGAACTAACTTACAGCATCTTGTGTATCCTCTATATTGCTAGAAAACTTGATGGGATAAGGTTACAGCATCGAAAGGATAAACTTTGGTTATATATCTCTTAGAGGTGATTGATCAGAGTTTCTAACAATTTCAAAAATGTTCTTACGTATTTAGAAATGCAACCTTGGAAGAACAAAGATTACTCATATAACACAAATTCAATGATGCTACCCACAGAATTATCCAGCCCATTAATTCTTTCGACCCAGAATTCGGTCCCTTCCATAAGAGCATACCATTGCTTCACGCTACACCCTTTACCAGCCATGAAAAACATGCTGATATCATAAAGAACATTTTGTGTGTCTGACTGAGTATCTACCAGGACAATATCGCAGATGAGAAGCTTTGAGTTGTAGCCCCTTACTGCTGGCCCCAAGTATCTGAGAATCGTTCTGCATCCAGCATATTGCCAGTCATGTGGTATGGGCCTGAGTAGGTATGTCGCAGCATCCGAAGAATGGGAGTAAGTAATTGGTACATCAGTTATAACTTTGACTGTGTTCAGCTACCTTTCACAGGCTGCACCTCTTCAAAAAAGTTGTAAGGTTGCACTCGACCTCGGGCGGACACACCATATCTCCAGCTTCAATGGCCGCTGGCAAATCCTGGAGGACATAGCGGCCCTTCAGGTTTGGATATGAGGATTGCATGCTCTAGGTGCTTTGACCCTTTTGGCTGCTAATATCGAGTAGGACGAATCCATCTTCCTCGGCTTGAAGACTGCTAAACTCTTATAAGTCACCAAGGAAATATTTAAAACTTGTCATGGCTTCGTTGAATGCTACAGCAGCTTTGGGATCTTGTTACAGCAGAGGAAAAGTCTACATTATTGACTCCCTTAGAAAAAGAAAAAGGCATGTTCATTCTGTCGGAGGGGCTCATGAAACCCGTGACCTTGAAGGAATCAATGCATGAAGACATGGGTCTAGACACATTATCCCATGAATGCCTAGTATATGACTGCATGAACTGTTGGTCTATTTTGAAATTCGGTCTGCTTAAATGTATCCTCTTCAACCCCCTCGCAGAAATCCAATGCCCCTAGAGCGCGCACAATGCGCCTGGTAAACTCTAAATTTGTGCCTACCCGCTTTGCTAGACGCTCAACTGTGAAAGGAGCAGAGGTTAGCAGGTTGTCAAAGAGGCGCATCCCGATGGCCAGCCTTACGCAAAGAACTTTGTGGGGTTGGAAATGAAACGCTATCAGAGACCGTCTCAGCTCCACTGCGCATTGTGCAAACAAACATGCACGTAGACTTGATAGTGCCCAGGTTTATGCATGGTATCGTATCTCCTGCGGCTGGTATGGTGATATAACGATCGGATGGGACCAGAAAATTCCATGGGTTGAAGACTATTTTGTAGATGCATGCCATGTTATTTTCAAATCAAGAGAAATTTAGCGCTGACCGCTGGAGCTACTTATCAGTCGACACGAACCTTTTGTGAGTCATCCCTGGCAATTCTATTGAGGGAGGATGGACCTGTCGAGTGTGGGTCATGACCCTAGTAGACTGGCTACGTGGATATGGGAACATACATGCACCTACATTTTACATAGGATACTATCAGTTCAATGACTCGCGTGCAAACATACCCTGAGACGGAGAAAGCCTTAGCATCTTTCTCATGACTGGCAAAACGCTTGCTTGCAAATCTTATTTTGCAGAAAGTGCGGTCCTTGCATCTCAAGTCTTATGGAAACAGACAGAAAATAGAGTACAGTTCATTTGTCAATGTGGCTTGCTATACCGATGTTAAGTTCTTCTGATTTGGCTGGCTGTAGTGGCGATTTGTGAATACGATGGTTTCATACTGATGTATGTGGTACTGAGTTGTGGTGAGCTGAAACCTGCCCTAGGAAGATCCATTTTGGTCCTATTTATTAGTGGATACCATATCGACCTAGTAGAACTTGGAGAACCGCATGATAGATCTATAAATCTACACAGGGCTGAAGCAACAGAGGATTCTAGGCTGCATGTTTGAATCGTGTCACGGGTGCATGTATTGATAGATCAGAAATGGACATTCTTTTAAATGAACCGTGCACCGCTCTCTAAGCTCTCTTGTTTCATTCCAACCATCCGCCTGAAGTGTCTATATATCTTCGAATATACTTGGAAAATGGGCCAGATACAGAATCCCGTAAAAGACTATTGGTCTACGGAGGTTTGTAGTTGTGAACTCTTGCCTTATCTTGTATGTGCTGATGAGTATAGACCTACGCAACTGCGGTTCCTTTCGCCCCCCATTTAGCCGACACCCTTGTCCAAAGCATAGAGTTTGATCGTACTGATAGAGTTCTCGATATTGGATGTGGCGATGGCAAATTTACTACCAGCTTTGCTCCCTCAGTCAATTATGTTTTGGGCGTCGACTCTTCTCCATCCATGATCAACACGGCCAAAACATTGGAATACGGTGGAGCAGCTACGGATTTCCGCGTTGTCGATTGTCGGCACCTTGAAGAAGATGCAGAGGTTATGAATGGGAACTGGGACAAAGTGTCAGTATTCGTGTTTCCGCTTGCTGGTGGAGCCTTGCTGATACAACGTTAGTACCTCCAATGCTGCATTCCATTGGATCTTGAAAGACCCATCTACCCGTATCTCCAAATTGGAGAATATTTTTCAATCTATGAAGCCCGGGGGCACATTCTTCTTTGAGATGTGCGGACATGGAAATGCACCGGAAAAGGTCACAGCATTTATGTTCGCTCTGGTCAACCAAGGAGTCCCAATCGAGACAGCGGAGGCTATGTGCCCATGGTTTTATCCCTCCGACGTCTATATGAAGAACATTCTCGAGAGCGTTGGATTTCAGGTTAAGAAGATTGAACTTTACACGAAAAAACAGGAGCTGAAGACTTTTGAGAATGGTGGGGGGTGGATTGGAAGGATTCATGAGACTGATCGGCGCTCAGATGCTGGATATTTTGGATAGCGAGGAGAGGAAGAATAGCGCCATAGAACAGATCTGCCGGATGCTGCGCTATGGCACCACAAGAGAAGATGGTAGTCAATGGATCACACATGTCGGTCTGAGATGTATTGCTGTTAAGCCATGATCAGAGCTTAACAACAGTCTTCATTTCAACCAAGTTCTATAACAAGAATCTAGCTTTTCAGCTGAGCCTATGCAATAAATATACATAAAGCCCCAAATTATACCAACCGTAAAAGTAAACTGATCTTTAAGAATTGAGTACAAGTATTCTCAGGAAAAAAAGTCATGGAAGTCATGTGCCCCATCCATGTACTGTACGCTCATGGGCATACCCAGTCCAGCGATTCCTTTCCCGCTCTAACACCCCACGAATCCTCAAATCACTGGTTTACACGGTTGCCTCGGGTCCAGAAAAAATATTATAATGCTTTGATGATGATCTTCCTTCACAATGATACAAAAGCTCGACTTGGGTCGATCCACTCTGCGACTCCGAGATTCAAAGTTGCAGCTTCACCTGGCCGCATCGGCTCATTTCACCCAACCACCAAGCCATGGAGCCCTTCAGATACCAATTAACCTCTCAGAATTGTCTAATCTAGAAAGTGTGTGGATAACAGAGGCACCAGAGCTGGAGCTGCGCTTCTTCGTCGGGGGAAATTGGGACGGGAATAAAATGACGGTATTCGTCTCAAGACTGAGCAGCAAACTCTGTACTATGGAGGTTTGTGTGAGAGAATGTTTGCCAAATCGGAGACTAATTGCTCCTTGCTCTAGATCTGGTCAGATCTGGGATTCTCAGTTGAGCTCAAGACGGGTGCATGTGGATATTTCATTGACACTTCTGGTTTCCACTGCATCAAACTTGGTGTGCGCAGAGTGTGTCGAGTATTGAACCACACAACGGGTCGGGCTTTGCCTAGTTCAATGACCAATCCCCCAAACGCGTGTCCTCCCCCTAGCGTACCGGTAGCTACCTTGGCTTCAATTGACGTTCGGCTGGAGTATCGTTTTCACGCTAGGGACATATCACAATCCCAAGACTATTCCAACTCGGGGATTGGTCTTCTTGAGCAAGAACCATCCGTTGGCGCCTGTTCTCGAGTGCTAGATAGAATGGCAGAAACCCCAACCTTACATGCAACGCATGACGAGGATTCTTCTGAAGCTCTTGGACCCCAGACTGCTGGCATATCTGGAGATGGATCTGATCCATCATGGGAAGAAATATTTCGACTGCTTGACCTTGGAATTCGAAGACTGGTCATTTCCAACTCAATCAAAGATCGCACAACCCTTGTCTCACAGCAGGGCACGATCAAGAGCCTCGCAGGTATCTTCCCCGCCGTGTTCAACCCTGCATATCGGGATGTGAGTTTTCAGTCTCAGTCCTGCAGCTCAAGTACTAATTTCAATCAGGCGATCAACCAACGAGGAGTGACAATTCCAATAATAACGAAAGCCATATCGTCTATGTTAGCAGGAAACAAGGATCAATCCACCAAAGCTCAATTAGCGGACTGTTTAGAGCTCAATCGCTCCCACAGCACTAATTATTTGACAACGAAGCCTCAACTTCCAAGTTGCAGGACTGCAATCCTCTCATCACTTTGGCGTGTCGCCCAGAAAAATTTCCCCAAGATGAAACCAATCAAACGACGAGCTTCGATATTCTCTACGGAGAGTTTATCAAACGGAGTGACTAGGTCAGACGAGCCGGTGCGTCTCATGTCTACAGTCCAACAAAAGCCCAACAACGGAAATCCGGGACAGCATCGTTCTTTCCAAACACAACACCACAACGAGAATGAAGAATGTGATGTTTATCTGTTGAATAGTGAGGCTGAGGACCAGCTTTTGGACAATTTCAGCGAGACAAGCTTCACGGACCTCGGGGATTCTACTCAGACATCCCTTAACACGTTGTTCTCAACAATTGAGTCCTCTCAAACTTCATACCATGATCATGATACTATGCTTCTCTCGGATCATGCCGAATTGGCGGATTATCCGGGAAACTATGTGACAGAGTATGATCCTGGAGAAGATATGGAGACATACGATACGGACATTATAATGGCTGATGACCTTTAGATTTTTTATATGATAACTTTGCTGTGATATAAATACACTTAAATAATGATCATAAACCTTAAGTGAGCTCGAGTATCAAGAAGCAGACTTTGTTTTTCGCTGGCGATATCTTGAAATGTTCATCTCGGCATGGAATAACTAGGCGCCGTTAACCCATAAAAATGAAGCGTTTGATTCCCGTATAAAAGTGGTGCTTTTAAATTATTTCTCGCACTTTTATATTAATTACTTAGAATTGATTTTAGCTCCAGAGAGATGTAATCATATTAAACTATACCTTAGTAGTCTTGTTTGTCTTGTAGCAAGTTAGATTGTTAATAAAAATAGATACTGTATTATGAATTTGGTATCCTAGGTACCTTTTATATAGGGACACCATACGAAGTGTACCTAATCTCAAAATATATTATTGACTAGCGCGCACCAACCCGAGGTATATATCGCTGCTATCAAGACTTATCCATAATAATATCAATTCCTAGGGTAAGAGGGCTTCGTATTATATTATCTTTGGCCATAATAACATTATAACATTAGATAGATTACTCAAGAATATTAATCTGCTTATGTATATCTCTTATACAACGCACTAGGAAGCACGGTCTTTGCGATGTCCCTCCTCCCAAGTAACGCTAATATTCACCGTCTTTGCAATTCCATCCCCCGTTGTCCCCCCTCCATCATCACTGTCATTGGCATTTACAGAAGTCCTAGTAGTCCCCATCTCCATATCCTCGCCCCGTGCACCAGAAAAGAAATTCTGCCTACTCCCAGAGGCCTCGTGATTGGTTTGTACGCGATTCGTCGCGCGTTGAAGGCTTGTTGTTTTATTCCTGTATGATGAGGTGAAAGGGAAACTGCTCGACTTGTCGCTTGCAAACAACTGGCGCACGGAAGAAACAGCCAGCGAACGAAGGCAGGGAACCGATGCGGTGATAATGACAAGATAGCATTCGATCATAGCCCAGCAGGTAAGATCTATCGCATTGGCTGTACCATCCCAGGTTAAGATCTGTTTGAGATATACAGCCTTCATTATGGCACCGACTGTTGCGCTGTAGAGGGGGAAAAGACGTCCGTATTAGTAAATTTGGCTAGAGAAGGGTGGCATAACCATTTCAAGGAAGACACTTACACGAGACCCAAACTCGTGAGTACCATGAGGCTGAGCTTGATCATCGGTTTTAGCTTAAGATCCCAGAAAATATATGATGGAAGGACTGCTAGCAGTAAGTCTGCTGCGGAGTTGCAGACTATGGATAGTTTGATATGGTTAGTTAAGAACCCAGGGAATCGCGAGTTTGCTAGCTGCAACTGAGCCATTGGCATCGGGTGGACATACAGCAGAGGAAGTAACCAAAACGGAGCTGAATATAGTCTTCCGTGCAGTCCGTGGCATATTTGATATCCCAAACCCCACGGATATCGTGGCATTGGGATAGGATAAGGATAATCATCACAGAGTTTGCCACTATTTGTAGCGCAAACAGTACCCATAGGCTGATCTTGAAGAATCTCCTTGTTGAAAGAACAGGCAATAGGTAGAGGATGAATGCGATTCGGCCGAGGCATGTGCTTGTGACGCTGCAAACCTCCATTATGGTATAGAATTTAAGAGCGGTGGTCTCGTCGGCTCCAGGACGACCGGATGCAAAGCCGTAGTCAAGGACTGCGATTGTGAAGAGTATCGATGAGGCGACGGCGAAACCCTGTAATAAGGGTTAAAATAATAGACTTATACCATCATTTTCCTCTGATCTTTAGCATGAACGTACCAGAGATGCAATCATTGTGACATCGTCTAATCCCATATGGCGAAGCCTGGCTTTTGCAAATATCCGGAGCACCATCACGATGATTGCGACGGCCCCAAGGGCCCATGTACCCTCTAAGACCGACTTCCGATCACCAACGAGAGAAACCATCATATGGGATTGAAATCAGTGATCGTTACATCCCCTTTAATTTGAAAGCAATGAGGTCTGATAGCGGTGAATTTGACACAACATGGGTGGCAAGAAAATCCACAAAGATCTGGGTCATGAACTCATTATCAATTTTTCCGCGTGTCGATCAAAGAATCAACCAACTAGGCCCCTAAAAACCTAGAACAGACTGACTTCGAGGATCATTTCATTTTATTTCATGGCTCACGAATGGAATCTCGACTTGAAACGGAGCAACACATGGTTTAACTTCCGGCCCACTTTTATTTGAGACATGGAACCGGAACTTCTGCCTCGGTTTCGAGCTTCAAAGGGGCCATCAGGGTCTCGGCGAGCGGATATTAACATAATAGAGTCGTGTATTGCCCAGTATGGAGGTTCTAAGTCTCCGTTATGTACTCCGTATACGGAGTCTTACTCCGTATACGGAGTAAGGATGTCGGATATGCCGAATATACCGGCATTCCTTAATTGAACAGGAATCCTCCAGTGGTTCGATTCGAAGCAGTCAGTGCGTAGTCTTCTAGATCTTCTTTTTCTCTTCCAGCGATTCTAATGTTCTAAAGCTTCTTGGTTCCTCTGCCCTTCCCCTGTAAAATATGGTTTAGTCAAACAAGTTTAACTATTTCGCACTGTGGATTGATTTAACCACGGTTCACAAGGGAGCACTCCTAAGTTACACCATCAAGGTCTTTTATGTCAGCGGATCAAGGCTACCTAGGTATAGTTCGTAATTGTATCCCACCTCGTATTCGTTGCATATCCCGTATCCGATCTACTCTAGGTGGAACCGAATTTTACTCTTTGGACATTATTAGCCTTTCTTCCGCTTATCGATGCCTCATCCAAACAAATATAGCGAATGAACTTCGTTAGCGTTCGGTAGCATATAAACTTTAGGACTAGTGTCCCCTCAGGGGCTAACTGCTACATATACGGAGTAGGAAAAGTTTAACAAGTTTGGAAATCTGAATGGAACAACCGTACTGGTTCTTGGCGCCAAGCTTTAGTACACGTGGCGTAGCGCTGAGGCAAATTGTGCTTCAATATGCGACACAATCAGTGGTTGGTTGCTCTTTGTATCATGTCCTCTTCTTCTCCGTACGGAGTCCTTCTTGGTAAGTGCCTTGATTATCTTGAGATAGGGTTATATGCGAAATAACACAGGTACGATCTCCGTTAAGGTCCGCAACGGGATAAGCTTAGTCTAGAGTCTATTAGTTTCGCCGGTAAGGGGACCGGGAGCAGCGAGGAATGGCCGAAGAATCGCCTTTGATTGGGTCAAGGGCGTTTAAGATTTTACCTGCGGGTTTCAGCGGAGGGAGACTCAAACAACGCTGAGGGTCACCCGGGGCCCCGGGGCCGAAACACTGACTTACCTAATCAGGCAGAATGTCCACCTAACTAGGTAGCCAATCAGGAAGAAGACATCAATTTCATTTCACCTCTACAGGGCTATATTCTCTATTAGGGCCCTATTAGGAATAGAGATTTAGGGAACTTAAAGACTCTACGGAGTAGTTTCTCTTTAATGGTGTTGGCGTTTCGGGTCTCTCTGAGCTTAAATGGTACCGGAACTTTTCTCAAGTCTACCATTAGAGTGGTTTATTTACAAAGGTTTATCGACTCGCACAAGATTCCTTTACATATTTCGCAATTTTATAACTTCGTTCACGAACAATTCCTCATATCAGACTGACACCTTGGATTTCTATGTATATTTCTAATCTTATTCTTGGTTTATATTCGGGTTTAGTTCAACTGGACTATGTACATAAAAGCGCCCACAGGCACGCACAATGACCGACGGCGCTAGAATTGAAGCAGATTCTATTCAACATCTGATATGGTGTAAGTTGGGTTGACGGTGGAAAAGCCACGATTCTGCTGGTCTATTATCAAAGTCGTCGTGTTTCAGTACAGCCAGCGGGTAAATCTAAATGACAGGCCTAGTGGCATGTCTATACAGTTCCGACCCGTTCGGTAACGCGGAGTGATGCTGTTCATATACTCTTTAATCAGACATAAAGCTATTATCCCAGAACTGACATCCTAGCTGTCATTGGAAGGCAAATTTAGCTGGAAAGGTGGATCTCTTGGCGGCGGCTATTCCTCATTCACTGTATACTGAATCCATCACCTCCTCACAGCAGATTGGATCTATTTTGAACGTGCCGTGAACTATATTAAGGTACCATTTAAACATGAGCGCTATGTCCCTTAATAGCCTGCTCTTCGTTCTGCCCACAGTCACGTATAGACCCGTAGTTAGGTAAAGGATACCGTTTACAATTCAATTTGGCCAATCAGATATCACCGAAACTCTGTTCCTTATTACCTCTGTTTCTCACAATTTAGGTGAGATGCAGAACCTGACTAATTTAAAATCTTACTTAAATCAAAAATAATTGTGGAATTTAATCGAATAATAGCTGTATAATTATAATAATAATTAGAACCAATTAAAATATTTGCATATTAAAAAAAGGGGTTACAATAATTAAAATTCTAATGATAAACAGGTGCAAAGAATAGTGCTCAACTAAGGATAGCTCATGACCTCAATATCCTTTGCCCTCATGAAGCAGGTAACCCACGGCCCCAAGTGCGAGTTCTAAGAACTACCAGAAAACAAAAGTTGGATCGAGAGAAATGAGGTCATAACTAATCTCTAGATAATGGATACCAATTTGAAAGAAGAAAAAGGCAAATTAGTCTTCCCGAGACCTCGAAACCCTATCTTCATCGTCTTTGCCCCGTTGCCATGGCGTCGTACTTTTATTCCTGCGCCCCTTCTTCAGTTTTGCAAGCTTCAACTTAAGCTCCAACTGTTTGATTTCATCATAATCAGAGTCTGCATCATCATCATCCCTATCTATCATGGCCTCAGATCCGTTGTCTTCCTGACTAGGGTCCTCATCACGGCTCATAAAACTATCATAGGAGGGCTCGCGTCGGAGTGATTTTGGTGCTGTCTCTCGACGCCTATGTATATTCTCTTGATTGCGGTAGCTCGGGGTTGGACGATCATCCTTGCGAAGTCCTTCCCTCTCTGCATGAGCACCATAAGCGTCCTCTTCAGGAACTCCATGTATATCACTGATGTAATAATCAAAGTGCGCAGTGATTTTGGCCACATGTCGGAAGTGGCCTACTGTGATGCGGGGTCGTTCCAGACCAGAGATGTTGCCTTCCTCAAAAAAGTCCCAATTGGCGAGCGCGATGGCTGTCTGGAATGCATTTTTGATTTGCCTGCCATTCCAGCGCCGGGTGGGTCGGTTCAAGTTTTTCTTCCAGTGTTCATCGACATATTTTTTGATCTTCTTTTCGTCAATATCGATGTCCAGGTCACTTTTCTTGATTCGCTGGATGTTCTTATCCCAAATTTCTTTGGTTGGGGCTTGTTTCAGCTTTGGATAATAGAGACAGATATGGATTCGCGATCGAAAGGCTTCGTCAAACTCGCCAACTCGATTGGTTGTCAGTATGATGACTCCGGAAAAGTACTCTAACACTCGCAGAAATACTACCACATCAAGTCAGCCAACGGTTACTTTTAAAGTCAATTCCAGCCAACACTGGGCCGTTTAAAACACTTACCGGAAACCAGACTGTTTCTTTTGATATCACCGCGCTCACGTTTTGCCAAGAAAACGTCGGCTTCGTCCAACAAGAGGACGCACCTCCACCGATGGGCCAGAGTGCAAAAGGTGTCAAGGTTTTTCTCAGCCTCTTGGGCGTTAATACCAATATCTCCGCAAGTGATTGGTAGTAAAGGTCGTTTCAATTTTGCGGCAATACATTCTGCTGTAGATGTTTTGCCGACACCAGGCGCTCCGTGAAGTAAAATGATCAAACCTTTGCCTTTGGCAGGAACAACATCCATTGAAAATTGATCACGGGTCGGATCCAAATCACTGGAGCTTGTATCATAAGGCAAACGCACCTGGTTTGTAATCAAAGCCAGGAGAATGGTCTTGTGTTGATCAGGTAAAACTAGGTCCTCCAACTTGGACCAGCCTTCTTCATCTCGTGTGACGGAGATTTCTCTAAGCATATTGACGGAAAACGAAGCCCATCGATGGTCCAGCAAAGAGTACCCATACAGACGTGGTGGAAGGAGCATTCGCTCCTCGTCCGATATTGAGATATTGTTGATGATGCGACTGATTCCCATTTCCGTGGTCCCCATGAACTCTTGACGCCTATTTTCTTCAAATATAGAATCATCGAAAACGTCCGTTACCCAGTCTCCATCACTCTTTTTAGGGAAGAAATCCAGAACCTCTCTTTTGTCGGCCTTTGTAGGGGTTTGAACAATACGCCCGCCGGTCTTCAGGCTCCACTTAAAGAACTTCTTGCGAAAGTGCTGCACTCCTGATCCTTGATCGATAATCACCTCGCCATGAACCTGCGAAGAAAATATTAGTACTTTCCCAGAATCCTTTTTTCTGAGCCGTACCTCTGCTGCTGGGATTTCGAAACTATCATAGTTGTGCTGAACTTTATTGGACTCGATGAGGGTTGTCCCGTGGTACAATAAATGTGTCCGTGGTGCTAGTTGAAGAAAGCGAGCACCTCTATTGATGAGCTCATTTTTGACTTCTTGCTGCTTTGGATCGAAAAAGAGGTGTTGTAGCGGGAGCATGTTGATCGCCCTTTCTCCGCTATTTGGCGTTACCACAAATCGTTTACCTCTAGGGGCTAGGAGAGTCCCATCGGAATCGAGGTAAAAGCAATCAACGATAAAACTTGTTGTCTCTGTTCCGGAGCATCTCACAGCGTCGCAGCATCTTTCATCATTTTCAGAGTCGGACTCCCATTTTCAATCCTTGATCGGATCAAATGGGGATCTCCGCGTTGTATCAAAGCACACTCTCCCGCCAGTGACATGGAGAATCCGATAAGCTTGTCTTCGGATCTCATCATTTTCGGGGCAGCTGTAAACAATATCACCAGGTTTAAAAAATTGCCAGAGGTGTTCATAGGCTATTTTTTCCACTGATCGTGACTCAATTTGGCGTTTTACGCTGAAAATGTCTCTCATGTCAAGATCCATGAATTCGACGAGGCAAGAAAGTTCGTCTCGCTCACGTGTTGTACGGAAAACAGCTTCATTGAGCTTTTCTAGGTTCTTTTTCCCTTCTTGTGTTTCCACATTGCCTTCCACCTGCGGCCCGCAAATTTCGGCCGCTTGTACAGACTGAGCTAGCTCAGCAATCGCCTGTTCGCATACTACTTTGGCCATGTGAAAGGCCTCCCGAATGTCTGGTTCAATCTCCACAAGGTACTTGAAAGGCCTTACCAGGACGTTCTGCTCCTCTGTGAAAAAGATCCCAGTGTACTTCTCCAACACGCTGAGGAGATACGTGGAATTGACCGCCAAACGATAAGGTGCATAGAGATGATTTGATGCTTCGGACTTGTGCAAAGAGACTTCATCTTTGTATTTTGTCTCTTTGTGTTTTTGTCTGGTTTTTTGCAGGATAAGGCTGCTGCTCCCTTTAGAGGAGGTTAGAAGAATACTCTGCTTGGGATCGATTTTGCGCTCCTTTTTAATATGTCGCCACATTTCCGGGGGCACTCTCGTGATTTTAATTTCTTGTAGGGGCTTATGCTCTTCACCCGTCGTAGCGCTAGCTGTTTCCTGAATATGTTCTTTGTTCTTTGAAAGACTGCTAAAACGGATTTGTTATTGAGGAAATTGGATATTGCTATGAAAAAAGTAACAAACCTTGGCTGCTTCTTTGTTTCACTGCTCACTATTTTGAAGTTAGTAGAATATCAAAGGATCAAGGTGTACTGCACTAAATACCACTCCTGTCTGCGTAAATGATGCTAGTACTGGATTCTAGCTTTGTCTGGCTCAATGGCCACTTGTCGCTCACACCATCGCTGCTCTTAGCGTTGGTGTTGTCTGACAGGAGAGTAGCATCGTGAATTGGTGACTGGATCTCACCATCCAACACGATAGAATCATGCATACTTGCAGTTAATCTTAAGGAGAGTTTGTGGTGGTTTTCTGTTTTTCTTTTTTTTTAGAACCAAAAAAAGGGAAAAGGGACAGGTCAAACAGTCATATAAATATGAAGATGGAAATAAGATTAACAGGCTGGATTTTAGATTTCAAGCGTTTATAATTCTGGGCATAAACTCTGGCCTTGGGATGAGGGGTATTTTTGTAAGTTAATCCAGCTGATTCTCTGGGTGCATTCATTACACGAATGTGGCTGGAACTAGCGGGCTTACAGTACATCGCTTTGAGCGCTTGTTTAGATCTTGTAAGGATTTATGGACTAATACGTCAAGTACCATGGTATTTCCAAATGTCTAGTCATGTTTTCCAGATATTCCAATTGAAACGGTTCTGTATACCCTTCTTCTTGGTGCTAATCTTCATGGAGGAAAATTAAAACATTGAGGAAAAGCAGGCCGGTAATACTGGATCGCCAACTAATGGAGCTTTTGCGTCCGATCAAGCGCTTCCAGATGTCCACAGGTGTCACCGGGCCTGATACTCTAAGGTCTTTCCTTCCTCATTAGTGATCCCGGACCGCTTTCACCAACCAATTGCATTGAAAGCCAATGTCTATTAATAATTGCCAGTAGATAATAAAAAAACAATCTGAACAATCTGAAAAAGCAAAACTGGCCCGAAATGAAAGGCCAAACCACTTTTGTCAAATAGCGCTTCGCCTGCTGCGGCACGGATCAATGTCAAGGCAACGTGAGGCTGTGGAATTCCCACGCATGCATCATGCATGGCTGTGATATTCCCACGCATGAATCATGCATGGCCTTGGTCACTCGGGCGCCTATCCCGGAATGATGGTTTATTACCAACTCCTGAGAACCCAGAGCCTAGCTTTCAGCTTGGACTATCTCGGTTTGGGAAACCCGTCGTCTCAATGGCCATTGCAAGGTTTCTAATCTTACTATTCTGATAGACTGGCTTAGGCCGGGTTGGTTTAAATCACTAGCGCTCTATCCCCGTTCCCTATAGAGAACAATTATCTCTTTCTCCGCCCCCTTCTCAGCCCCCTTCTCTTGTGGGCTTAGTTGCCTCTTTTTCTATTATCTACTCTATTCTCTAATCTATTTATTCAGAGATCCAGCTTTTGATTCCCGTGAGAACAAAGCAGGTATCATCAGCCGCAGAATTTAGCTTTCGTCTCTGAAGCAGTCATAGGATGGATCACAATCAAGCTAATGCAAGAAGAACCAAATCCCATCATCGACTTGGTAATTTGGTGGAAGGATTCATGCGAAGGCAGATAAAATCCGAAATTTATCCAGCCCTCGAAGCTCTCAAGGGTGGGGAGGGTCGCTGCAATGTACCCCCAGAGACTCGAATGCAGACTGACATGCTTTCGGGATTAAACCCCATCGCTACAATCCAGTCAGGCTCCAAAATCAGGGAATCAGAGGATGAGCCAGATGATCTACTGTACGGAAACTGATCCTTGAAATACCCCCAATTCAGACCATGACAAGTCATAGGGAAAGGGATATATATAGAGACGCGATCTCCGAACGGGACAATTTCCAACAGGCAATGGCGGTGTTTGAACAAACCACCAATGAAAATGGTCTTCACAACCACATCACAAGTACCCAGGTCCATACCTGGGAGGAGGTCCTTGAGGTAGTCAACAAAGCATCGGCGATCTACAACTCAAAGTCGGGGGCCTGGAACAAGATACGCATTGCGTTCCATAACTTTGGCAAGAACAACAAAGCCTTTAATGCATGGCTAGGTCTCCTCCCGACCGAGTCAGATTGGGTTTCCGTCATAAGTGGAGGTTTAAAACTCATACTAGGGGTATGTTCTTGCTGACAGAATGGCCTTGATCTAAAATCGCTTACCATTTAAAGGCTGCTGCGCGTTTAGCTGATCTACGGACTGAAATTTCGACGGCATTAGAGGAGATTCCCTGCCTGCTAGCATGCACTCACAGAGCTACCAATATCTTCAACAAACCCAGAGAACTTCGACAATGCAGCACAGCTCTTTATGTCACAACACTCAAGCTACTTAATCACATTCTCTCTTGGTATAAAAAAAAGTCGTTAAGTACGATAATACACCCTTACATGATTATCAAGGGTTACTGTTTAACATTTACATGACAGTGAAAATAACGGGCAGTATGTTCAAGCAATCTACTTACAACAATAAGTTGAGCGATCTGGTTCAAGATCTCAAGCTTCAATCTGAACGGTTCGAAAGCTTGGCTCGCGTATGTTCATATGCAAAAATTTCAGAGACAAGTGAAATGCTTCAGGCGCATGACCTTCGGACCCACCAGAATCATAATGAGCTTTTCGAATGCCTTGAGTCATCTTTCGCTCGTTTTGATACTTTCAAATACCAACTTCATTCGGAGAATTTGACGAATCGGCGAGCACTTCAGACAATGAATGGCCGCCTGAGAGACCTTCAGATAATCACAGAGCGATTCTTAGCATGCCATGATCGGTTGGATCCCAACACGGGCCAAGGTATGTGAGGCTAACCCATCAATCGAACAAAAACAAGCTAAGCCATCGCAGTCAGAGGCCCAATTCTTCCTGCAAACAAAGAAGCCATATCTAGGAGAGCCATGCAAGGTAAGCCGATCCTCCTCATAGTCCTACGAGCGTTCCTTTAAGCTAACATTCTGACGATAGATTATCTAAGGGCACGAGATAAAGCCCTTGTGAATCTAAACTTTGAAAATCGTGTAGTCTTGAAAGACGTTGCGACCTGTCTCGGAGATGTTTGGAAATTGCCAAGGGATGCCCAGGATCGGATTATTGCCATCATTCAATCATCAAAGCTGCAGACCTGGATTTCGACAAATAAATTAACCGTGATATTTATAAATTCGAATGCTCGCAGCAATGAAACGCTGTGCTCCTTCATCCCTGCGAACCTGATTGATTCAGTGGAAGCTCTCAAAATCAATAATGTCTTCACTATTTCGTTCTTCTGTGGCATGCACAGTCGCAGCGATGATCTAAACTCCGGAGTTACCAGCCTCATGAAAAGTCTTATCGGTCAACTTTTGATGTCCTATCCAGATTTTGGGTTACAGGCAGTCAGGGAAATCTCACAGGGAGATAGAGAAAGTATCGATGTTCTTTGCCAAATCTTTCATCGCCTGATTCTTCAACTGCCGTCGGACGTCATATTATTCTGCCTTATCGACGCAATTACGATTTATGAGACTTCCTATTCCCATATTAAGGACTGTGAAGTAACGTTAAATGGCCTCATCGAAATTGTTGAGCAGACTCAAGACTACGGATGTGTGTTTAAACTGATGTTCACCAACCCCCAAAATAGTCACCGATTCTACAAACTTGTACCTGACCAAGCGAAGAATGTTATCTGGATTCCAGGCCGAGTACCTCGGACAGGTGGACTTACGGCTAACAATACGAAAATGCGAGGGCTTTTTCACGAAATTTGAAACCTTCCCAAGTATGAACAAATGTGGTTTCCATTTCCAATCAACCTTTAACGCAATGTACTGGTCTGATTGACCATTAGGAAGCTGGGAGGGACGGGATCAGCTATTTGGTGGCCATGTCTCTCTCATTACATTGATTAATGGATGACCTTTTTTTGGTCTTGCATACGGCATATCTATAAATGTTCATAACAAAAGTTGGAAAACAGGATTGGAATACCTCCAGGGCTACCTGACTATGGAACTAATGAGACATGCACGCACGGGCAATAGACAATCACTTATGTGCTGGTGGAATATCCTTGAGGGTGCCCGGATAGAGCTAAACAGGAAGGGCGATGTAAAGATGGTACCCATTCGTGGGGAGTTATCTTTAGTTGCAGCCAATGTGGTTCCTCCACAGACCTGGCTCATTAAAAGTAGTGTATAGGTGGCGTCCTCGCCGATGTAGACGTATATTAAAAAAAATCAAATTTTACCCCCTGCCCCTGTCGATCCCCTGTAGCCAGTTTACACAAAATAATCGCTCCCGCTCAGAATGACAAACAAGCCTACAATGTGGGGATCCGTCAAGCAGGATATTCACATATTTTTGTTTCTTTGGTCACCTTTAAAGGCACACTCTTGTTAAATACCTGGGTCTCTTCAGAAATTGTGATCGAGATCTTCCAATCTATAGCATGAGTGTGCTTGATATTATATGTGACAAAGTCGGGATAGATGGGGGCCAGATCATGGAGACGCAAACCTGAAGAAGTCAGGCCCGTTGAGTGTAGAACAAGTTGAAACATGTCCCCGATATTGATGGGTGCATTTTGATACCCGAGAGGCAATATCAATGGATATTCGAGGCTATCAAATACCTTTTCGAGATGAAGGTTGAGTGAAAAGCGATGCCTATCCTTGTGAACAGTTCCGAATGGAGGGCTATCTGTGACGATAATGTCCGTGTAGCAAGCCAGGGTCAATTTGATCCAGTTGATCCGAGCTTCCTGTGTGATACCCTTGAGTGAGTCACTAGTCTTATCATCGAGGGGTGCGATGTGTAGCACGAGAGGAAGATTATGGGCGTCACCAAGTTTCAGGACGCGAGGGGATTTGAGGTCGACCTTGTAGTAGAACTTGGGGACTTTGGATGACCCGAAAAGCTTCTGTGTTTTTTGCTTTAGGGATAGCTTTGCATCGCTCATGGCGGGAAGTAGCCGCTGACTTTGAACTTTACCCTCAATGGATAAGTGAGTGACCTGCTTGAGCTGGCTCCTCTTGATCATCTCGACCGGATGCCTGATGTCCACCTTCCAAGTAGCACAACAAACTTGGGACGACCCAAAGTTATACTTTAATTTGGCGCTCAAATAATACTCGATAAAACACCCGGACGCGAGACTGGAGTCGCTGCCTAATGTGCTGAAAGTTCCTGGCAGTGGGCGATGAGTGGTCCGGTCTCCGTCGAGCGCGAGAAAGCTACCGGATTGTGCATGCTTTTTCCCCAGCATATCAACTGGCTTGGTAGGGATTTGCAGCGAGAAAGGCCAGCTGAGTGATTCATTGCTTCCCTCCGGCAGATGCAGAGGTCCTTGGAATATCACTTCCTCCCGTGGATAAAGTAGGTGCCAGTCATCCGACACCTTTTTCTCTTTACCCGGGGGTGTCAGTTGGGTGTGTATGCGACTCGACAGTGTAAGCGTCACTGTAGCTTCAGAGGTGACAATATGTGCGCGGCGCACGAGATTGCCGATGATGGTGTCACCGGGGATGAAAGACCACCCCGCCGGTGCAGCGACAACAAATTTGAGTTTGTCATCTCCACGCGTAGCATGTCTATCGTTTCGAGACATAATGTTTTTGATGCGGCTTTTCAGTAGCCGGGAACAGCGTATATGAAATATTGTAAGTATATTCTGAAAGGGACATTTGTATTCGCTTAGGGGGTGAAAGGGCTGACAAGTACAAGAGTCGCATTTTGGGGGCAAGACGAGGTATGGCCCCCATCAGACCCATTGACCCAATAGCCATTCGCACATCGATCACGCCCCTCCAGGGCTCGATAGACCTTGTCAACATAACCCCTAAGAATTCTCCCCTATGTTTGCTCTATTTGATTTTCCTTAGTCAGCCATATCTTGCCCAGGTGGTCCACCTGGGGACTACCTACCTAGGCAGTCGACGTTCACCTTTCGTTCCACCACCCAACTATCTGCATCCTATCCTTCTCTTCAACACAAAATATGATACATACGACCATAGGGTGTGGAAAACAGGGCTTCCCGTCCGCTCAGCCGTACTTAAGCCACACGCCGGTGAGTTAGTAGTTGGGTGGGTGACCACCAGCGAATCCTCACTGTTGTATGTTATTTTATTCTTATTTTTATTATTTTGATTCATTTGGAAAGTCCCTTTTGCCACCCTACTCTTCAGCTCTTTTGGCTTGTTCACCTGAATATCCTGCACGCCCCTGAACCACTGATGTGTCCTTCCCCTCCTATACTGATTTTTCCTCATATGCGTGTTTTTTTCGATCACAACTCTCTAGTACTAATCTCTACAGGTTGACACATGCCTAAATTCCCAATGGCAGTAAGCAAGAAGAGAAGGGCCGCCGATGAGAATCAAACTTGCTATTAAATACAAATTCGCTGGAAGCCACTCATTACTAACTCACCGGCGTGTGGCTTATTAGGTAAAAGCCCATTACAGTATCAGGTGAATTCCAAAACCCCATGCTGCAGTCTCTGCTATTGCGCTAGGGCTCGCTCTGCTCGTCTTCGCCTCCGATTGCTGGCATAACTTTTGTAAAAGTTATTCCCTGGTAGATCTCTTTAACATTACAGAATTATACAGTCTTAGAAAGCAGCTACGCTAGACTAGGAACTGATATTATGGATAGAAAGTTTAGTGTCTTTTAGTTCTGTGTCTCCCTCAGACAGAAGCCGGTTGGTTCTAGCTATGGAGATATGCTATGATCGGATTATCTTGGTAACTTTGATTAAATTGGTATCACTGTAGCCTAACTCATCGGCTTTCATTTTTAGTAGGTATCTAATAGCCTAGAATAGTTTATGTGTACAAAGCAGCCGTTATTGCAGCATAATCTTGCCATATCTTATTCTTATAGTTGTTCGCCTAGTCGCAAACTCCTTTGATAATAATATAAGTACATTATCCCAGACCCTTATATCTTAAGTCCGATAATTCGTTCCATTTCGGCCAGTTTATTACGGTACCCAGTGGATTTTATTGCCGTATCAGCAGACGTGATTGTGCTAATGGGTATAATAGGGTTTGGTCTACCTGTAATCAACCAGTCGCGGACGACTTGATTTCCCTTGTATTTGAGTTTCCGGAAATCGCTCTTTAGTGCCTTATTACAAGCCTTATCTATGCTGGATGTGTTGTGGGTATAAAGGTAATTAGTAGGTAGTAGTTGCTGATGATACTTATTGCGGTAAGAGGTTTCGAATAATATCACTCGCTCTGGTTATGCCTTTGAAGCTCTTTAAGGCATTGAGAGACTCGGTCCTATACTCTAATTCGCATTTTGCGTGTCTTAAGGCCAGCGCGAAAGGTTTAGATCCCTCGATTAGGCCGTCTAAGCGTATCTTTTAGGTCACTCTTGCGTCGAAATCCATTAGGATATTGTCTGCCTAAATTATATTTAATGACGCTGTCGCTGACAACAATGTTTCCTAGTACAGTTTTGGTACTTCTGGACGGGAAGGGGACTCCCCTGTAAATTCTGGCAATTAGAGCGAGCTTGAGTCCGGTATAACTGACTCGTAGACTTGAGGCGACACTTGTGGCGCTCCCTTTCCCCACTCCTGGTATATAGCACAGGACAATATTGTGCTGACCGATCCTTCCCGCTGTATGATTATTTGCATCTCTAGGTTGCTTGCGATATATTTGGCCCAGTATATCGTAGTGTTTATTAAATAGAGCTTCCATGGCATCACCTCCCAGGGGAAGGGCGTAGATGACTGCTATCTCAAATTCGTCGCGAGTTCCAGGGAGCATTTTTGGGTGGCTTAGCGAGTCGCAAGATTTGGTAGAGAATCGGCGTTAGCATTAGCAACAGACAAACACGATGACTTATTTAATGTTTGTCTTTCCACGGTCTGCAGAAGGTTCTGTTGTTCGATATGGATGCCGTGGGGGGTTGTCGTAGGAGCACGCTGCATTGGGCGCTGTATATCCACTAGTTAGTTTGTTACGGTGCCTGAGCTTACGTCACATGGTATTGCTATAGATAAAATTAACATACCTGTGTAGGTCGATCTCCGTTAATTCTATTTTGTCTGGACTGGATTCGTATCTTCTATACGACAAGTGACTCCTGCGTCGTTTCACCCCGGACGATGTCGCGTATGAACTTTTGAGCGGCACCTAATTTCGCGCTACGCTTGATATAGGAACCTGGGTCTTGATCATAGATCTGCATAAGATCGAAACAATCTTCGAGTGTAACACTGCATGCTCTGTTTATGTCATCATGGAATTTCCGTCGCTCAGTCCTGACCGCTGCCATCCGGGATTTCCCTCGCCCGTAAGCAGCCAATGAGCTATGATTCGTTTGGCATTGCTGGATTCAGCTGGCGTAGTTTCACCAAATGACAGGATAGGTATTGATCATCGAGATTACAGCTAAGTGCAAAACCAGCTTTACGTTGGACTTTTCTTTTAATTCCAGGATCTACTGCCTCCGAACAAAAGCTTTGCGCCCAAGGATAAATTATTTGACAAGACTTAGGTCAGGTGAGTGAGGTGGTAATTTACACTTGCGTCTCAACACATTTGGTACCGTTGATCGCGATGAAGTTTGGAGACCTAGACTGGCGAAACTCCGAGTGGTGGCCAACCTGTTCTTCTGAGGTCCATCCGCTTGTCACCCAGATTCTTCGGTATACACTAGATGGTACGATCGGAACTCGGACCGGTTGTGTAAGTAGTAATTCCATAGGTCAGGGTTTTGTTCCTTCACTTCCTATCGAGTGGCGTTTTGGGCCACCCTCAGCTGAACGCGGGCAGCATCCGGCGGCCTGGGCGATCTCGGATGTTGTCAGTGATCAAGATCATATCGCAGATCAATTTTCCAGTAGCAAGGGGTAGATTTGGTGCCATTTTCCGTCGTAGTTGTTCATCTGCTGGTGGGGCTAAGGTGGTGTAAATTGCTGAAACTTGAACCGAGGTGGGGTGATTGAAGAGAGTTCGATCCCACTATGGTTAACCATACATTTTTATACCGACAGCTTTCCGTCAGTTTTCTATTTTAGAGCGATACACTTTGAAGGTTATTTCACTTGTTAATGAACTTAATATATAATACTTCATTTACAAGCATCTTAATTCTACCTCCAATCCTTCTTTTAAACCTCAGTACATTCCCCAACTGCCGACGATGCGGCTATATACACTTGGTATTTTTGTATTAAGTGAAATGCTGTTGACGCATACTCTGAACTTTAGTTCCATTTCTCTTTCACTTTGGTTTACTAATAATGGGGTGAATGCTAGCATCTTCAAACACCGAACTCCGATGTTGATCGTTTAGAAAAACAGGGCAAGTATATATATATATACGCACAGGCCATTGTTAAGAGATCATGGGGCCCCCCGCTCTTGTTTACCCCCAACACTTATGAAAGAAACCTGACTGTATGGCAAAGTATAGTATGGGTGGCAAATAACTAGTTAGTTATATGATTCTCTAACTAAGAATGACAAAACTTGCTATTTCAACAAACTGCGGACATCGATGACTAACTGTATTATGCATTTTTGTAAGGTATGTCTAGTCACATAATGTTAAGTGGTATAATACCCGGTTTCAACCATACAGTCAACTTAGTATTCGGCACTTAAGTTTCTAGTAATGTAGATAGCTTCTTTCTTCCTCGCGCAACTCGAGATTTCCTGGAATACTTTATTGCTTCATAGCAGTTCTCTAGGCCTCATCTCTCATCCATTTTTGCAACCTTCAGTCCGCTTACTGACATGACTTCGGCCCTATTCCACAACTTATCATCCACTAAGTTTAGTCTAAATTCTCAGAAGGAATACCACATGCAATGCTTTGGGCCACGTATTCAAAATATTAACTCGCCATAGGGACCCCTCCACCACCACCTCATGTTAAACTACAGTTTGATCGTATACACCCTATTCTCGGGTACCAACAAGGATTATGCCAGCTTTGGGCCACTACAAGGGGTTTGTAAACTGCATCAAACGAATCAGAGAACACGTTGAAACTAGAAGATAAAAGTGTATCCTAGATTCTACTGCATGAACGCATTGTTCTACCAATATGGAGGCTCCCTAGTCCCTAAATCTACCATGCACTACGGCTGACGTACAGATGAATGACTTGGACCCAACCGGCTTCCAACGAATCACCCTTCATAATCTTCACCGATTTATCTAATAATGTCGACCCTCTACACACCATCAGAGATGGCTTTACAGGAGAAAAAATCTGATCAGTGGTCAACCAGGTGCACCGACATTTCGCCCTCGTACGTGTTAATTGTGTGGTGAAGTAGCAATAAAACTGAGCACCTGGGCCCTGGGCACACAATTTTGGTAAACAATAGCGAACATAAATACTTCGATGGCTCCTGGCATTCCATGCTTTTTCTAAAGGCTATTTTTGTTCTTCATTAAGGCTCATCATTACTTTGAAAAATCTCTGCACCAGCATGTTCAAGCTGGCCTATCTTCCGGGCAGCCAAAAGCTATGGCTATTCAAACCAACATCAACGAATCTTTGTCTTCTGTCTTCATCGAAAAATATAAGCAGAACGAGTATGCGAGTCTGGCGAGAGCAGTTGCCGATATGTGCCAACAAGCACTTTCAAAAAATGGCATACCCCATAAAACCCAGAGCCGCGCAAAGGAGCCCGAAAGTCTCCGAAAGAAAATTGAGCAGCGTGAGCGCAAAAATGGACGATACAGAACTCTGGAGGATGTTCATCACGATATCGTGGATCTCGCCGGGGCTCGCATCATTCTTGAAAGATGGGAAGATCGCCATTTTGTCAAGGAGATAATAAATGAGACGTTCAAAGTTCAGAAAGAGGAGCTCAAGAACGAAAAGAGTGGCTATGAAGCAGTACATTATCGTGTCTACCCTAAGCAAAATGGGTGGCAGTGCGGTCCACATACAACGGAGGAGGAGCCCCTTGTTGAAATCCAAGTTCAGTCTTGGTACATGGCGCAATGGGCCAATGTTGAGCACGATGCTCAGTATAAGACATCTAAGGGGCCGAGCCAAGCGATGAGCAACAGCCTTGATCTTTGGCTCCAGTTGTCTAAACTGACCGAATTCCTTGCCGAACAAACCAAAGCAATCAAGGCCAAGCAAGATGCGAAGGACAAACAAAAGTTCAGGGGTAGGAAGCACGTCGGCAACCATTTGGACAAGTGGTTCTCGGATGATGGGAATGCCGCTGACTGGGCAAAGAATCAGAAAGAGATGGGATCTTCCACAGCTTTAGAAATATATTTGGATGCTCGTGGATGGAAGACTCCTGGGTCTCTAAATCGATTGCTCTACGAGCACTTTGGGCCTGAGGCACAGGATGAATACTCAGATGTTGCTGCACAATATGCGGGAATCGACTTGAACCGTGTAATCTATCTAATGGACCGGGTAGTCTTGAACTGCGGAGAAAATTGTTCTGGTGCCTTCGAAATCCCCAACAATCATGAGGTACATGCCTACAAGATCCAGGTGATTTTGAGCACGTTCATCTGGATGAACCGTCTCTTTCTGCCAACCTATGGATGGCAGCGTTTATTCACGCGCATTGAGGACCAAAAGACTGTGCGCGAGGGTATTCTCTTGCTTGGAATGAGCGCCCGGCAGAATTTTGCTGAAGAAAGCTCCTTAGCCGATGATGAGGTCAGCAAGCTGAACAGGTTGTGGGATTGGTTCTACGAAAGTCGTGATCGACCGATTATGTTGGCTTTCACGATGTCGAACCAGGGGGCTATTAGAGATGTTCCCAAAGAAAAGACTGATCTGCGAAATGCCCTTCGGCCACTGATTGCTGCCTTGGGTCGGGGTATGACTTGAGCCTTGGAGTTGACGGTCAGTGAATAGCAGAGGGGCCAAAATGATTGCTAATATCTGTGATTGTGAAGGAGAAGAATAAGTTGCGGTGTCTGCAACCGCCAAAGGATGTGTTTTTCCGGTTGTCTTATTGCCCTTATTCTTTTCAGTTGTCAAGAATATATGTCCATCGACAGTCAAAATGCTGTAACTAAATCTCTGGAAAGATTTCGTTGTTTGCTTTTTTTTTTTTGCAAATGGTGGAAATTAAAATAGCCACCAGCACTTGGAAAGTTTGTTGAGATTGGTCCCTGTAGTTCATCACATCCCATCACACAATAACAATTTGACCTGTCGATTTCAAGGGCTCAGTCACACGTGCTAGTGAAAACGGCCGATATGTGCGCAGAAAAAAAAAAAACGGGACCCAATTGAATAAAACATGAGCTGAAGTAGAGTTATCGCTATGCTGTGGGATGTCAATTGCGTGCAAGTGTAGAAGGTGCTGATCCTGACCACATCAATATAGCTGAAGGCCAACAGAATCTTGTTTCAGGTTTAAAAAAAACAGGAGGTAAACAATGATATGCAATTGGTAATGCCGAGATACACCTGTAAGTGATTATGATACAAGCGCATTATGTTGAAAAATACCGACGCGTATATTTGGCTAGGCAACCTATTCTGCAAAGTATTAATTTCGCACATCAAATGAAAAGCCGTCTTTTACTGTTCTCTGGCAGTAGAACTTCTTGAAATTCCCACAAAGGTTCGAATTTTTTGGACTAGCAGTGCCGTGGATGCAGTTGTGACGAGTGGCGATGTGTTTCTCGAGTTGGGTGAGCTTAGTGAAGCAGGCACAAGGCCGTAGAAGGTCACACGAGAAGACTGCAAGAGCAATGCAGGTCAATTCAGTTATGACGAGGCCTCGGGATTCAAGCTCAGTCATAGGAGCTTATACGACTCAAGCAGAAGGTTTGATTAATCACCACGGTGAGATGATTATTGAAGACTTGCTGACCTGTCATTGGCATAGGGCTCAATGAAATTATTGAACACCTCCGTTTTGAGGCTCTTCTGAACGATTCCCCTCCGCATGATATTTCCGAAGGTCAAATCAAAAGAATGAAGGCAATACTTTCACTGGTGGAGAATAATGGTTATCTTGGTTCATCGACAGCCAACCGAGCCCTTGACTTTTGGATCTGGTGTGGGCAGATGCCTGGGCGATGGGACTTGGTTCCGGATCAAAAACTCTGGGAGGAATTTTTAGAGGAGGACCTGTTATATAAGTCTAAAGGTCAGTGCAATTTCAGGGCAAAGCAAGGAGAACAGGGGAGGTACAGAGTTAAGATTGTTTTTCATTTTCGGTTCACCAACATTCTTCTATCCAATTAGCTTTTTGGATAGTGATCTAACCTTTTACATGAGACAGATAGAGCTAACCTTGCCTAGATGGCTCTAATGCACGATCGCAGGCATTTCCCGGTTTGTCCACGTGGATATCTCCGACTTTTGGTGTCAGCAGAAGGCCTGAATAGCCACTCAAATGCCACACCAAGCTCAAGGCTTGTTATCTGGTGAGTATCAGTTGAAATTCATTGGTATACTAGAAAGGTTATTGACATACTCTAATGATCCTAAGGACAACTCCCGAAAGAGAAGTCTTGCAGACTCCTTGTATGAAATATAAACCAAGAATGATGGCAAATTGGAATACAGGCCGGCCAAGATCATGGTGGATGGGAGGGACATATGAATGGTAGCATCGAAAAGAGGGGTTACATCTCATGCAGGAAAGCGTGCAGGGCTTGGGAGACCTCGGCCCATTGGATATTCGCGCAGAAAACCAAGTGCACGCGCTTTTTCCGCCGAAATTGTAACAAGACCTGTGCCTGTGTGCCCTATGATCCTCCCCCTCCCCCAAACTGGTATTGGAGTTTGACTTGGTTTGAATTTAATTCCCTTCATATTCTTTGTCTTCGTCAAGCCTCTCTACGTCCCTTTGATTATTTGAAAAACAAAATTACGTTTCTGTGACCGAGTATTTATATTCAAAAGATTGGCTTCAAGACGTCGCCTACTGTGGCTAGAGAGCAGAGTCAGAAATGGCCTATATTTAGCTATAGAGTTGGTTAGATGTATATTTGAAGGCTCTTTCCCCCAAAGCTGAGTTGCTTTTTGCATTGTAATGAGACCTTCTACTTGAGTTCCTGTTCTAGGGACAGAAGGGTCGAAACTTATGCAACAAACACCCTCAGGGTGGGCTTTGGGTCAGGTTCACGTTTAGGTATTAAACCTAACCTACAGAACCCTACGTTTGGGTTTTAGATCGAGGGTACTAGAGACACAAAGAGTTCCCGATAGTGTTGAGGAAGAATATACTCAGTATAAGGAAGGCCAAACCACTCTTGCTTATTGGTGGTCATTCGGTGTCCACCACCTCGATCCTCCAGCCCCTGATCACTTTTTCCTTTTTAGATGAATCACCTTCACGCTGTTCAATAGGCATTTCTCTTACATCACCATCGCTCGTGAAAGTAATTGAGTAGGCCCCAGGGTAAAATTCCTGCTTACTTACTACACCATAAAACTTCTAGGGCTCTTTAAAACCTTCATCCAATCATCATACACTAACTGTATTTCCCCGGTAAAGTACAATGACGCATTGTACGGGCTGTAAGAACGAATATGATAGAGCAGCAAGCCCTCAGGGTGAGGTTGGCGCGTAGCATACGCTTCGGCGAATGAAGCTGTGAAGTTCTAGGAATAAGTTTATATTCCTGCCCCGATAGCTGCGGATACTAAACCGAGGCGTAATAAATATAGTAAGGTAGATGTAGATTATATAACAAGTGAGTATCTCTTGTGCCATGGCTAGCAGCCTATCTGGATAAGGTATCAATTTGATTATTTCTGTGAATCCTCGCCGAAATAAGAAAATAGTAGAAGATCGATTCTCGGGTTTACTGAGTCGTGCCTTTCCTCCACATCCCATGAAGCAGCTGCAATACAAGCTTACTAGGATCAGTGACTCATTTGCTATGGGTGTTAGAGAAATATTATTGTTCTATAGGGCGACCCCAGCCAAAGTAGTAGGACATGGAACAGCAAATTGACCCCCATGGGCCGTAAGAGCTATACCTCCCATTATTATGGCATGCATGCTAAGAAATAACTCGTAAAAGGAGAATCTTTTAGGAAAAATACACTCGCACCTTTTTCCTGTCCTTTAGATAATGAGTACACTTGGAATAATGCAATCGTTGAGCAACGGTTGGTTTGTGTCCCTGATCCATTGTGAGAGGAATAATTCAGTTCCACTGCGATGAAGTTGCAGATAGGTGAATGGTAAGAGTACTATCTGAAATGGAATTAAAAAAGGAAATTCGGGATAGAAAGAAATCGAGAGAGAATTCAAAAACCTAAAAGCTTCTGGATAATCTGGGGAGACATTGAGGATTTCTTGATCGCTACGAACTCAGTGGGATTGATATGTCTCTCCTGAGCCCCAGATCACAGCTATTGTTCGCTGATGGCAGTCATGAAAATAAAACTCCTGTGCTGATTTAGCAGTCTTCCTGTGGGTTGTGATAATCGAATCGTGCTCTCGGACTCTCATAATTGCAGCTGGCGCAGTCGCAGTCGCAGTCGCCAACATGCTATTCTTAGCCCCTAATATTGTACCTTTGACTTTTCCACCACTTTCTTTTCCTAAAAACTTGCCTCGCATCAGGTCACTCCTAACATCTGAGATTAGTCACATGCACTTATAAGCCAACCGGTTTATTATCTGTCAATTTTCCCTTTCCTGAAATAACAAACTTAAATGCAGGGACGACAGCGCCAAGGAGAATGAATGAGCTTCGGTCCACAAAAGCCCCCTCGGCTCCCATTCGCTACGTTGCATGAGGATTCAGTCCCATAGATATCAAAAATTACACAATGTCGTCTAATTCAGAAGTAACAAAATACGCCAATTCTTCACCGGTAATGACAAGCGAGGCAATGGGTCATAGTCGGGTATGTGGCGTGATCAAATATGGCCAAAAGCCCCTAATGTATTGATACTTCCTAACTACAAGATCTTATTCTCTTCTTTAGGATGTGGTCGAATAATGCATGCAAGGTACCAAGCCCTGAGTTCCCCAATCCTCTTATAACAGATCTTCACATGGATTTTTGAGGATATTTATGGCTTGTGTCCAATCCCTGAAGTGCTCATAAGACCTCTAGAATAAAACTTGGATTCATCAGTTGATGATTTTCGTCCCTATGTTAGCATACATGAAGTTCTGCTTTGCCAGTCCTAGTCAGCAAACAGTGGTTCTACGAAGCCGCGTGAGCTCCATGGAGGGATTGGAGTGACAAAGGTAATTTTTACCGCTCTCTTTTCACAGAAATTCTTGAGATGATTGAACCGATAATTTGACAATTCTACACAAATATAATTCATCGGGCAGAATTACTTTGTATCGAAATGAAGATGACAACTTTTTTTTTCAACGAGTTCCCCTCGGTCTCCCCGTTAAGTGCTTACGATGAAATTTGTTAAGTCTCGTCGTTGATCGGTTTTTCATACGTATGTTTAACTGGAGAAATATATTCTTTATTCTAGCTAGATGCCGCCTTCTCTAGATCATCATTCTTAGTCGCCGAGCTCTCGTTGCAGTATTCCGACACCTTATATATTCTAATCTTGTACCAAGGCTCCGAAAACTATATTTCAGTACCATCTATGCTATGCTGCGATCTTTGCAATCTAGGAACGCAAAACATTCCTATACAGTGCTAACAAACGTAAATGCCGCGAAGAGTGCGAAAGGGCCAAAGGCAGGCATGCTATTAGTCATATGTAGGAAACCCCTAGTGATGCCGTTCAGCAAAGTTTAACAGATATAAGCAATGCTTATAACTGTTCCCCGAATCGAGATAGGGCATATATCCGAGGCCATTAAAGTCAAAGCAGGCGCCTTTATAAATCCGTAACTGACTGCAAAGAAACAGATGGCCACAATAGCAACCCACGCAGTAGGTGAGGGGTCCCCTTCACCGGACAGGTCGGATACACCAAGGTAGACAGACGTAGAGGTAGAGAAGACAGACAATTTTGATTAAGAAGCCGATGAGAAGAAGCGGGTGACTGCCCCAGCGGTCTGGAATAAAAAAATGCGCAGAGGAAAACGGTGACAGCATTGATCATAACTCAGAATGTGAAGATGTTATTAATGTCAAGCCTCAATCATGAAAAGAAAAAGTTTCAGGCAACATATTCGGATTGCTTTGAGCTAGACTTCCGTAGTTTTGAAGGAGGATATAATATCAGGATGAGGCTTGTCGCTCAGTTTGACTATTTCAGCCTGTCGCGCCTTTGCCTGAATTGTGCGAGGGCTTTCAGGCCCAAATAGTATGGAAAACCCTTCAATTGCCTCTTGGGATTGCTCTTCTGATTTGTGCACCTTTCCCATTTTCATCAAAACCTCTGCAAGTTCCATCTTTGCCGAGAAGACGTCCGGATGCTTTGGACCTAAAGCCTTGGACTCCGTTTCAATGAGCTCAGTTAGAATAATTTCCGCTTTGTGAAACTGAGTTGAGAGTAAATAGGCTCGTGACAAATTAAATATTGTCATTGTTGTGCCAATGTGGGTTACCCCCAGGGTTCGCGTGGCGATTTCTCGCGTCCGAATTAATAGCACTATTGCATCCTCCGGGTAGCCTTGGGCGCAATATACCTTGGCTAGATCGTTGATAGACCATAGAGTATGAGCATGTTCATTACCGAGGAGTCGTTTCCTACAATCAAGAACAAATGATACTAGCTTTTCAGCCTCCTCAATCTCCTTGAGTGCCAAGCAAGTCATACCAAGGTCCTGCATTGTCTCGAGGGTGTCCAGATGGGTCGCGCCAAACAGCTTCGCTCTCCCTTCCCATGCCCGCAGAAGTAGTTCTTGTGCTTTCTTCAGGTCCACCAGATGCAAACGGGTTCGACCAAAGCTATGCATAGCACTCAGCGTGTAGGGATGGTCCGGCCCCATTATTTGCGCCAATCCCTCGTATGATTGTTGCGCCAGTTTGTCGGCTTTCGAGATAGAACCGCACAACCAAAGTGTACGACTTAAGCTGTCCATAGCTTGAAGCGTTCTTGGATCAAAGGGGCCCAACTTTCCCTTGCTGAGGTCCCAAATTGAAGTTTGAAGCCTTAATGCTTTTTCTGCTTGACTTGAATTCCAGTAGCTCCGAGCAAGCACCGCCATGGCATCTAGAGCCTCAAAGCTGTCTTTTCCAAGTAAATCGCCCTGGGTGTGGAGAATTCTTTCTTGTATGGCGGCGGCATCGTTCCATCGACCACCTTCCGCGTAAACAGTGGCAAATCGCTCGAATTGACCCATATTTGAATTGTCGAACTCTAGACCTTTACGTGAATCACAATAGTCAATCCTCAAACAGGAATCTATATGTGGCACTAGACACCGTCGGTATACGAGTTCTGAGTCTTCTGAAATTGTAGTAATCGACTCAGCCAATACCCGAGATGCAATGTTGCCCCAAATCGTTTGGGCCTTTCCTTGCAGTCGTTCTCGCGCCCAGAATTGAACCATAGGATGCATTGAATAGCTTCCGAGACTGACGTTCTGTAAAATCAAGGAATATGACCAAAGTAGGTGGATTGCCTTGCGGAAGCGGAGTTTGTCCCAGGAATTTTCAGTCTGGGAGAAAATACGAGGCAGCCGTCCCTCAGCAAACATCGTAAACCAACCTCCATATCCACTTGACAGCGTAACTAAATCTCCCGAAATGTGTGTGATTCTATCAACGAGGCTGCCGAGAGCATCAAGCTTTGCATGGCTAAAAAAGCCTTCCCAGGCCTTCTCAAAAAGAGTGCCTGGTATTTGATCAAAGTGGAGAAATGCCATGACATGGAGTATCTCAATGGCGTCCTTCGCCTCATCTGTTGTGAGCCTTCGTATCTTGTTGTAGGAGACTTCGAATGTTGTGAAAACCGTATGTTCATATGAGCCTTGACCTTGCTGGATCCTATTGAGGAAAAGCTTCCTCTTATAGGAATTGAAAACATTCTGGTAGTCCTCCAAGGAACATATATTCTGGCGAATGGAGGCACCGGCCTGTATCAAAGCGAGTGGTAGACAACCCAAGGCTTGCACGATGGGACGAGCAGTAGCTCTTGCGTTCAAATCATGAAGGTCGCTCACGATTGCGGACCTCAGAAGTAAAGTTATCGAATCTTCCTCTTCGAGGTTTGCAAACTCCTCAAATCCAATAGTTGCATGAACTTTGCAGTCAGGATTTCTGGAAGTTACTAGAATATGCCCCTTGGCACCCAAAGGAAAGTATTTGGCGTAGTCAAAGTCTGCATCATCTGCGTTGTCAATGACCAATAACCAAGGCATGTCCTGCGTTGATAACCAGTAAAGGCCAGACTCCAACTTTTCCTCCACTTTACCAATACGGGCAAGACCTGAAAAGGCCTGCTCAGCAGCCTTTGGACTACTTGCATCAACCCAAAAGACCCCCCAGAAACTAAGCATGAATATATTAGCATTTACAACATAATTATTCCAAGCGATCTGCTTGGGGCGAGATAGTCAATCTTACTTGTCTCGATTATCTGAAGCGAATTTCAAGCAGAACTGAGTCTTTCCAGATCCCCCCAAACCGTACAACACAAAGCGCTTTTGGCGTATATTAGGCGCCAGTAGCTTTTCTTGGAGTCCTTGGGCAAGCCTCTCTCTTCCTGTGTAATTGTCGCTTACGGCGAGTGGAACGAGGAAATGCTGATTTTGGGTGTCTGTGGCGGGCTTGAGTTTGAAACTGACAGGTTTGTTGTCGTGATGTATGTCGAATGCCAGAATCTCCGTGGCTTCATGTGCTCTTCGCGCAGCAAGAAAGGAATGGGATTCTTGGTGTCGCGAAGCTATTAATGGGCCCGCTAGTTTAATAAACCTGTGGAGGATCCCACATGTTAACTTGTAGCCAGGCTGCTCACGGTCACCAAATTTGCACATCTGTGAATGGGTTGCAGGAAGTCCAGAGCGCCCGGAATCATCCCATGGCGGAGCCGCTGAAGAGTAACTGACAATATATCCTGAGCCAATGGATCGCGATGTCTCAAGTGTTTCCCAGAAGTTGTGAACGTAGAAATTCTTCAGAAGAGGAGAGAATTGCTGGGAGATGGTCTGGAGGGTTTCCGATCTCTTCTCCATAGATGCGATGAGATGGCTTCGATCCTTGAGAACACCCTTTAACCCCTTTGCTAGAAGAGACCACCTGGCCTTCTCTATACCTTCATGAGGAGTACCAAAGAATATCAAGCCGAAAGTAGAAGTAAAAACAGAATGCAGGTGCGTCATCTTCGCAGAAGTGCAAGTAGAGGCGTAGATGAGGGCTTTCTTGACAATCAAGCCACCAAGACCATGGCACAAGAAAATTATCGGTCGCTGTATGGAATCATCATGCTCTCTTTCGGCATTGAGCTCTTCCACAAGAGTTTGAGCATGATGCGATATCCGATCGGCCGAACTGCTACTGAAGAACGAGGTAGCATCGGCTTTGTAATTTACAGTGAAGATACGAGCCTTGAACCCTTCGTTAGGGAGCAGGTCGCGCAACCAAAAACACCCATTGTTGGGATGAATCCAAGCCGTCGTTCCATTTTCATCTAACCCATGGACGGCAACGATACTGCTCAATTAGCGAGGTCCATTCGCAATCCTTAGTCGGCCCTTGAAAGCTTACTCGACACATAGATCGTCCCACTTCCCGTCAGTGGATACCGGGAAAATTGTTTCTACGGTCATTGAGACCACCGTATTTTGAAATTACTGACAGGATCTCAAACGCACTGAAAGTCAAAGAGTATGACAAGTATTTAGGGGGAAAAACATATATCTGATAAAATATTGCCGATCGAGAAGAGGGGGTGTCCTTGGCCACCAAAAACCCAGGTTAAACGGAGTCCTTAGTTTGACTCTCTGTTTCAAAATGGCTAATGCTAATTGTTAGTGCACATAAGTACACAAATCACCTAGACATAGGGCCAAACCAAACCAAGGATGGTTAGCCTTGACGGACTGAAGCTGATTTATAGGCTCGACCGGATTAGCCAATTTGCCAATTTGCATCCTGATACGCGGATGTGCTCACATGCTGGTTAATGCGGGCCGCATCACACACAGCGCCAATGCATCACGCTGAAAGCGCAGAATACCCTTGTCTAGTCCCGGAGGGGCCTAAAAAGGCTCTAAACCCCGTGCACTTGATTCAGCCCCTGAATTAAACCATTGAGAATAGTTTCATATTTTATTACACGATCGCTCTCTCCGTATTTTGTTTTGTAAAAGTTACCAACATTTCCGACGGGGGCGCATTGGAGATGTCACCACTTATCCTGTCAACACTCTTCGGGGGCATCATATCGTGGCTTGTGTATCAAATTATTCGAGCTCATGCCTTGTACAAGGTTTGTTAGACTTTGCTTATGAGATTAAATCGTGATAATACTGATAGAATTGACATTTCTTTACTCATAGTCAGATCAGAATTTCGGTGCCCAGCATGGTTGTGGTCGGGCTCCGAGACTTCGAAATTGGTGGCCGCTGGGGATCGATCGTCTGATCCAAATTTGGACTGCCGATTATGAACAAAGGCTGATGGATCTGTTTGATTTCCATTTTACGGATGTTGGTACGACGTTAGAACAAAAGTTCTTGGGTACAATAGCGTATGGAACGACCGAGCCAAAGAATTTAGAGGCCATGATGAGTTCTAAACTTGATGGTAGGAAGCCACCACCTTGAGCTCTCGATCCAATGTGCAAAAACCAAAAAACTGATTATTCAAAAAGATTTCAACTTTGGACTTCGTCGTCAGATTTTTTTCCCTCTGCTTGGAGACGGCATTTTCACTCAGGAAGGAGCTTCCTGGAAGCATTCTCGAGATCTGCTTCGTCCACAGTTCGCAAAGCAGCAATACCGAGATATGGACATTTTCCGACCCCACGTCGACAACCTGCTTGATCATATACACGCTAATGAGGGCGAAATCGATCTTCAACCATTGTTCTTTAATCTCACCCTGGATACGACCACGGAGCTTCTTTTTGGGAAGTCCGTTGGTAGCCTTAAAGAGGCTGATAACTCACGAGGGGCAAAATTCGCGAATGAATTTGACGTTGCTCAAAACTACGTTATTCAGCGGTTTCGTCTGTTGGATCTGTACTGGTTGATTGGTGGTCGGAAATTCCAACGCTCGTGTGCTGCTGTCCATGAGTTTGTGGATGGAATAATCGAGGAGCGAAGTCAAAAGCCAGAGGAAGACACAGCAAAGAATGACCGTTACTTGTTTTTTGATGCTATTGCAAAGGACCCAAAGCATTCAAGCGACAGGAAAGCTCTGAGAGCCCAATTGGTCAATATGTTGCTCGCTGGCAGAGACACAACCGCGTGCCTTCTAAGTTGGGCATTGTGAGTGCAGGTCCTCTTTTCTATGGTTCATGTTGAATTATTTTCTAACTGCCTTGATTGAATTCTAGCTTTCTTCTAGCCCAGCATCCCCATGTTCTAGCTAAGCTGAAAGCAGAAATTACCTCAGTGGTGGGATCTAGGACAGAGATCGATCGACAAGACATCAACAAAATGACTTACCTTACAAAGGTTTTGAAAGAAAGTAAGTCCTGCCCTCCGGATTTCATGAAGTTTTGATTGTATCGTGGCTGATAATCACGTTGCTAATAGCCCTTCGACTTTATCCCTCCGTGCCCGTCAACACGCGGACTGCTCGAAGAACAACCTTCCTCCCCACGGGTGGTGGTCCCGACGGGACCTCACCCGTGCTCATACGTAAAGGCGAGAATGTAGCATTCTGTGTGTACTCGATGCATCGTCGAAAGGACTTGTATGGAGAGGATGCGGAAGAGTTTCGCCCAGAACGCTGGGACGAAGATTTGCCCGAATATACCAAAACATGGGGATATTTACCATTTAGTGGGGGTCCTCGAATCTGCCTAGGGCGTAAGTGAACTTCTACTTTTTTATCTGTCGATAAACTGCTAATTTTCTTGGCCCCATAGAGGAATTCGCTCTTGTTGAGGCATCTTACACTACAGCTCGAATTCTGCAAGAGTATTCCGGTATACACCTAATATCCAAAAAGGTCCAACAACGTACGTGGACTGGTTGGTCCACCCATCAGACGGAAGGAATTGAAAAGATCTCCCAGCAGAGGCAGAAGGTGACATTAGTGCTATCATTAGGTGAAGGTTGCAGGGTGTCATTGACACGCTAGATTCCAGGGTTTCATCATGCATCAAGCGAGCCGAAGATTAAGAGTCGTTGAAACAAACTTGGTTTGAAAACTCAAACCAGACAGATCCTAAACTATGAATTATGGTTGAAGATCAAAGCTAGACAGACTGCTCATCAATTTAAGTACAGATAAATTAAAAAATAGATCAACCCTTTGCCCTCATCACAGAACTTACTTGCAGACCCTATCCCTATGCACATCGGTTGCCTAAAATCTGGCACGGCTGAGCTTCCGTGGGGGTTCAAGCACGCCATGCACCTAGGTGAGATTACGTATGTTTCAATAAATGTAAACCGAGTTATGCGTCGTGTTTTGATTAGACGCAGGACGGAACTATTTATAGATAGATAGCAAATAAACGGAAAGAATCCAATAAATGCATTGATTGACTGGCTTTTGTGACGATCATTACTTGTTATAAAGACCCCTGGATCGACAAAAGTACAGTGGAGATTGCCTCGAGAGAAGATCTTATAACCCAGCCCCAACCGTCCTTTCTGCCAAGTCTTGTGGTAATACCTTATCATATGAAAATTTGACTTTCTAAACCTTTGAACATGCCTCGAACGGGTTCCCTCCATAATGGCATTATTGAAATATTCAGACCTAGCGAACAGCCTATAGATATTGAGTATGTGCTGGCCTCTAGACAAATTGTAATACTAGCTGACCATTTGGTTCGAATAGTATCGTCGCTGTTCATGGTCTGCAAGGTGATGCTCGGCGAACATGGACTCATGAAGCTTCAAAGGTGTGCTGGCTTAGTGACCTTCTTCCCAACTATATCAAGAATGCCCGGGTCCTGTCGTGGGGGTATAACGCCAACACAAATTCTTTGGGCGGCAAGACAACAAGTTCAGACCGAATCCTACAACATGCCGGGACCCTTATCGAGGAGCTTCAAAATGACAGAGAGGTAAGTAGTGATGTACACTGTAAGGAATATTCGTTGCTAGATTTTATTTTTCAAACCGTGGTGCCATGGCTGCCTTGGACTGGGATGGAGTGCGCCTCCAAGTCACAAGGAACAAACAATGGGACATTTTCATTATGATACTTTCTTGTCAATATTTCAGCTTGACTTGGCTTCATGTGCTTTGGATCTGAGAGACAATGAATTTTCTAGCTGACCGTGACTAGTTCGAGGATGCCACCGAGAGACCCATCATATTCATATGCCATTCTCTAGGAGGTATTATAGTCAAAAGAGCCCTCACTTTATCCCAAGGTCGCACGTCAGCGAAGAGCGCTCGACTTCATATGATTTATACTTGCACTTACGGCATTTTGTTTTTTGGCACTCCCCACCATGGCTCCAGCAAAGCACGCCAGCTCGATACCATCCACAAGCTAGCGTCCTTCATTGTTCCCAAAAGGGTCGCTCGCTTCGAAACAAGTCTAGTTACTGGAATCGAGGATGACTCCGAAATCATTCAAAACATCGCGGTAGACTTTTCTCCGTTGATGTCGCGGTATCACATACTGTTTCTGTGGGAGCAGTTGCGCACCGATATGAAATATACAATGGACTATATCGTGGATCGCGAGAGTGCGGCACCAATATTGGATGGAACAGACAGATGCGGTATTGCCGCAGATCACCGGGGGATTTGCAAATTTGAGAATGTTGACTCTCCGGGCTTCAAGGTTGTTATTGTCGCTCTCAAGCGCTACTGCATGGCTGCACCAGCAAGGATCAAGGAAAGGCTCATGGAGAGTGCGATCTCTCTGAGCGAGAAAAGAAGATACGAAGCCATGGAGCTTGTTGGGGAGTCACCAGTATCCCCCATATCTTTCGTCTCGAACGTTTCTTCTTTTTCGGACGTATCTTCGTTGTCAGATACAGTAAATCGGCTGAAAATGAAAAGAAACGCCAAGGGGTCACCTTAGCCTCTCTATGTACATGGTTTTAATTTAGCTCCACCTTGATCAATTGAATAAGCTCTGTAGCAATAGACTCCAATCTCGCTTTCTGGATTGATAAATTGAGACCTCCTACCGTTGGCGAATGGGCCAACTCAACATACTAGTTCAACCGCCCACGAAGTCTGCCGACAGGAAACTCGCTTGACATCTTTCCAAGTTAATTTCCTATCATTAGAAATAACTATAATATTTTAGAAAGAGTGCTCTTTAGCATTTTTAGTTCTTTATATCATCTAGTCTAGCTAAATTAATTAAGGGCTTATGACTCTAAAGTATTAGTTAGGTTAGTAGATAATGAATTTAAGATCTACTATACCAAGAGGCCGACTGTCCTAGGACGTGAAAAAAACCAATTGCATAGCCGTGTGAGAACCTATAAATCTCGCCCAGCACCAAGAAGAGTCGAATCGCCAAATCTTCTCCCGTGCTTTTCTTACAGTCCTTACATCAAGCTGGGAAAGCCCAGTCTTCATAAAATCCTCAAGATCTTGAAAACACCTTCATGGACTTGCGTTACAAGGTCTCAAAGCTCCATCTCTGTAGTGCTAGATTCCCGAGCATGAATTTCCGGAAACTGCTGTTGGAAGACTACGCCCATTACGCCTAACTCGTACCCTTGCAAGTTGTCATGCAGGAGGCGGGGTACGGCCGGGCTGACCATTTCGCTATTCGGTTTGATTGATCAGCCAAAACTGGTGCGGGTAAGAGTTGCCATTTTAGGCTTAAAGGCGCTGGTCAAAACATGCCGGCTTGTTTGCGGCTAAGTTAGGCTGACAGGCATCTATTTCAATTTGCTAAGGCGCTTAACAAAAATGAGTTGCTTACCTCTGGATCACATCTGAACGGGGGCATTAATTAAGAACAAGCAACCCAAGCCAGCTATTCTTCATTCTGATCCCCCTTGAATCGAATCTCTGCAACTCAGAGCTCGATCCAACCCCACCATGGCTAGTCAGTACAGCCCAGTATAGGTAAGGCTCCTACTCACGTAGCATAGCCTTTACGACAACTGTACCCCAACCTCGCCTCAGCGAATTCGACAGATGTTGATACCATCAAAGTCGAGTATGTGTTGCGCCTCTCCGGCGATGGCTCTACTTACAATATGCAGCATCATCGCAGTCCACGGCCTCAATCCCCGGAGCAAAGACGATGCCAGGCATGCGTGGGATACATGGTCTGGGTCAAACGGCAGCCTCTGCCTCCGTGACGATCTTCCCAAGTCCCTGCCCGAGTCGCGGATTTTCCTCTACGAATACAACGCGACGGCGATCTACGGAAGAGATAGAAGCACCTTTCTCGACAAGGCGAGCGAATTGCTCGAGGCAATTCGAATAGAACGAGACGACGGAGAGCGCCGGCTGATCCTACTTCTTGGCCACAGCATGTGCGGTTTGCTGATCAAGCAGGCGTTGATCAATGCGCACAATAACCCAAAATACACACCAATCAAGGATGCAACAACATGACTGGCATTCTTCGCCACCCCGCAATACGGCGGCGACAGCAAGCTGGTACTCCTTGGAGGGGTGGCGGCCAAGATTGCGACAACATTCGGATCTCAGCAGGGGGAAGATATAATGGAGACACTGAAGAAGGGGAGCATATTTTCAGGTATAATGCGAGAGAATTGGAGGCACCGATTGCTGGACTGCAACATCGTCTCCTTCTGGGGAATGTATGATACTGCAAGTAAGATAGGCCAGTGTGTGGAATTTGCCGATATACTGATGCGCCTCTAGATCGTCCCAGAAGAGAGCTCACGATTCAACCTACCGGGTGATCGCGAGCACGTCGTGAAACTAAGGGCAGACCATAGCGGGGTGTGCAAGTTTGGTCTGAGCATGGACGACCAGGACAACCTCAAGCTAGTTCGAAGAAACATCCAGGATCTCTATAAAATCGCTGTCAAAAAAGGTGAGTTAACCACTGTGCCCTCTCTCCCGGGTCGAGATGGGAAAGTGCCCGTGGATGATAATGAGCTGGTGTCTCGATTTGCCAAATTAGGCGCAAATAGGACTTCATTTAGCTAAGCATGAATATCACGGATACCTTTCTAATCTATGTCTTATGCATTAGTCTTGTATAGAGTGTGCTGATATTCTAAAGCAGATGAATCTCTTATAAAAGCCCGCGAGGCGAGACCCCTTGAAACAATGGACAGTTCCCTTTCTGTGGTCAATAAGCTCCGCCCCTTCATACCAAGTACAGGGTTCGCTAGCCGTGAAAAAGAGCTTGCTCGACTGGAAAAATTGTTGTTTTCCCACAGCGGACCAGACAAGGTTGCTATTTGCGGACTTGGTGGTGTTGGAAAAACACGACTCGCAATGGAACTTGTCCGCCGAACGAAAGAGAGGCGACCGGAATGTTTTATTTTTTGGATCCCAGCTATAAGTCTGGAAACTCTTGAACGGACATACACCCGATATGTCCAAGCTCTCAAGTTGCCAGGATCGGAAGATCCCGACGCAGATGCCAAGAAGCTTCTTCAGAATCACCTGAACGGGGGGACGCGAGCCAGTGGTTACTGATATTTGACAACGCTGATGACAAAACCATGTGGTTTGGCCAGACCACAAATTAAGGGACTATATTCCATTCAACAGAACGGGCAAAGTGATCTTCACCACACGCTTTGAGCCGGTCGCCTTAAATCTCATGAATAAAGATCATGTGGTTAAACTGCCGAATGAAGACAAGGTGATGGCCAAGGAGCTACTTAAAATACGATTTACGATTAAGGGAAGATCTTTCAGGGAGTGAAAGTGAGAGAGTCTCGCTTTTAGAGCAGCTCACTTTTCTCCCTCTCGCCATCGTTCAGGCTACTTCTTACATGAATGTGAACACTTGTGTGCTGTCAGAGTATTTAACGCTCTTGTCAAGGCCCAAAGAAGATTTAATTCGTTTATGGAGCAAGCATTTCAAGGACGATTGGGAAAATGGCCACGAAAGGATTCCGATGGCCACGACATGGCTCATTTCTTTTGAGAAAGTCCAGAGCGACTCCCCACTAGCAGCTGGCATTTTGTCTACTATGGCCTGCGTAGAGCGGACAAAAATCCCGAAGTTGCTTTTACCATCAGCGTCACACAGAGAGGAATGGATTGAAGCTATCGGGATCTTAAAAGCATATTCATTTGTGAGCGAAGTGCCCAAAGATCAAACGTTCGACCTCCATCGGCTCGTCCATCTTATGATGTGGAACTGGCTGGAAACAAAAGGCACATTATCATACTAGACCAACAGAACGCTGAAGAGAATGGAGCGTATCTTCCCTAGCAGCGAGCATACGAATCGCAGTTTGTGGAACGCATATATGCCTCACGCCCTACTGTTGATCGAAAGAGCGTATCCCCAATACTCAACTAAAGGCCATGGATTGCTTTACAGGGTCTCATTATGCCTTTTGGCCGACGGTCAGACCAGAAAAGCACTCGGTTGGCTTATGCAGCGGAACAGTTTGCTGAAAAGATCTTTAGCCAAAGGCCACTCTGATCTGCTAGAGTCCCAGCATATTCTCGCTATAGCATATCTAGCTAATGGCCAGATCGAGCTAATGGCCAGATCGAGCTAATGGCCAGATCGGCGAGGCAGTTGAGCTGCTTAAGCATGTGGTTGCAGTGCAAGCCGCCCTGGCTGAAGACCACCCTGATCGGCTTGTGTCCGAGCATGTCCTTGCTATAGCATATCAAGCTAATAGCCAGATCGGCGAGGCAATTAAGCTGCTTGAGCATGTGGTTACAGTGCGAGAAACTGCCCTGGCTGAAGACCACCCTGACCGGCTGGCGTCCCAACAGGTGCTGGAGGTGGTCCAACGGGAGTATGAGGAAGGGCTATGTCACAAATAATCCGTAAAGTCCATTCCTGTATGAATATTGGATAGAAGGGTGGCTGGGGGCGCGTATCAAAATCTTGATTTTCCTACTACTTTGAGATGTAATTGTTGAATGAACCAAATTTACGATGTGCTTAGTCGAGCCTTCGCCCGAGCGAAAGTCATTCTTTCAAAGGTGCATAGAAAGTTATTGTACTTCTTCGACCAAATTGAAGGATTTCGTTTTGTAAGAGTGCTAGATGGAGCGTATGATGGCAAAACATGGAAAAATCTACATCCAATATCCGATATGGTGTAATAGGGTGTCCTGGTGAAGAGACCACGGTTCTGCGTGGCATTGTGTGGGGGAAACCGTGGTCTTTCCGCGCAGGCAAGAATGAACGATATAGTTCTTGGGAGACGATTGACCTAAGCCCGATTAGGTATAGCCCAGCTAGCCGAAGCACCACACTTACATATCCCAGCGGCTCCATCATGAGTCTATCACTGTAGCCCAAAATAGCTATATGGCCGGCTTTTGTTCGATTCAGTATAGCCCGGCAAGCCTGGCGCGTGCAAATCCCGGCGGCTTGTTCATGAGTTCTGCGTAGCCCTGGTATAAAAGCCAACATCATCACCCTTGAAATTTCTCATAAATCATCATTCAATCATCATTCCCTTCTGAGCCAGTCAGAATCGAAATGCCACCCAAAAGGTCCTCGAAGCCGATCACGGACTATAATGCCTTTGTCAGGCTGCCAGACCCATCTGTCAAACGCAAGAGAGCCGAAGCGACGAAAGAACGTCTGCGGGGAATTCATTTTAACTTCCAGAAGTACTGGCTTCCTTTCTCTTCAGTCCTTGTGTTTTTACTTATATATGCAGATTTACATCGCAACTCACACCGCCAGATTATAAGTATTGGCTTGAGAACATCACATTAAGATTCATTGAAGGCTTCATTCGCTGGTATTTAGATGAGCACAACGAAGAATACCACTCTAGTCTCATGACAGTGGTGAGATTTTTCAGGATGTATTGGAGCGAAGAAATAGGCCGTGACCTTTCCCGTGAATTAGGGCAGGATGTGACTGCAGTATGTTTTGAAAAGCCAAATTGCTGATCCCTTGCTGACTCGCGAAGCTTTCTAATGATCTTAGTAAAGAGTATGGGCTTAACTTAGGCGCTAAGCAACAGCCGCCATTTAGCATTAACGAGCTCTTGCTTGTCACCCACTATTTGCTAAATGCCTGTGATATGGCTTTTCCTACTTTCCGATGCGTTTTACAATTGAACACGTTGCGAAAAATGATGGCTTCAACATCAGCTCGGCCTGGAACTCTGACTCTGTCTACCGGGTATATGAGGGGCAATGATACCCTTAAATGGAAGGATATTGAGCTATTCATAGTGAAAAACCCAGAGGATCCCGGTTCTCAAATCCTTCTTATGAAGGTACAGCACAGGCTTAACAAGGGGAGGAGAAATGAAGGAGCTCCGTTAGTATTACGCCAGAAGAGACATAAGTGTATAATTTGGTTATGGCTAACTCTAATAGGCCTAAATTCATGTACACTGAAAGAAATGACAGTTTGGGGCTTTGTGTTATTCATGATATACTTACGTATGCATTTCTGGATGACGCGTTTGCGAGCCCTTATATCAAATGTCTACGAGACATCTGGCGTCTAACAAAGATACCGGAACATCGCCAAAGCACGCCCATCCATTTTAAAGAAAGCTTGGGGGAAATTCCTGTCTCAAGACGCGCTATGCGAACGGACAATAGGAGTTGGGTCACAGACCCAGAAAATGCTCTTTTATGCAGCCAAGCGCAGAGTTGGGAGCAAACTGCCTGTGAAAAGGCTGGTTTTCCGGATAAAGGATCGCTTTACAAATACCGCAAAGGCGCAGCGGTAAACCTGAGTACGTATTGGAGAAGATGCTGGATTGATAGGCAAGAAATTAATCCCCTTCACAGGGCACCTCGATAAGCATTCACGAAATGCAGTTATGGGTCATCGAAAAGGTGGCACATTTGCAAGTTATATCTCTGTATTAGATGACACTCAATCTATTTACATGGGGACTCCAACTAGGGATTCGTTACTTAATCTCGCGATCCATGCAAACCTAAAACGGGATGCCTCCGCGCCTCAAGACCTGACAATTGAGCAGAAAGAGTCTCTTGAAATGGATGGCGAACTTCAGAATTTGAGAAAGGCGCATAAGTCGCTCCGGATCACTCTCATTGCAGAGTTTCGCCGTCTACAGAAGGCCCGTGAAGCCAATGACGCGCGTTAGCATGAATTTAGACGGCTGCAAAACAAGATCTGGGCACGACAGAGGAAATTATACAGAAAAGCCAAGAAGACCGCTCGCGATAAATTCTTCCAAAATATTGGTAACCAGATCATAGAGCGCAACCATCAGGGGAATCCCATCATCTTTACACCAGATACCTCTCATATACAGCCGGAGAGAAGAGCTCTTTCACACCTCGAATTTAAGAACAGAGATGTCGATACTGTCGGTGATGCCGAGTTACTTGAAGATCGCATTCAGTCCCTAGAACTACGGCTCAAGCTCCACAGTCTTCATGTACCTAGGACATTGAAAAAGCAGATCAAATTCGGTCAACAGGTGTCAAAAAAAGCTGGGGCAACTGAAGATTTCCGATGGAAATACCCAAAGAAAGCTGGTACCGATGGGGGATTACTTCCATCAAAAAGTTCTACTGGCCTTAAATGTCCAGTGTGTCTGGGGCGCAAGGATCTACATCCTTCCGCCAGAACCTACCCGTATGCACGCAAGGATGTGCTGAAACGTCATTTCGAGACCCACAAATTACCATTTGTATTCAGGAGAGATGGTCGGCAGTGCGATTATCCCGGTTGCCTGGAGGTTCTGTTTACACTGGCGCGATACAAAATTCATCTTCAAGACGATCATAATATTAGCCTGTGAGCGTTCAAGCTCATCATTATCAGAGTTGACTTCTGGCTAGTTCTAGATTGACCAATATATCGTTCCTCTGTACAAAGTTGTTTTCTGAACACTAGACCCAAATCTTTAACAAGTAGCAAGAGGACTACATACATAAGGATACGAATGCTAGAACCCACCAATGTTATCTTCTTACCTTGGAAGCTTGGAGAGAGGGAAGTAATTTTACTGTTAATTCAAGCCTATCTTGATTGTAAGGTCCATAGGTTTGTCTCAGGATTGAAACAAGGCAATGAGATATCAGTATCTGTTGCAGCTGGAGTCAGCTGGGATTTAAAGCTGCTCTCATCCCTCCTCCCATGGAAAAAGAAACAGGGACCAATTTGGCACATAGTAAAGACCTCATTTGGTGAGATAGTTTTGAGAGAAAATGCATCATCGACAACTCGAGCATACCATCGGTCGTCAAGATCTTCGATCCACTCATGTGCTTGATTCGCGGTTTCAGCCCGAAAAAACAGCACCTCACTCGTGGCTATGTCAAAGAACATGACCCCATTATAAGGAGGAAGTTTTGTAAATGCTGCGTAGAAATCGTCGGGAGTCATGTTGACTGTACATTTGCAAACAATAGGCGTCATTTCCGAAATTTGAGTGACTTGGTTTGATTGAGTTGGAACAGGGCCTTGCACAATAGGGAGCGGGAGACTTGAGATCTCCGTGCCAATGTCAGTTGACTGAACAGGGGCCAGTTGATTGTATACAATGGGTTGATCACTTCCCACCATTCCAGTATCTTCGGTGTTTTGTAAGACTGTTGGCGGGGCTTTCTCCCTATTAAAAGTTTGATCACCTGCATCCTGCTCCCGCATTCGCTCCATGTCCGTCAAATCGAGTTCAGAGAAGAAAGAACGAAAAATATCCCGTTTGACTGCAAAAGATGTCATATTCTCTTGAATTGTATGATCAGGCGAGTAGATATTCTCTAAGAATAAGTACTTTTGATCCAGAAAAAAACTCTCTGTGTCTGTCATTCCGCAGCGGCTCTGAAGATTCCAGTTCTCAGACCTATCGCAAGTCTGAATAGGAACCGGTATCGTAGCGACCCGAGGAGTCATTGAGCCAAGAAACGAGGCGACTTTGGTGCTCCACTCGGACATTTGATTTTCCTCGTATTCGAAGAGCTCAGGGGGCGAAGACGGGTAAGAAGACCGAGAATAGCAGTAAACTCTAAGTAATTTGTACCGGGATTGAATTTAGACCCTAGTATAACAAATCCAATCTTGCTTATGAGAAGCCTAAGGCGCTGCCATAGTTCAGATCGATCGAGGCATCGGGCCCTTGAACTTTAACTGAATCCAAGGGGCTGCGAGTCAGTCATTCCACAGAAGTGACGCATAGCGAAAAGAAATAGCTGACGATATGCAGACCAAAAGCCAAAATCTTTCGGGCCTACTCTCTGCACAAAGTCATTTTCTAGAGATTGTATGTAAAATTGCTGGTTCCTAGGTGCCACATAATAACGAAACATGGCCTAACGGATGGTGCCTTTGAAATTTACCGGGAGAATCTTTTTAACAACGTCAGTCATTGCTTTGAGGTATTTCGTGTTCTCCAAAAAAGTCCTGAGGGACGGAATTATCTTTCGATAGCCTAAGACAGCATGCTGCATTTTCGACCGCAGATTTGGGTCTTTAACCATCGAAAATGCCGAGCCATCTTAGAAAGCATTTTTTATATATCGGTAGTCTGCCATTGACAGACGAGGACAGCGTCCTTCTAGCATTGCAAGAGCTGAGGGGTCAAGAAACTGTGGATTTTGGCAAGTGAAAGATTGCCATACGGAGTGAATCTCTGCTAAGAAATCTGAGAGCTCCTATCAAACAATGAATCAGTTACGTACATTCCCTTTCATGGAGCACTGAATTCCCTACCTCTGGACATTTTAGACTCGGGAGATGGGTTCCCATATGCCACGGAGTCCATAAAGCGGGAAAACAGAGAAGCGCATCCAGCCTCCTTCCCAGACAACGGAATTCATCTTGGCTTTTCCCCTTCGGGTCATAGATTCGATTAAATTCGCTGCATTTAGTCGGCGACCATCTTGCAAGCCATTCTTTAGCAGCATCTGTCTCACCCCTTTGCTGGTAATGGCGGATGCTCCGGAATATCTCTCCATCACTGAAAGTATGCGATCTGGAGTCACATTCTCGCAGTCTCCTTCGGCAATCTTCACTCAGCTTTTCGGTGTCGTAGAGGTTAAAAATCCACCACGTATCACTAGGTGCTAACCATTCACGAGCAGCAGCAATCCGATGCTTTCCTTGGAAGCAATGCAAGTTCCACTCGTCTGGCAGGATAATTTCTTTTGGGTCACCGCGGCTTAACTTGGGAACTAACGGCTGGAGTTCTGAGAGTCTTATCTCACAGGGAATCCAAGTAAGTGGATCTAACCTACGACAGCCTTCATAGTCAAAGCGATGCAGAAGGCGGTCGACATTGGATTGACTGAAGGCCCGAGAGCCCAATATGTCGATATCGTCGAAGAGAAGTTGGTCTAGCTGATGGATCTTGACAGAGCAGATTTCAGCTGCTGATAGCTGCCGAGCAATTGTCAAGTCGTCAGACGTCATGGAGACAAGAACTGGGTATTAACTTGCATTTAAATAAAATGAACAGTAACAGTAAACTTAGACAGGACTGGATGTTTTATAACCACCCGCTTGGGGTTCTGGGCAGCTGGGAAAACCGTGGCCTTGATGATAAGATAGCCAGCGTTGACCTTGTCTCAAAAGCAATAGCACTAGTACCCTAATGCAGCCTGTGCAAGGCTCAGGTCGATAGAAAACAGTCGGCACTACTACCGCAATGTTACAGACTTTTTGAATATAATCCCATCCTTTTATAAAATCTCCATGTCGCAGTCATATGAGAGGGATTTTTTCTTATGATCTATCTCAGCGTTGCAATTTTAGCAATCTTGAAATCCTTATATCTATATTCGATTATAGAAGGTATAGAATCGCAGGATGGACGTAGCTTTAATTGCTCTTGGTTTAAACAGGAGAAAACGCCTCAGCACCGACCACAGCTCCGCGGAGTTTGAATCTCTCAGTGATGTACCTCTTTCTGCCCTTGACAAAGGAGAGACTCGATTTCGTTCAATTCACTCAGGACATCTGGGAGATGTATAGTGCCTGATGTCCGCGACTTTTGTTCAAGGCTGTCAGCCTTCTTGTACAAGTCAATAAACTGAACGTAATGCTTCTCAATATGAGTAAACATATCCTCTAAGTCCGATAGATTGAATTCTTTCTGATGGCTTCATAGTTTGTCAGTATCAATATTCACTCACATCAAAGTCGATATCTTTTTACCAGCAAGAAGAATTACCCCAGTGGACAAGTGATCAACTGCAATAGACCATCGGCGGCCGATATACAGTTGGTTCTGGAGCTTGTGACGATGGCGTAACTTGGTTCTTTCACTAAAATGCTCCCATTCTTCCGCAAATAGTTCATGAAGAACCACATTGCAAGGGCCTTTAAATTTATTTGTGAAAGAGGGAACACTTTTACCGAATCTCATTTCCAAAGGCATCGACCCTATTTCTTCTTCTTTCAGCATGTTGAGGCGCTTGGCGGCGGCAACGATTCGGTCTAATACCGACGTATGGGCGTTGTCTTCAGCTTGGATTTGCCGCCAATGAAGATATTGGTCTCTGGGCAACATGATTTGATCATTTCGAATAAAGTCATTTTCCGTAAGTATAAAGTCTCCTCTGTTCAGTGGAGCTCGGGGAACAACATATGATTGAGTGTCCGGCTTGAGCATGTGATTCAGGCCTGAATCACCGTCCGATGTCCTTGACACTACTGGCAATTGAGGGATATCAGAGGCATTGGCTCGATCATCAGTCACACCGTCTGATATTTCATCTGATGTTGGTGCGCTTTGGTCTTGAGTAAAGTTTCTGAGTAAGGTAACTAGATCCTTGTCTTGTTGTGCTCGAGGAATTTTGACGGCATGTCGAAGAAAAGTGGCGCCAAGTTGCGCTAGGGCGGTTGCCATGTTAGAAAACAAATGACAGGATATCAATTACAGAATTTATGAATAAAGAAACTTTTTCTACTTATTTATCAGTGTTCCTTTTAACCACGGTTTTCCTTCTAACCACGGTTTTTTAACCAATAGGCGCCTAATTTGCTACCCTATCATAGGAAGGTCCACGGTTTCCCCTCTCAAGCGCCTTCGAGACTCATACTCATCACGCCGAAAATACATTTTAGTCACCTCAATCAACCCACGATCGTTACGCCGATGATAAAAATAGTCTTCGTGTTTCAGGTGTTTTTAAGGAGATATAAAGGAGGGCAATATCGTCCTTACAGTCCAGGTGTCACTATTCTCCCTATCTACAATGCCCAAGGTATCTAAACCACCAAGCTTTTGGAGAGACAACAGACAAAGACACGGTGCCCAGTCAGATCCGTGCAAGAGAAAGAAAGCAGAGCACTAGAGGAGTATATTCTCGTGGTTACCTCGACATTGGATGATATCCATGGATCATGTGTAGTTTACCTACAGAAGGAAGCTATATCTCACTTTAGTTGACAACCCATCCGTTGGCTTTGATAACCCGATCACAGAAATCAAATTTCCGCCTAAAGCAGCAAGAGGCGCCATCTTAAGCAATTTCCTTCTGATAGAGATGACTGTTGAAACCCTGTGTGCGGTAGTCGTACGGCATAGAAAGGTGTACATCAACCTGTAAGAGATCAGATCGGATAAAAGCCATAATATGAATACAGAACGGCAACATACATCTATTATCGAGTCTGAGGGGGAATTTGGATTCAATTACACGAATTGAATCGGAATTCTTTCGAACAATAATGATATAGACCCCTAACATCCCGAGTTTCCGGGCAATGCGTGAGAGTAGCTTCGGCATTTTGATAAATTGTTTCTCAGTTGTGTATAATACCAGAGGCATTATGTAGAGCTGGGGAGTTTAAATATTATTGCTGTGTCACGCATGATGGGCAGAAACCACTGTTCTGAGCAGAAAGTCGCGGGAAAATCGTGGTCATGGAAATCGTGGTCATGGCGTGTCGGCGCTTAGCATCCTAGAGTTGTCTCTACCATTCACCACCCTCGTACTTTATTAATAGGTATCGAGGGCAACAAGACCTAAATGTATAGGATTGAATGTCAATATCAAACGGCAAATAGGCATAGAGCCTTCCCATAATCTAATCCGTGTTGTCGTCAATGAGTGGGCCACAGAGCGTGCATGTTAGCGATCCCGCCACCAACTATTTCCATGAAGCAGATTACCCCAGTGACGGAGAATGAGTGGCGCAGGGCCAGTGCATTCTTAGCGCCTGCAACCTAGGCTGGTCGGTCGGTCGAAGAGCAGGCCCAGTTGCGGCTCCTCGCACAATCACATCTTTTTTAACATGGCCGAAAAACAAACTTGAGGGGCATTCCCACCATGTGCGATTGGTGAACTAAGACTGCACCGGGTCCTTTACTTGAGCAAAATGTTAGTCCACTGTCCCGTAGTGCGAACAAATCACAGTAGTTCCTCCTTTAGCTTGCTGTACTTCTGAACCTACATAAATCGAAGGAGCCACGAACTTATATGGCATTGTACATGATGGATAGTATATCCATTATCTTGCCTAACTTTTAGCCGATGTCTGAAGCATAATCAAGCACCATCCTGTTCTATCGTGAAAAGACTCTATTATATTAAGCGTTATAGCATAGCGATCTATACTAAGGCCAGTGGAATTGCACGAGAGTTTGTAAGCGATTTAGGTAGAAGTCGACCAAGTCCTTACTCAGTCTTTATCTTGTTAACTCCATGCGTCTCTGCTGGCTCCCTAGGAGGTAGACTGGCCCATGCGTTTGGATAGTCGTATTCTTTGCACATATCTGAGAGGGCGAGCATCAGTGGTTTTGTTTCCGGTTCTCCGAGCTGGGGAGTGTTTAACACGAAAAGGATTGTTTTCCACTTTTCAACAAAGGACTGCCACTGGATTTGACCGAGGCCAAGATCTAAACCATTGGCAATGTTCCTGTCCATTAGGCGGCTATTGATTCTGTCAAGCTCCCTGGTGGCGTCTCTTGCTGCTTTAGGTGGAATTTGACTTTCTGAGATCGAGTTGTAAAAGCCAAAAAATGGATTGTCGACCAAGGTGAAATATAGGGTATATAGGTATGGAGTCGCTTTATGGTGTGCCTCTAGATGATATTGAGATAGTCTTGGTTTATCAAGTCTCTGTGAGCGACCTATTATGTGGTTAGGGCCAGCATTAACGATCGTAGTGAAGGAGACTTACTTACCTTCGGAAACTTTAACTGCTTTGGCCTTTTTATCGGCGTTCCAAATCTGGTCTCGATAGAGACCAGCCAGCATTTGGCCGAAGTTTGTAGGAAGGCTTTTCGACATTCCCGGTGTATTAAGAGGAGTTGAAAATGGCAGTGTCAACCTTAAATAACTGTTATCCGAGGAACATAAAAACCATGGTCAACCACGGTTTTCAGACCACGGTTTCGCAAGCCGTGAGACTCTTCCTTAGTGGTCGCCTACATGATGAGCCCGTCGTATATAGTTTTGCGTGGCCGGTGACTGGGTTCTACAACGGGTTTAATGAGCTATGTGAGGATGAATTGCCGCTAGCTAACATCTTTCGCGAAAAGGCCCGTGAAGACCTTGCCATGTGTGTCGTCGAGGGCAGAATGGCTCAAAGGTTTTTCTTCGCTCTTGGGCCTGAGAGCTCTTTCCTAGATATACAGACGCTTCCGTATAACTTCGCTGGACTCAAGCGGGCCTTCAACTTTGAAAAATAGGAGTGGAAGGCATGGAAGAGCAAGGCTGTGAAGAAATGGAAAGGTGATGATTTACTCCTTAGCTTGCTAGAACTAGAATAAAATGAGGGGGAAGGTGAGACTGAATAGATTGTGCAAATCCCATTTAGCTTAGGAATAAACCTTGTTACGAAAATATTTATATGCATAGTAGTCAATCCATTCTTACTGGTGGTTTGGTTATGAAAGGCGATGAATGGATTCTCCAAAATAACTAAATAGAACACAGACATGTATTGAGTTCCTCCATTGTGTTATTCAAGGTATTCCATAGCAGCTTTATGGTTTTCCTTGTATGACCATCAACGTGACTAGAAGTATTGTTACTATCCTCGAATGGAACTTATTTAGCTCATAGCCATTCACGACTCACAGCTCCTCTTCCCGCTGTGGAATTTGGGTAGCGTGTGCCTGTTTCGAAAAATCAAACAAGGGCTGAGGAGGAGCAGCGAAAGCGCCTAGGTACTGGCCGTATGTAGGCTGGAAACTTGGCTGAGGGTAGAACGCCTGCTGCGCCTGAGGTAGAAATGATTGTTGGAACTGTGGTGGCAACTGAAATTGGGTAGGAGCTGATGGCTGTTGATATTGTAGTGAGAATTGGAGTTGGGCAGGGGCTGACGGCTGTTGAAAATGAGGCACTTACGGCGCGTTCAGAGCAGGAGGAAACTGCTGAGGCATGGATAGGAACCACGAATAGAAATTTTGCTCCTTGTCAGGAAGCGCCAATAGTGCTCCTGATCTGTAATGACTATTCGCAACAGGGGAAAGGATTGTAAGTGCCTCTTTCACAGAGTATCCGGGGTCACCGATCATATTTTCGGCAATCAACCTGTCTGCCTCGCGGGGTGCGAGTATCTTCTTGAGAGCAGACCGTGAAACACCTTCCGCCCGCAGCGGAGTGGTTGGCCCCTGGTGCCAAAAGCCAGCCACGATGAATGGAAGCCTGCTTTTTCCCGGTTCTAATTCTCCGACAGCAAGCCAGTTAAGACCGTATTGACCACCGGCTCTGACTTAATCGCGAAGTTCTCGGATATGTTGTTCTTCACGAAGTGTGCTTGGGATATTAGCCCTAGTAGCTCCGTCCAATACCGGTTGACCCCCTACGGCAGCGCTTGATACAAGCCGTACCCTACCCTACGCATCTTCCACCACAAAGCGGGCACTTATTTTGCCAAGCCATTGAATCATACGTATCGTTTCACCGCTTGATGTGTAGCCGGGATTGATAGAGCGCGTTGTCTTTCTTGGTACGATAGCGATTGTACGTGTCTGTCCACCAGTAGAATTCCAAAGCTGAATACTGTTTCTAGGTATGTCTGCGCTAGCCTGCGGCTGCGAATTGGCAGATGAATTGGCAGATGAATTGGCAGAAGACTCCGATGCGCCGAAATTGGCCCATTCATTTGGATAATGAAATTTCTCACACCATTGTAAATTCGCAGCGCTTTGCGTAGGTACCAGCTCCGGTTGCAGGAAAAATACCCTCTAGCGCCCAAATAAATCAGGGTACCGGATAGTCCCGAGATCAGGGTCTTTCTTCATTTGTTCATTTCCAACCCTCATCTCGGCGTTGATGCTGTCAAGCGCGGCAACAGCAGCCTTGGCCTTTTCGTCTAGGCCTTCCAAGTTAGCCTAAGGATTCAGCCTTGGATTCTTTTCTAATGCAGAAAAAAGCACTTTGAGATGCGGGGTTGCTCGCTCATACGCATCTTTGTGGTACGAGGATAGCCGGCCTTCAACATGTTCTACTGGGCGGCTCGCATCATTCCCGTAATAGAAATTAGTATGCCTATCGGCCTCGCCCGGGAGAAGACCTCCAGATTTTTCGCGAAATGATAATAGCTCTGATGTAATTAGTCAATATTCCAACGACATGTGTAACGGTACACATACTTTGGAAAGCCTTTTGAGCTTGAATCTTTTCCTCTCCGTGATATTTGTCGGGATGGAGAAGCGCTTGTAGCTTTCTAAAATCCACGGCAAACGGAAGAGCATTGTCAAGTGCGTTCTTAAACATGGTTGGGTCGTCAGATGCGTCAGAGATTGCTCTGATTATAAGCAATTTCTCGTTGTGACTGAGATCCTCCTCATCCTCCTCCATATCAGTGTCTGCGGAACTAGGTCTCTGACGCTGCTGGGGTTCGGGCGTGACAGGAGCGGGACTCTGGGCAGGAGCTTGGGCGGCAGCCTGCACGGGTACATGACCCGTGGCTGTTCCCTGAGCTGGAGCCTGGGGTGTAGGGCGATTAGTGTCTGGGGTTTCCAATTGTGCGCGAAAGTCTTTGAGATCGGGCGTCGGCATATTGTCTTTTCTCAATAAATTCTCCTTTTTTTGGTGTTCTTTTTGGGTGAAGTCCGGGGGCAGGGGCAGCTACTTTCAGATATCTTTTTTTCTTCTTTTTCTTTCAAATGACTTGATTGAGAGCAAGTAGGATAAGTAAAGTATTAAACGTGACAAAAGCCAATTGTTGCTGCCGTTCAAATGAGATCCGAACAGACTTAAGTATATAGCCTCCAGTTAGGCTGACCACGATTTTAGAGATGACCACGATTTTAGAGATGACCACGATTTTAGAGATGACCACGATTTTAGAGATGACTACAATTTTAGAGATGAATACGATCTTAGAGATGACCACGATTTTAGAGATGACCACGATCTTAGAGATGATCACGGTTTTGTCAGGGGTTGTAGTGGGGCCAGTACTTCAGAAAAGAAAGGACAAGAGAAAGGTAACAAAAAATTAAAAATAAAATAAACAACAGCAAGAAGACAACCTTAAAGAGTATATGAAAAGGACACATTCTTTTGCCGGGATACGAGAAGAACTTCTGCTGGGCTGAATAGTTGCTCCGGTACCTTGCTGGCAAACTCACGAGCGAGCGTATTGAATGTCTCGTCATCATGTTCCTCGTTACATTGATTTTGGTTCGGCAATTACGTGAAGACCGTGTGGAAGAGCTGAGTCGAAATGCTCTGATTGGCGAGTTTGAAGTGAAGAGAGCGGAATAGGGTGCTTTAACTTGAAAAGGGTGTTGGAACAAATAACCGCTAAAAATCTAGAATCAATAAGACACAACTAAACTGAATATAGTATATAAATTATTTGAGCAGCATTGATAAACTTCTAGCACTCTGAACACATCATTCGCGACCTAACTGGTTTCCAACCTCAATACAGATATATCAGGGATAGTGTGGGGGTAGCTTTGCCCATCCATATGGATATACGAATTTTTCAACATGGTTCAGCAGCTTCTCCTCCACTTCCTTCTCAACTTCCTGCCTATCTGACTGTAGAGGTGGATCAAAAGCCAAATGCCATAACTCACCAAACTTTTCCCACTCGATACAGAAAGGGCCCGTCTCTCCTCCAGCGTGCGATTCTTGCAATTCTCTCGATTGCATTCCCCCACTGATGCGATCGAGTTCCTTAATGGCTGCAGACGCTGCCGCAGATCGCTTTCTCTCTTTACTAGATGTCCTTTGGAGCGTCACTTTTGGGTTTTGGACAAATTCTTCGTACAGTATACGTAGATACGGGGTGGCTCTCTCAAAGGATTCATGATGATCCGGCCGCAATCTTTCCCGTGGCAACTTCACAACATGTGCTGTGTCGTTGGATATTGACTTGGGCGAGCTTTCGTGAGGCTTGGAAAGGGCCACAGGGTCACCGAAAGCTGTACCCCCAAATGAAGGCTCGGCAAATGCTGCAGGGGCACCAATAGCTGTACCCCCAAATGAAGGCTCGGCAAATGCTGCAGGGGCACCAATAGCTTTACCCCCAAATGAAGGCATGAAAGAGGTCGTAGGGTCACCGAAAGCTGTACCCCCAAATGAAGGCTTGGTAAATGCTACAGGGGCACCAATAGCTGTACCCCCAAATGAAGGCATGAAAGAGGTCGTAGGGTCACCGAGAGCTGTACCCCCAAATGAAAGCATGGCAAATGCTGCAGGGGCACCAATAGCTTTACCCCCAAATGAAGGCATGGAAGAGGTCGTAGGGTCACCGAGAGCTGTACTCCCAAATGAAGGCTTGGCAAATGCTGTAGGGGCACCAATAGCTTTACCCCCAAATGAAGCCATAGAAGAGGTCGTAGGGTCACCGAGAGCTGGACCCCCAAATAAAGGCTTGGAAAAGGCCGCAGATTCACTGAAAAAACATGGCATGAAACAGTGAGGGCAGGTAAACCCCTGCATAGGCATACCAGAAGATGGAGACCCGTGCATTGATGATAATTTGGTATTGTATGAAAAAAGGAAATCAAGCCTTTCAGAGATTCAGACCGACTTAAATAGTATAGTTGTGATTTAGCTTGACCACGATTTCCAAGTTGACCACGGTTTTCTCGATCAAAGTGACCATTATTCTTCTTCGTTATGTCCACGGTCCGGAAGTGTCGGGGCAATGTTTGGATCGAAAGCATTCGCTGTCATAACTTGTTTTAATTTAATCGCTTCTCGGCATACAGTACAGTAGTTGCGGTTCATATCGATACTTTCTCGAAAACGTAATATTGCACCAAGCTGCTAGCTTTTTCTAAAGAAAAATTTATTCAATCTGAAACAATGGACTTCATCAAGAAATGGCATCTCCAAAACATGTTATGGTCATATAACGACCTTTCATGGATTGAATTGCAAATTTCGTGTAAAAGAAAACAAGAAAACTATCAACATGGCACCATTAGTAAACGATTATCCTCCTTTCTTCAAGTGGTTGGCACAGTCCTTCCAATAAATCTAAGCTTGTCTCTATAATAAGGAGGACTCTAGGTCAAGGCCCATCTGTGCATATGCAAGCTCAGATAAAAATTTGGTCCAGTACCTATTATAGAGAGGGACTACCTTAAGGAGGACCCCCATATATCTGTAAACGCGAAGTGTTATGAGGCGCCGGAATAAGATAGAACCACAGCTTACCATACAAAGGTACCAACGAAGATCTCTCCAAAGTCGGTTTGGAAGATGATATACGCCCATCAAGTATCGCCGACGCATGGGTGATGGTTTATCGCGCATAAGAAGAACCATAAAAATTGTCATGATCTCGTCCAGTTCTCCTAGCACAGATGTCGCCTATTCTTGTGTCCACGGGGGGGGTTTCAACGCCGGCTGTCTGTCCAACAGATAACATCTTCACTCCAAGGCACTCAAACAAGTCACCGGTAGTTTTACCAAACAGCTGTTTCAAGCTCAGGGACGTACGTGGGGTAGATTTAAGTTCCCCAAGTAGTGATCGTTTTGAGAGGCTCTGGCGTGCGGCGTAGAGATTGAACCGAATCTTTGCATAATCGGCGGGGTTCACTTCACCCGACGGTATTGCATTGAAATAAAAATCGAGTAGAGAAGGCGCTTATCTGAAATCCTGCTCACAAGCTTTGAACTAGTCCCAGGACGCAGATCCCGTTGCAAAATAGGAGAGAACATTCCCCACGGCCTCAAGGTCCTTTCGGGCCGAATAGGTTAACAGGTCGGCAGTTTCGAAGCTACCCACTGTTATCTGTGGTGTCTGCCACTATGCTAGTCCAACCATAAAGGATGACGGTGTAAGGTTTCCGTGTGATATGTGACGGGAATGCATCCATTCAAGACGATAAATCATCTGGTATGCAAATTCGATTAAGATATGCATTTCGAATTGTCGGCCACATTGATTGAAGATCATTTCAAGAGATTGCCCAGGCAACTCGGTTACCATAGTCTTTTGCCCGTATACTATCCCAAACCAGTACAGATTCGGGATCCCAACGCCGCCTGAAAGGGCTTGCAGGGCAGCAGCTTCCAAGGCCAGATTATAGCTTGCTATCTCAGTTCTGATAGATACTTTTTCGAGCGTTTCGATATAGTGACCTTCTTCTCCTCAGCATAGGAATTAATGAGGGAAGAGGAATTAGGCCGTTTACCTATGCCTATAGACCCTAGTTCCAGCCATTATTCTACCACGAAAGGGCAGATGGTATCTGCAGGGGTGAACATTCTGATGCAATGGGTTGAGTTCCTAATAAGTGAGAAAGATATTATTTTTGTCTGAAACAGTTTATAAAACACAGGAAGTCCACGGTTTTCCCAAATCGTGGTTTTCATCATAATAGTCGCGCGGCTGGCTCTATCCACTTCTTTGGTTGCTTCGACTGTAATAGACTCATGATCGTTTAGCTGCACCCGAAAATGGATTTTCCAAATCCAACACACGAGGCAATTTAAGATATAAAACGGTTGTATATCTCTTATTCAAAGTTAACATCTTAGTTACCAATCTTTTCAAAATGCCACGGAAGAGCCAAAATGCTACGCCGTGGAGAGAGAAGAGAAGACTTCAAGCCGAAGGCATTACGGATACCAGAAGACTATCGAAGACCAACCGAGAAAGGTTTCGCCGCCAGAAGAAAGCCGCATTCAGAGGAGCCAATCGTTTGTTTGTCGATGGCCTAGATACGAGTCGTAATCGTCGCATCTATATTCTCATTATAGAAAAGATGAAGTCTGGGCCTCGCTATACTACGTATGATTCCCACCCAAAAAGTGAATGGATTCCGGCAGCAGAAGAAGTGGTAAGTCGCGTGAATATGAAAGGAAAAAGGCGAATATCTCAAAGTCTAAATTTCAATACAGGCCAAAAATTGGCCCCGAACCGATACGTGGGATCCCTCCGACTTTGGCGATTCACCGAAAGCAAATGACCATGGCACAAAAGCGAAGACTCCACAAATGATATCTGGCCAAAAGACCTTTCGACGGACGCTCGTAATACCACGGCCGCCTTTACTCCACCTCTGAATCGACGAAATAGAAGTTATGTTGGGACAAAGGATGACTCTAATCAAACATCGCGTAGTGCCGAGGGCGACGAATGAAATATATGAATTCTAGATTGATCCCTGTACAATACTAGTGATTCATCAGTCATAATAGTCAGCATACTCAAAGAGTTTATCTCACCTGGTCAAGTATTTGCTGATCTTGTAATGTAGGCGTGAGTAAATGGTCAATATTGATCCGTGGGGACAAACGGCCGATCCAACGGTCAACGTCAAGTTCAATCAGTTAGTGGGAAGCTTCTCCAAGCGAGTTCTGCTTGCGAATCGCTGAGATTTTATTCCGAACACTTGTCATCGTACGGTCAAAGCCCTTTTCTTTCAAGAGCAAGCTGATTAGGCCATGTGGGATACGTGCTGATGCAAACCAAATAACGAGACACTCTTCTTCATCAGACCACTTAAGGCCAGCCATGTTATGGAGAGCGAATGTTAAAATGTGAACAAAGAGAAGCTCGATTTACTATTTTCACTCCAGGCGATAGACCCAGCTTTATCATCCACTGTAAAGTGCAGGGGTCTGCGCCTGGGGCTGAACACAATCTGGATTTCCCCAATAAGAGCAAATCCATGGTGTTGGTACTTTAGCAGATATATTTCATTTCGTGCGGGAGGGGCCAACATGTTATACAGAGTTTCTCTCTCTCAATACAAGCGTCTGCTTAGTCAAATCTCGGAATCTCACCCCCACCGGCCTGGCGCGCCTATGGTCCACAGCGAACGATTGGCTGTAACGACGCCAGGGAATGAGTTCCGAAGATGTTGTCGCAAAGTAGATCAGCGCAAAGGCAAAGGTTCAAAGCTAGTTCACGTTGCTGTGCATCGGCCAGCCCGGGTCATTGAAGGCTGTTCGGGATTCCTTAATAGTCTAATCTAAGACTGAGTTCCTTGGCAAGCGATCCGGCCCACGAGCTAAATAGACCGGGGTTCATGAAGCACAGGTGTGCAGGTTTTGAGTTCTGATATGCGAAGGAGGTCGCCTTTTTAGAGCGACCTGCATGTGAGCACTCCTGCGCAATCGGGCTAAGTGAATCCAGAGCCTCTAATGTGACGTCATCACGTAGCAATGACTCGCGTCGACCCTCCGGGCGTCACATTCTCGTGAGCGTCCTCTCCTGTTCGATCAAAAAAAAAAAAAAAAATCGGGCTCAAACCGTCGCGTTATTATCGCGCGAGCACAGCGAATATGCGTCCTTGTTTTTGTGTGTCATACGCCCGGGTGCGGCATTTGAATGGGAGACAAATTCAAACCCCTGTAGATCATTCCTATTCACGCAGCCCTGGTGAGACGCTAGAGCGCCAGAACAGACTTCCGGGCGCCTATTAGCAAAATTTGAGTTTGAGGCTCTTAGGCCTATCTAAGAAGGGTCAAGATCAAGAATCAACAGGTCGCGACTTTTTGCCGCACAGCAGACTTTTCTCAGCGGTCGCAAAGCTGCGCCTTACAAACATGACAAAAGCCAGTCGTGTTCGTGCCGGCGGCCTGTTACGTTAGAAATCTCAACTTACTTGCTCGAATAATCGTGTGGCCTGATTTTTTTGCTCTGTGAAAATTTGAAACAAAAGGTTCGGGGCAGCGACGTGGTGGGGAAAATTCCAAATTCATCGCCCACATGACCGTTTTCATATGTACGCACCCGTGTCCTGGCTGATCCGAAATATGGAAAGGAAAACCGACGGTATTGCCGCACTCCTGTTCCGGAAAACGCAGAATATTTAAATCCCTTCCATTGGCTGGATCAAGTGTTGGAGGTTGTGATACCACTTGCATATGCTTGATGAGCGCTCCCTTCCAACGCCACAGTCGTTGATCATATAGCGAAACGATTGGTCAACAGTTCAGGTACAGCAGACTACTGAATTCTAATCCCTAATCCGACGGGCCGCGGCGAACGATTCGGCCTTTAAAATCCCAGCCTCCTGCTCTGACTCACATCCCCCCCGGTTATCGCTTCCCTCTGCGGGGCAGACCCTATGGCTATTCATGTTTTTCTCTTAAAATGGGGATTCCCGGCGAAAAAAAAGTGTCGTTGCCCAAAGAGCACTTGGATTTCTGCATTGTACTGAGAAAATACGGCGCAAATAATAAATCAAATGGGTTCTCCTCGCTGGTCTCCCGATGAGAAAAATTTTCTAGCCTCGCTGCGTGAGCTGTACCCAGGCTATAGCTGGGAAGAATTCACCTCCCTATATAATTCAGTCACCCCTTATCAGCATAGATCAGTGGATGCGATTAAAAAGAAATTAAACGAACTAGTAAGTTGTGCATGAATCTTCATTGCTTGCCGTTGCAGTTGTTGACTTATTAAAACCCCTCGAGCATTAGAAATGAAGAGGCTTTACAGTGATTGGTTTCTTTTAAAACTTCCCAGCCGTGATCTGCTTCAGTCTGCTGTTCAATCATTTCACTGCGAATTAAAGACTCGCACTTCTTGAATTAATCACCGATTCGGGTTATGTATCTCACATCAAATGGCAGATATGTGTTCAGGGCCAGAAAGAAATTAACCTAAAATTCTTTTAATTATTTTTTCATACGTTTGAATAGAAGCAGCTAATCTCGTTACATTATCAACAACAGTTATGTTCATCTTAATAGTCCTTAGCAATCGCCCCCATAGAAGTATCATCAACCCTATGGTGAACAGAATCCTTCGAGCAAGGTCTAGATGCGCCAATATAGGCTCCGAGACGACTGACTGGGTAGCTGGCATTTCTAAGGCTCCCCCGACTTTACAGTGACCACGAATTTGCGGTGACCACGAATTTGCGGTGATTACGATTTTGCGGTGATTACGATTTTGCAGTGACCACGATTTTGCAGTGACCACGGTTTTGCGGTAACCACGGTTTTGCGGTGACCACGGTTTCGGAGATAGACATAATGCTATTAGCAATGTCCGTGGTATAAAAGTAAGTAACAAGGCCCCTTTCCAAACTCACCATTTCGTCCGCTCTTGTCTAACGAAAATGGCAAAGTGTGAACACTCCGCCTGGCTCGAGATTTGGAAAGGCGACGCAGGGCCTTTATTGAGTCATGGCTGGCGTCTGCCTCGAATAATCGAGGATTTCCCAAATCCATCAAAACAATATCCACAAATATCCCTTTTCTTAGGCCGACGACTGAAGGACAAGGCTCTTCGTGCCCTCTGTGATAGTAACTTCAAACGAAACTGTCATAAAAGTGCAATCAATATTCGGACTGATAATCGTTCATTACACGCACTGTACCCCAGATTCTTCGCTGACTGTGACCCGACATCAGAGACTCTACATGAAGCTTGCATAGGCCCTCGAGCTTGTCATCATAATCAAGTGCTGTCATTTCGTTCCGTTCCTTTCCCCCATAGTCTGCATGACCTGATTCTCAGTCGCCTACTGTTTACGTTTGTGGATGTGATCTGTATATTCGAAGATAACTTGGGAGGCTTAAGTACTATGCAAGACATGATTCTCACTTAGGCATATATTGGATCCGGATCCTCTTTGCCTTATGTCGTACGCCCAAGAATTATTGTGGTACTTAGCCAGCAATCGCAGAGCGTAACCCAGGATCAGCTTGACGAGAATGATTTCTTTTTCGATCTCTGTGCAAAGGAACCTTCCATTCATCATACTTTCGCGGACATACGATTCTGTCGCCTACCTTCAGAGGGACTATCACCTAGTGCTCGATTTCTATACCTAGGCGCAGACATATCGCGACAGCTTCACGACGCACGCTTCGTACGCTTGCAAAATCAATCTTTATTTTCGGCGACCCATCTAGATGAATTATTCAGACTGGCGGCGGAGAACCTATGCGTGTCTCCATTGGCTACATTTGATTTCATTTCAGCTACCAGACAACATAATCTGCTTGATAGGTCGTTCGGCTCGCACCTCATGGAATTTCTTCTACTAGCGGGAAAGAGCAGGATTCCATATGAGGGTGTCTCTTCTCACATTGTATCAGCTATCCTAATGGATGCGTTTCCGCCTGGAATGCATTGTAAGTACTTCTTTCCGTGATGAAGATGCCATCCTAATAGCGACAACACTAGTATTCTGCCCTCGCAAGGTTTTCCGAAGCCTTTATTACGACACCTACTATAAAGTCTATCGAAATGTATACAGCACAGATAAGCTTACTTAAGTTCAGTGTGATCGGATTGAGAGCCGCATTACTGCTTTGTTCGATAATATAACACTAAATTCACGCCCTTCGGCTCACGTTCATCTGGAAAATTTACTGAGTCAAAATAATTATTGGGGGTGGCTTAGATCAAACCGAACGTGCCTGATTTGTATTAGGCGTTATCCGGAGCACAGCTTGCCTTGTGGTCACTCACTTTGTGATATATATATTCAGATCTTTGGAACTCTTTCATTGCACAGGGAGGAAGAGTATCATGTTACTTTATGTCCTCTCTGTGGGAGTCGAAAAGCCTTGACGGTTCGACTGAAGCCATCCACATCTGCTTCTCGTATTCTCAGTATTGATAGTGGTGGATTACGTAGAATTATCCCGCTTGAAAACCTCAATATCCTGCAGAATATTCTTGGACCCGAGCTTCTACTTACGGATATAATCGATTTGACTGTTGGGTGCAGCTCTGGTAGACTGATTGCCCTATCAAAGTTTATGCTTCGAATGGATATCAACTCCTGCAAGTCACTTTTCCGGGAACTGGCAAGTAAGGTCCTGACACGGAAGAAACGTTTCATCCGTTCTTGGCTATCAGACGGCCTATATAATGTAACAACCCTTGAGAGTGCCCTCAAAGATCATTATACGCCAATAAGAAAAATGTTTGATACACCACAAGCCTGTGTCTCATCAAATAAAGTAGCGGTCATTGCAAGCGAGATAAAAGATGGGGCGCCGTTTATATTCACCAACTATAATGGGTCAGCGCCGCATAGAGCAGAGCCTGGTTAGTCATTTGAGGTGCACATATTGATAAACAGGCTAACAAATTCAAAGCATATGGAAGACTGCGGCCCGATAGCGAGACTGAACCGAAGGTCTGGCAAGTGTGAGTTACCTATACTCCAGCCTGCTGACACCGCTGTCTAACAAATTCCAGAGCTCGTGCCACATCAGCAGCTCTATCGTAGGTAAAATGCTCATTTCTTAAATTGCAATAAGCTAACCACTGAAAGCCTCTTTCCCACAATTGAAATCGATAGACTTGGCACATTCCAAGATAGCGGAGTAAGAAGACATAATAACCCCATCAACCTGGCTCTCTCGGAGGCGAAACACCTATGGCCAAACTCTCCGAACCCCGATGTTTTCATCTCACTCGGCACTGGATCAGTCCCATCAGACCCAAAAACAGTTTCCCGGTTCCGCAATATATTGGTCGATGGATGGGTACCACGAGTTTATCGTGCGTTTTCGTCGTCATTTGAAGGTCAGTCCGGCTAGAGGGAGGTCCTTGGATTATTGGATGATAGATCTCGAGATCATTACTTCAGATTCGACTTGTCAGTTCCTAGAGGCCTTCCTGGAATGGACAATACGGAGTGCATGGATGGGCTATCGAAGTTGGTGCACTCAAGCCCGTCTAGGCAGCAGAAACATCTGGAAGCAATCGCATCATTACTTGCCACATCATTTTTTTTCCAGTTGGATGCCACGCCTATATATTATTCTAGGCTTCTGCAATGTGTCGGCTCGATACGCTGTCGAGCTCCTGCACAATATGCCATCAACTGGATTAACGGCTTTGACTCCTCGCGCAAGGATTTCTTCAAGGACAAAATAAATTTAGGACTCCACCTAACTTCAGATAACATATGTTATCATTGCAATCGATACTGCAGACCAGTGCGATTTACAGTCCGGGATTTAAGTGAAATTATTGGGTTATCTATTCAATTTGGTGGCAAAGCACGCTGTTTAAGTGCATTTCCAAACAACATACAGTGGTTCATTGAACAACAAGGGCTCGGCGCAAAGTTTGGGTCTCAAAACCATCAAGTACATCCGAAAACAGGGTGTCCTGTCTGTGAAAGCCAAGAAGCAGGGAGACCTAAGAAAAGGAAGTATACTGATATATAAATTGACTTTGTTGTCCGCTTGAAGACTTGGATAGTCGCAAGAGATTTCCATGGAAGTTTGTCAAGCACTATTTTCTTTATCAATCATATATCATCGTCTTGCCGGCGAAGCCGTATAATTCCCGTAATTTTCTATTTGGGGATCTTTGCCTTAAAAGTCTAGTCGGAGAGGGTGGCTTGTACTGTAGTCAATAAACAGCCCCATTCCAAACAGAGAACATAACGAGGTTACTGCACAAATGGACTCAAAATAGCTACGTGATCGACTCATGTTACTATAATATGTGATCGACTCATGTTAATGTGTGATTGACTCATGTTAGTGTGTGATCGACTCATATTAATGTGTGATCGACTCATGGTCGGTTCGGCGAGAGTCAAAACATTCCGTAACGGGCCACGATTTCCCCTCTGGGCCACGATTTCCCCTCTGGGCCACGATTTCCCCTCTGGGCCACGATTTTCCCTGCTAGACCACGATTACCTCGCACGGACAACGGATTTGCCAACTGAAATATCCTTAGGTTTAAAAGCGGAGATGATACGCTTATAATTTTCTTTTATTTATACCCATTCATCTCCAGTCCTTTTGCATCAAGAGGTCTTTTTCTCTTTTCTATTTGTGCAATGAACGCGCTCACTGACGAACAGTTCCAGCGTCTTCTTGACGGTATAGACCAAAGTTCTGGTCCTGGGCCGTTTGACTCTCTCTTTGATCCTACACTTCTCCCTTTGGGAGCCTGTGACGATGGAATTTTCAGTTGCTTTCCCCCACTGCCACCCATAGAAGAAGAGGTGCCATCACTATCAGACATTCCAGCTCTGGAGGATGATAAAACTGTCTCGTCGATCGCGACCTCAGTACCGGAGGACAATAGAGCTTTATCAATAATGCCTTCGGTCCAGCACCTCCTTGACCAGCAGGAAGATCAACTTAAAAAGCTGAGGCTTGAGTAAGCCACCCATTGTTATTCAAATTTTACAAGTACTAACAATCCTCAGGGTGGAGGCATTGAGAACGTGAGAGCTACCCTGTTATAAAATGGCATAGCATAACTAACAGTGTCACAGAACTCTTGAAACGATCAGAAAATATCATCTCGAGTCTCTCAACCCATGGATTGACCAAGTCACTGAGACGTTGAAGAAGTTGGGTGGTATGCTGGATGAAACTCCGGCTTCTGCTACAGACGGCGAATTCGATATCAACATTTAAGACCAATGCTCATTCTGGACTGACTATCTAAGGGAGGAGCATGCTGAGGCGGGTTGTGTGAAGATACAAGATGTCGGCCGTTCATTGACTTGGGGACTTGGACTATATATATGCTGCTTCTAGATAAGGGACACGTTGGGGTTTTCTTTATCAATTCTCGCAAGCTTCAAGGTTCCTTCTGCCCGAAAATTCTTTTATCTTATGCAATGGTCAGTCCTGCTGTAGTTTGTATAAATGTCAATGTAAGTTTCCAGGACGAGCAGACAGTAGTGTGACAAGATTTTGGCAATGGGTCCATCACAAGTGGGGCTATAGTGTGCGGCTCGCTGATCAAGCAGGTTATGCAATACCACAAAAGGGAAAAGAAGAAATGAAATCACAGTCAGTTTAATTGGTATCTACTTCTGAGGGCCGAAGTGTTATTCTGTCGTTACACTCTATTTCCAATCACTGCCTTTCATCTCCATCCATCAGTCAACTATTGTTTGCAGAGCCCAAATCAAGTAGCTTTGAATCAGTACCCAATTATTGAATCGTATTTGCTACACTATCTGGTCTACGGGAGATGGTATAAGAACATGGTTGCAAGGCATAAAGGAATCAAGCATACCATCAGACACCTCGAACTTCTATAACCTCCACTTCCTTCGCCGCCACCTCTCGACCAAAGCGAATATATGGTTTAAGGCAGGATGGCCCAGGAGACAATTGAAGAAAGTCGTGCTAGATGAAAATGAGACCCAGGAATTTCATGGAATTTAGAGACCATACCTTCATTAGCTTCTTTGCCGAGTCCAACTTTGTTGACTCGACGAAATTCGAAACATGAGATTGCCAATCTTTCAACAACGATTTACCCTCTTTTAAAAAAGTACTCGGTTCGAGGCATTCCAGGATAATCTGACCGAGGGCCTGGACGTCTTCTTGCGAATCTCTTGTATCCCTATTTTCAAGCATCGAGGTCCCTATATTGGCTGCTAGCAATAAGCTTCCATTATTACTATTCCTAAGGAAGGCCCATACCTATTTTGATGGCGCCAGTCACTGATAGGAGAATGTTGTTCGATGTCAAATCACCATGGGTGATTCTCAGAGAATCATGGATGTGTTGAACCCCTGCGAGTATTTCTTTTGAAAAGGCTGCCACCTCAAACAGTTGAAGCCGTCCAAGCGGGGAACTGAAGATCTGAGCCAACGAGATATCCATTACCTCGTATACGAAAAAGATATGACCGTCGTGATATAACGCCTCGTGCAGGTGGACCAAGTTTCGGTGGGGGCTGTTTATGATCTTAGAGAGCTCCCCCTTTGATGTCTTCACCGCTTTGAGGACTCCCTCCCGAAATGTCTCGTCGTTGGTATGAATAATGAAGCCAGACCCGGCCTGATTGATCTTAAAACTTTTCTGGTATCGCTCCTAAGGATTGGCGGCTGCTTTTGAGAGCTGGGGTAAAAGCGCTTGTCTTTTCTGAAGTCTCTGTGCACTTTCTTTCGTTCCTTGAACTGCTGCTTCAAGATCCGCCAAAGGTCTCTTAACACCTGCCTCGCCAGGCTTGGTCCCAGGGAACCTAGATATGCGATTGTCTTTATTAGGTTGGAGATCAGTCGGCATTTTCAACGGATAAGATTGCAAGATTTGTGGCTCTAACGAAGCTATGTTTTTAAGTTCGGCTTTGACCACGAAAATCCCGGAAGGAAAACCGTGGCCCATCCTCTTCATCAAAATTGTACTTCTATGAAGCGTAGACGTGATTTTCCTTTTTTTCCAACTCATATTCTTCCCAGCATTTACTGAAAAAATGCATTCACCGTTGAATGTCTTTGTTCTTTATCTTTATATCGTGGCTGCTTTGACCACTTTGCTCATCATTAAGAGCTGGCTGGTAGCAGCTTTGAAGTTCCTTCTGCATCCATCTGGACCAGTCGTTGACTTTGTCTCAAGGCACATCTTGTTGCCGCACCTCTTTCGAAGACGAACTCTTTGGGGACCAATGACCCGAATCCGAGCTATTCTACACGCCGCGCATTTTGCCGCAACCTTTACATGCAATATCATAGGTGTGCAAGACATAAGTTCAGCCAGATCCCGAGCAGGATCACTTGCTACACTGCACATAGCTTCCTTGGCAGTATTTTCTCAGTTGACCTTTGGTGCCGCTCTTTTAAACTTATCTCTCCCTACCCAACAGCATCTACACGCCAGTGTGGGTGTCATGGGAGTATTCCAGAGCCTGCTTCATGTCATCTTTGCCCTTCAAGCCATTTCTTTCGATTTAAGAGTAACTATTCAGCGGTTCGGATTTGCTGTAAGTTTCTCGAAATGTTTTACAATCTTGATTTTGTGCTGATTATTAGGCAATTATCTCTGTCGGGGTGTTGTCCTTTTTAGCGCTGCCATGGATTCGTCGGCGGGCATATGAGCTTTCCACCAACATGCATATCTGTCTAGGTCTTTCTACAATTGTGGTTCTTTGGCTCCATTTGAGGAATCGATTCCACCTCGACGGATATCTCCTCATTGGAAGCATCGGGCTCTTCTTTACAACCACGCTTATACGGATTGCATATCAAATTTATCGTAATTGGCGGGGCTTGGCCATCGCGGAAAAGACCAAGAAGTTGGAAGGGGCAGTGATGCTATCTTTCAGTCCCACTCGTCCTTGGAAAATCCGGGCAGGTCAATACCTTTATCTAAGAATCCCTGCTGTCCGCCCTTTTTCTTTCGCGGAGTCGCATCCCATGAATATTCTTTGGTGGGAGGAAAGCAACACAGACAGAAAAACAAATCATATAACAGTGCTTGCTAAAGTAGAGACCGGATTTACCAGATGGCTGGATTCTTGTCAATACAACTCCTTGCGAATTATTCTCGATGGTCCATACGGCAAACCTAAAGATACAGACCACTATGACAGCTTTGTCTTCATTGCTACTGGGATTGGTATCTCAGCACAGCTTGCTTACCTAAAAGAGCTAATCATGGGAAGAGATCGGGGCCAGCGTTTGAGAAGAGTCTGTCTGATATGGCAAGTTGACGAGGAGGGTATGTTTCAACAAGATACCCCTCAAGAGAATTGCAATTTAACTTCCAATTAGCCCACGATCAATGGATTTGTGATTATATGAATGAGTTGCTTGATTTCGATAGACCAGATTTGGTGAGTCACCTCTTCTTTGATTTGAGAATTGACGTTGATTTAGAAAGGTACTCCGTTGGGCTTTGTATATCGATGCAAATCCCCCAAAAAAAGAGGAGGGTCGAAAAGGAAGACGAGGTCTTCAACACTATGGAAAACCAGACCTGAAAGGTATTGTGAAAGATGAAGTGAGGTTCTGCCCAACTAAACTTCTTCTTATGGGTAAGTCTTCATGCTCTACCGGACGCATCATTTGTGGATCTAATCCAGTACAGTTTCCGCCAACCCACAAACACGAGACAAATGTCGATATCTTGCTCTGGCACATAAAGAGAAGATTGACTTTTTTGAGACAGAATTCCAGCCAGCCCCGACAAAAGGGACTTTCTGGGCTCCAAAGGAGGGACCAGTAAAGTCTCATGCTGTCTGACCGTTTATTCTAGTTCTCTCAAACTTCGAGCTATGAATGGAGGTTTTTTTTCAATATGTATCTACAATTTTTATTCCAATAAATGGGTAACAATATGCTACAGCATTGTTTCTTTCAAATAGTAAATATGATTAATGGCGTTGAGGATTAGTTCCATGCTCGAGGAGCAATGTCACAGAGCTTCACCATGGCGGCGTAGGTGAAATCAAGCGCATATTCAAGATCGCGAAACAAGTCGATGTGGATGCTACTTTTGGATGAAGTGCATGCATTCATGGAGCGTCCGATTGCCTCCCATGGAGGTCACATCCACCTTGTAAATGCCTTTATTGCGAAACCTTGAATATTATGAAGGTATCCCATCCTATTCTTGCCTGCCAGTCTGCAGCCCGAATTAGTTTGATATCCAATATTACCAGACGCCGACACAGCGTTGATGTCATCTGAAGAAGGGCTAATTGTAGGAACGCATAATACTCATGCATTATGCGATAACTAAGCCAATAATGTAAACATGATTCCTCCCGTCCCGTGATCTGACGGCACGGACGTCAACCGAGTCGACTAACGCTGTGGTCTGTGAAGCAAATCTGCTCAGGTCAGCCTGGTGAGAGGGAAAGTCGTGGACCTACGTGGGAAGCGAGTCTGCTCAGGTCGGCCTGGTGAGGGGGAAAATCGTGGACCTTCCTGAGAAGTCCGGCGTCAAGTGAAGCAAGTCTGCTCAGGTCGGCCTGGTGAGAGGGAAAATCGTGGACCTTCGTGGGAAGTCCGGCGTCAAGTGAAGCAAGTCTGCTCAGGTCGGCCTGGTGAGAGGGAAAATCGTGGACCTTCGTGGGAAGTCCGGCGTCAAGTGAAGCAAGTCTGCTCAGGTCAGCCTGGTGAGAGGGAAAATCGTGGACCTACGTGGGAAGCAAGTCTGCTCAGGTCAGCCTGGTGAGAGGAAAATCGTGGACCTACGTGGGAAGCGAGCCTGCTCAGGTCAGCCTGGTACATCATGCGTGGGTCCTTGATTGTGACGAAAAATGCGTCTAGAGGCGTAACCAACGTGAGTCCTTGAAAGACTCGCGAATCATTGTCTTTTCCGAACGAGGCTCCTGAGCCCTTTCGAATTTGAGTTCTGAGAACGAAAAACCGTGGCTCGCGGTGTTTATAACAGATCGCATATGTCAAGTCAAATTTGTTCTCTTCACCATCTGCAGACATGGAAGACATCGGGCCATTTCGGATACGCGAATGGATTCAGCCAAATGCAGTAGGACTTGGTATGTTTTTGATGCCTCAAGGACTTGCAACGGTCAATTGACAACTGGCACAGGTCATCACATAGAAACATCGGAGGAAATAGTGATTAAGACCGAAATTGCGAGCGCAAAGCTTGACCAAGAAGCAACGGTTTTACAGACCCTCGCTGGCGGCATTGGATTTCCGACAAGAGTGCTATTGGTTCGGAAACTCCTCTAACCGAAAGACTATGATTACCAATGCACTTGGACCCTCTCTGGAAGACATCTTTGACAAATGCGATCGACTCTTTGACATGCAGTTAGTCCTCGAGTTTGCAAGCCAATTCATATTCCGCCTAGAATGGATGCACTCGCACAATATCTCGCACGGCAACTTGACCCATGCTTCGTTCACAATGGGGTATTCCCCATGGCAGGCACCACAGGTCATTCTTGCCGATTTTGGAAGCATTGACATGGATGAGAACTTGGCAAGGAAAGACATGGAAGCAGTGGCAGATATCCTTGTTTATCTTTCAACCGGCTCCCCATCGTGGGAACACTTCCAGGCACATAAGCCAAAATTTCCGATATTCCATCTCCCCTCAAAGGATTCCTTCTGATAATCTCCGGGAGAGAGATCAATCCTGCCGATTATATCATACCTCGGACATACTTCCACACGGCACGCCAAAGTCTACCCGGAAGAAAAAAATTTTGGGTGGGCTAGGTGGTGCTCTAATGAAAAAGGATCTCAGCCTAAAGAGTCTCGCTGTTAAGAGCACCGGTGACTTGTTTGAAGCTCTTGGATCGAAGATAGCGGCTGTCGGAAGCACTGTTAGCGATATAGCATGGGGACAAGACCAGGCTGAATTCCTACTGGGATCAATGAACGAGATTATGGGGACTTACTTCGTGCTTTTGATGCGAGATAAGCCAACTCAAAAGAGAAGGCGCTACCTGATGGGTGCATTCCATCTTCCTAATAGACTATGGAGGGACCTTCGCTGGTTCCTGTGCATGGCAAAACGCGGATCTCTCCCGTTGCAGAAGCTGATATGTATCACCATCTACAAGTACATAAGGGTTTTGCTTGAAGTTATTCCTGCCTATAACAAGCATTGGACAAAGATGCTGTCGGATACAGCTTATTCTCAAATGGACCTCGATGAAGAGTGTCGTCAAATGTGGAGAGATGCGTGGATTTACTGGAAACACTGTGCTCACTTTTTAAATAAATGACGAGTGGTAGAATATCGTCCTGTGTTGGTAGATATCTTGGACTTGATTCCGGAAAAATAAACCACATTGTTTAGGTCATCGCTTGAATAATATCCGGTAACCGCTATGTCACATCTCGAAGCGTATTGTAAAATAAGTTTGATGATACATCGAATCCCTGAAATTGCTCGGTAGATCTAGCAGATCTGGCAAGATCAACTTCCCGCGACTTGCCTTCTAACCGGTCCAAGACAACTAACCCCCAAGAAGCATAAAAAAACTCTTCGCAATTTATAAGTCACAGATATGTACCCACCTACAATGGAAAGCTTTCAGTTGTTTCTCTCCGTCGAAGCTCTACCTGTGCAGCGGGGTCAACACTTGCGTAAACCCCGACATTTAGGGGCGTGGAAAAATAACCCTCCTTCAATCTGACGTCGTACTTGAACAGAATGTGGGCTAAACATATCTTCAACTCAGTACTCGCGAAGAACCGGCCAGGGCAAATATGTCTACCGCCGCCAAAGCTATTCTGCTCTCGACTCGACTGCACAAATTGGCTTGCTTTATCTCCCGCATGACGCCGCTTCACGAAACGATACCCGTCGTACATGTGAGGGTTATTGTGAACTTCTGGGCTCCACATATCACTTGAGTCGACCATTATATGAGAACCTCTCGGTATTGTCGTCCCATCCGGGAGCATGGTATCACGTATCACTTTACGTTCCAACCCCACTAAATCTATTAGTGAGACTCAAAATATCAGCTTCAGACCCTCGAACTTACCTGAAATAGGAATCTGTCTTTGAGACTCCTTCATCACACTGTCCAGTAATTCCATCTTTTGCAGCGCAGCCTGACAAAATCCATGATCAGATATTGATTGCTTGATCTCCTGCCTCAGTGGTGCGGTAAGCTCAGGATGTTTGGCAATGTCGATAAGAATCTGCCTGAGGACTTCGCTAGTTGTGAAAAGTGCTGCCATGGCCAGAGCGAGTTGAATGTCGCCAGCTGGTAGCTTGTTGCTTGATATATCCAAGGTCCAGGAAAGAACATCGTTGTACCGTGGTGCATTTCGTCCTTGCCGTTGTGCCACTTCCGTTTCTTCGGCTCTTCTGTTGACCACATCACGTATTATTACGCGAGCTCTCCGGACAAGAACACGGCATGCCGAGGTGTGCGGCAAAAACCATTGTACGATCGGCCGGAAAGGCGCTCGCCACGTATGAAGCTCATCCACCGCAGCGAAAAATTCTCGTACATATGTCTGGACAAGAGCCTGCCATTCAGGGTCGCTGGCCTTCTCGGGTCCCACAAATACTGAGGCCGCTGCCAGTGAAATGATCCCTGTAGTGTCTTTATCCCAGTCAATTGTATGCCAGGAATCGCTTTCCCCCAGTGATGCTGCAAAGCCGCCGCAACATGCTGATTAATTGTTGGTAAAATTTCCTCGTTCTGGGACAATTTAGTTCGCAGCAAGTCAATCAACATCCTGTCGGGGCTATGAGCTGCATATTGAGCTTCGAATCCTGGAAAGTGTGCAAAATATTCCTCCCTGACCAGCTCTTGATGATCAAGGTCTCTGTTTGTCTTAACCCAATCACTGAGAACCGAAGGCAAGACGATTTTCATCCCATTAGGCACAAGTAGAGTGATTGGCCCATTGTACTTGGCGAAACCCTCGGCAATTAATTGTTTAGCATTTTTGCAGTACTCCTGATACGCCTTTCGGCGAAAGATATCGCCGGGATAGTCGTTGACGACTGGGAATATTGGTCGCTGCTTTGGGATCAGACAATAGAACCCGACAACGATCGCAATGAAGGTCCATCCGAAAGCGCAAGAGAAAAATTCAAGAATCATGGTCGCGGCTCAACTGGAGGAATGTGAGCTACAGGAGAATTCAAATTTTATGAGAAGCATCTGGGATCTGTTCCGAACTATAAACCGTTCAAAATTCTGCGCCCGCCTGACGCACAATGAGTCTTGATGAATCATGCCCTAGCGCGCCCCGCAGTCTCCACATTCACCAGACTTATCCAATGATGTCACGCCTAATGACAAAACTTAACGATTCTTATTCCATAATACTGCTACGTAGTGTGTTTCCAAATAGTGTAAGTCTAAGAGTGTAGAGGGGAATCTGATTTCGAATATTACTGTACTATATCGATCCACAGCCACTGCCCCCGTGGCGTCTCGATCCCTTTGTGGAGATCGAAGTCGGCTCAGACCGAGAGACAGCGATAGAACAGGCCGAGGCCATCCGCTCAACATCAGACATCATCGTCTATTCGGACGCTTCAGGACGCGACGGTCAATTAGGAGCCGCGGTGGTAGCATTCAACGACAACATGGAGATAATTGAATCCCAACAGATCCAGGTTGGGCCGATGGACCGCTGGTCAGTCCACGTAGCGGAGGTGATAGGCATCTTCCACGCGGTCGGCACCGTCTTCAAGATGGCCCACCAGAGGGTAAGACCAAAAGGAGGGCAAGTGACAGCAACAATCCTATGCGACAGCAGTTCGGCCTTGCAAGCAATCAAGAACATGAGAAACAAGTCAGGGCAACGGATCGTTCACGCCATCCACCAAGCCGCCACCGAGATCCAAAACGCAGAGATCGCACTGCGCCTTCAGTGGGTGCCGGGACATTGTGGCAATCCCGGTAACGACGCTGCGGACCGAATGGCAAAGCACGCCGCTAGCCCAGGCAAATCTCACCCCTTCCGCCTGCTACTCACAAGGGAAAGGGCGTTCATCCGTAGAAACATCGCCGCTCAGTGGGAGCAGGAATGGAGAACATCCAGTAAAGGTGGTCATCTGCGGAAGATTGATGATGCTCTACCGGCGACGCATACTAGGAAGCTATACGGAAGTCTGCCAAGGGGCCGGGCGTACCTGCTGACGCAGCTACGCACGAGCCACAACTGGCTGTCCACCTACCGCAAGAAGATTGGCTATGGCGATGACGACCGTTGCGATTGTGGCGCGCAAGAGACAGTCATCCACGTGCTTGTGGACTGTCCAATGTTGGTGGAGTTACGGAGGAAGCTAAGGAGAGAAGTGGGAGACGCGTTCAATAGCGTGTCGAGTCTGCTAGGAGGCTCAAAACAAGGTGAAAAAGGTAAACCAGACACCGTCTCGCGAGCCAAAACGGTCCAGGCCGTGCTGGACTTTGCTGAGGCGTCACAACGGTTTCGCAGTCGCGCGCCACGAGGGCAGCCTAACAACGGGAACGGCAACTAGGCCACGAGAGGCCATGACGAGGCTCTAAATTCGTTTTTAGGAAGTGGATCACTCTACATGTACGTAAAGGGATAAATATAGTTGAGGTAGCCTGCATATCGTTTTTCATTGCGAGGGGTCAGGGTAAATGAAACACACACACACACACACACACACATACTGTACTATATATGCTCGATCTTTGACACCTTTCTGAGTTCCTGGAAAGACACAAAATTATTCCTAGCCCTGGTTGCTCCTAGTATCTAGATTTGTATTCCTATGTTTTCAATACCCCACCTCTAGGAGCGATGATTGTACATCTATATTGTATATTGTACTTTCTTCCGGTTTGTTAGGCCATAAATAGTACGGTCACGATAAATCTAGGATGGAAGCTAATTCTAACAAGGCCTAATTAGCGGTTAATACTTCAAAAGCTTTGCATTATAAGTATAATCAATCCATCCTATATAAATGATAACCAAACAGGGATAGCAAGCAGCTGCCTGTGGGAAATTGTGGCTTGTCATCAAAATCATGGTTCGACATCAAAATCGTGGTTCGACATCAAAATCGTGGTTCGACATGAAAAGGAGGCTTGAAAATCGGATCTCATGCTCAGAACCGTGGTTTGATCTTGCCTTCGACTGAGTATTTAACCACACCCTTTTCAAGGTCAAATTCAAAAATTCACAACAGGAACATGACTGAACAACGTGATACCCGGCAAGTCACCCTTGGACCATATGAAGGCATACTCCCTACTCCCCAGGAGCCGAATTCCGAAGGGGAGTTCCACCCAGGAGCGGGCGGAGACGAAGAGGAAGAGGAAGCTACTGGCGCAAATGAACTCACGCTTCCACAACGTAAAGCGATAGTGAAAGCAATTATAGACGCCCCGAATGAGCCCTCTGCTATTAGACGCGCATGGGAGACAAGCCTTCCGCAAAGCTTGGAGATCAACTACAAACAACTGAAATTTATTCTTCATCCTGACAAGTTTCAAGAAACCCTGGATAAGAATCAGGCACAAGCAGCATTTCAAAGTTAATATCCAAGGAATCAGATTTTGAGAACAGGCTGATCGAGTATTAGGAGTTCAATGGGCCGAGGGCCAGGTTTCGCGACGCTTTCCAGGCGAGGTTGACAGAAGTCAAAACTTCTTCCAGGGAGGCCCATCGGCGACAGAGCATGTGGAAGACGCCCTTTCCGATTATCATAAAAACTCCCACCAGGAAGCAACAAACTTGCTGAAAGATCTCTATATTGGAATTCAAAATTATCCGAATTCCAACACTGCTGCACAAGACACCTATGCTGCAACAGGCTGTCCGGGCGATGTCAAATTACCCGCCATAGCTCTTGATGAAATTAACGAGTGGATTAAAAAAGAAAATGTCAGCAGAAACAAAGACCCGGAACTTGGAATTATCCGCTACCAACAGATGCTTGGATTATGGAGGGCATCAATTGCACAGCCGGCAATAAAGCATTTGCAGACAGAAGCACTTATTTCCTTTTGTCAACAGTTTGGTTATCCAGAGGGATGGGCCAAAATTGGAATGGCTTCAAGGCCCGCACAAGCACAAGCGCAGCCTACCCAAGCGGAGTCCACTCAAGCGCAGTCCGCCCAAGCGCAGTCCACCCAAATATTAAGTCAAGGACAGCCAACTAGTGTAATTGGTTCTCAATATGCTGGGGGTCGAGCCCTAGGCGATGCAAACCTCGCACAAACGTCCAGCCAAGGACAAGGAATGGGTATGGTTGGTCCTCAGCTGAATCATAGATATGCTGGGGGTCGCGTACGAACAATTGCATTGATACCTCGACAGATCACACGTTCAATCAATCCAGGTTATACATCAACAGGAGAGAGGATTCTAATGATTCAGCTCCTCGGGCCAATGTCCGGTGCAAGATTTGTGGTTGAGGATGCCAGCGGAAAGGTACGTCTGGTATCAAGTGCATCTGCTGGTGGAAAGCTGGTCCTTGAAGGCGCTACGGCAACCGGAGTTCCTTATACCACTAGTAAAGAGCAGGATATACTCAATATACGGGAAGCAATGAGGGCTCAATTTGGAATAACATACGGGCTAAAATGGGTAGCTGTTGGAGAGGTGGATGTCAACCGCAGAAGGTCCCCATATGTCATCGTCGGCTTTTATTTCGGGCGTCTCGATGAAACTTCACCCCAACAAGAGTTTGGCGTCTCACGTTCAGCCCTTAAGAGAATTCTTACCCCAACGGAAGCGGACAGATTGATATCGGAAGCAATAACTTACGATCCTAATTTGGCTTTGCAAGATGCCATTTCATCCATGACTTGCCTGGCTTTAAGGTCTGGACCTGTTTCTGGAGGTGTTTTCGACATGCCTCAACCACTGCTCTTGCAACAATCAGCACCTCAATATCAACGTGACCCATTAAGCGGACAGAGTTCACACCAACAGCAACAATTAACACAACCATCTTATATCCAGTCAATGTCATCACAGATGCAACAGCCAGGTAGAAATCATCTGGCCGCACATCAGCAATCCATGCCACCACAGTTGATGCAACAGCCTGGTATGAATCATCTGGCCGCGCAACAGCAGTCAATGTCACCACAGTTGATGCAACAGCCAGGTATAAATCATCTGGCCGCGCAACAGCAGTCAATGTCACCACAGTTGATGCAACAGCCAGGTATAAATCATCTGGCCGCGCAACAGCAGTCAATGTCACCACAGTTGATGCAACAGCCAGGTATAAATCATCTGGCCGCACATCAGCAATCCATGCCACCACAGTTGATGCAACAGCCTGGTATGAATCATCTGGCCGCGCAACAGCAGTCAATGTCACCACAGTTGATGCAATAGCCTGGTATAAATCATCCGGCAGTGCATCAGCATTCTGTTTTAGGGCAATTAATGCAACAGACAGATGCAAATCGTCTAGGAGCTTATCAATCATTTTCACTGCCGTCATCGGCGTTTCCAGTGCCTACGCCACAGATAGGCGCGCATTATGTGGGAGCGCAACAACTGGGAGCGCAATTTAATGCCACACAAAATCTCCCTTTAATGTTGCCAACTACAACACAGTCCAATCCGCAGCAATTGGCAATATCACAGCAATCTTCGCTGCAACCTCATAGTGAAGAAGTTGAAGAAGAGTATTAGATAAGAGGGGCAAGATTGAGTCAATAGGTATTCGAGTGAATTAATCCGTGATTTAGAAAGACAGGAAATGCAAGAGAAGCAGAAAGCGAGAAACACAGGAATTGAAAATTTCAAAATAACGAGATGACTTTCCGTGTTTTTATCAAACTTTAGCGAGCCGATGTCGTTGAACAGTTATTGATATTTAATTATTCTCTGTATGTGCTCCAGCGCATGGTCTGGTATCCTGTGGTTGTTTGGAGAAACTATACAGAACGCACTAGATGGCATCGAGTTTAGCAATCGCTTTGTAATAAGGAGTCAAGAGTAGCTGTACATACAGATACAGATGGCGTTGTGGAGATTGTGTACTGTCAAAAAGTGTTAGCAATACCCAAAGAGTGTCGAGACGAGCGGACTAACGCTTTTGAAACGACGAGTTTCACACCACCAATTCGACAATCTTGTTGAATGGTTCGAACAACTAATTGATCACCTAACAAGGAGGGAAAAAGTATATTCAGCCTTGGCTTCAGGATTTCGCGCTCTATAGTGAAATCAGAGTGCACCCAGTCCTCTCTGGTATTGTAATTAGAACATTTGCCTTTTGTAATTGGTTTGATGGGTATAATTACTCCGAATAGTTGTCATCATGAATAATGCACCATGCAATGCGAAATATACCACTAGAGTCGACTTCCCCCATACTAAAGTGCGGATTGATGTTGTATATACAACCCGCCGCCGAAGTGATCTGAGAATTGGGCATTTGGATAATATAGGGCGAAAAGACCGAAGTCAAACTCTCAGATCCAGAGCCATGTGGACTTTTGGAGATCTTTTTTGCAAAGTATGCTTCTCGCTGAACATGAAAGTGATCCATAATCTCAATAAAGCAATCGTACTGCCGCGGTGATAGAGGTGGTAGATTCGTCTTCTTCCGTGTAGGTTCAAACGCATCAATCAACTTCCTGGCTGTTGCTATTTGAAGAAGTTCACCATCAAGTAATGCCTCAAGCAAAAATATTTCGGCTAATGAGTCAGTATGCGAATATCCACCACTAATGATTTCAGTTCTCACCCTCAGAGACTAGGTATCTAGGGCGTTTCCAAGATACACTCTCTGGCCACCATGATGGCCGGGTACTTGCAGACCAATCCAGTTTTTCATGGATCAATGGAAGCCAAGCGTCCAACATTACCAGGCGGTACCGGGTACCTAATTTGCGTAGCCTTGCTCGAATCCAACTTCGCTTAGATTCTTCTAGGTGTGGTGAGGTGTCCATCTTAAGCGCAAGAGCCTGGGCGCTAAAAACCACGCCGCCGTCCTGCCCGATGCTAATAAGAAACAAATTCAATATAGTATGAGAAGAAATTGAAAGCAGGGGAATAAGGAATCCTCTTTATACTTCTTCTTCTTCGGCTTTTTGGCTTGGGTGCTTTTGTGTATGACTGAAACATGCGCCAAACCTTTTGTTGACGCGCGATTGGCGGTGGATAAGTCACAAACTCCGGCACTGATTTTAATCAGCCGTGAAGTTGAGCGAAATGCACGCCAACTTTGCACGCCACATCTGAGTCGAAATTAAATCCTGACTATAGGATGGTGAAATTGAGCCTATATATTCTAAGCGTAGTCCACTTCAATTGATTGATCATAATTCTCAGAATCTAAATCCATCAAATTTGCTTAAGATGGTGAGTTATTCCGCTTATTCTTTTTAGGTCTATTATCAGATACTCATGTCTTTGTCAGTTGGAACGGGACGTCACTCTGCCGGCTGCAAAGGCTACGTTGTTAGCAATGATCAATCTATATTCCACGCGTCCGCGAATTCTGATGGGACCAATCAGCGATGATGCTCATATTATACGATGCCTGCATGGAAACGTGCTAGACAAATTAAGAGCGAACTTTTTACAGGAGGGCTGCATGAATTGTGATTTTGCGCTCGAACAGTACAAAAATTTTGTGGAATGTGCTTTGCGTGAGCTTAGCGACCAGGCCGTATTTACCTTGGCGCTGGTGACCTGGCATTTTACTCCTCAGCATGACGATAATCATATCTTTGACAGGTTCCTGGGATTTCTTCAAAACCCGAACGGTGACCCAGACACTTTGGGGGCTATTGGGGCGAGATTTATACGGGATACGGGAAAAGATCTCAACTTGGACTTCTTTCTTTGATTGCCAGCCTGGATCAAATTATGCGAAGAGTTTTGTGTCTTATCGATTGTTTCTATTGAACCTAAGTGCTTTATTTTATACATTAAGCCTCAAACAACTACTTTCTCATCCAAGCAGCTCTTGCAATCCTGCGTCTGGTAGTCGCAAGGCATATTAAAGTGAATATCAACCTGTAAGACATGAGATCACATAAGCTATAAGAGTAAAGAGTAGTGCACAACCTACATCAATCTTCGAGTCTGGTGGAAATTTCGATTCAATTACACGCATTGAACCGGACTTTCTCCGAACAACTGTGACATGGACGACTAGCAAGCCGAGCCTTCGGGCAACATGTGAAAGTATCTTAGGCATTTCGATGGGTTACAAGGCTGTTTCTTGTATGAATATTTGAATATTTAGGGATACATTATTTACTAGGAGAACATGGTGTTTTAAATACCTACGTAGGTAATCAATTAAAGGTATTAGTAATAAGCATATACCATGGTTTTGAGTGCATTACCGTCAAGAAAACCGTGGTCGAGAAAATCGTGGTCGGCGGCTAGCGTGCTATTTGGTGTCTTATAGATTGAAATTTTTGAAAATTGAATTTATTTAACGACATTGGTGCCTTAGGCATGAAGTATACATTTGTTATCCTGCTATTATTAGACGGGTATACTCATAGATAGCATCAATGTTCGAATCAAATCAGGAAATTCCTTCTAGTTTGTCAATCTACCAACAACCAAAAAAAAAGAAAAAGAAAAACCGATTTCTGGAGTGATTAACATTTTGTCTTCAATTGGTCTAAAACAAGTATACTTCCTGATTAATAGAAGTAAATAATATAGATCACTCTCGAACTTACAGGTTCCACATATCAATCTAATAATTTAATTAGATAGAGACCGAGAGACATCTTAGTCCTATAATATGATTAGTTTCTCCAATAGGATAATCTAAAAATCATAACAGACATACAAGTGGGACACGGCCGGTGAAGTAATACTTTACTATACGCCAAAGCGGAATTATAAGCAAACAGATAATAAGGAAAATATAATAGCCCACAAGGGTAGAGATCAGGAGGTTGCCATATGTGTCGTGATCCATAATTAAATATAGATGAAGTTATTTTCTTTAGATTCCAGATGGTAGATATACTAGGAAGTCAAGGTGCTTTTATAATAAAACTACAGGCTATTTTCTATAGTTAATACAATATTAAGTTCTCTTGCGACTTGGAAAAAATAGAAATTAGCTAGTAACTTATTAGAAATATAGACTTTTCTCAACTGGCTTCGGCTTGCGCTATATTTGATCGCACAATAACGCTTTACTATTCTTTTTAGTTCCTTTCGGTTCTTGGAATTAGAAATTCCTCTCTTTTAATACCATATTTCTCCCAAACATAGTGCCACTCATCCTTTTCTATGAGATCTTTTGCACTTCTAATCTTGAAGTGAAGTTTCACTAGGTCAAATATTGATGGCACCATTCCATCAATAAAGTGATAGCCATAAACATAACCTTTAGAGTTGTCGTTGTACCTGACATAGAACTTCATAGAAACATTGTTTGGCGTCCAAACTGTACAAACGTATCTCTCAAATTCAGCGATTTTGCTGAGGAGTTGAACGTTCAAGACTGGTCTCTGTAGCGGGGGCATAGCTTAGATCTAAATTGTCAGCTTTTCCAGGAATACCCGCTGAGTTACCCGGACTTTACGCACAAGGCACTATACGATTATAAAAGCCAATTGGTAGTGACTCTCTCTTGCTTGCTTTCTTAGGATATTGAAGGTCAATCGGGGTAGAAATAGGGTCTGGAAATCGTGTTCAGCACATGTATTGGGGATATGTGTTTCGAGCAGTGGATCATACTGTTTTCGTTCACGGTTTCGTTGCTTCTGCCTTCTGTGCCCTGCTCTTGAGTTTCTCTGGCGGACGGGGAATTCTCTTGAATAAATAAAAAGGACTCAATCCAGCTGGGAAGCAGCCTTCGTAGCGAGGAAGTTGAAATACAATCCATGTTTTTTGATAAGCTGATGTCTCTGGTGCTTTAGATATGAAAAGTTTTGGCTAGCAAAACAGCGCCAACGGGTTTTATAATAGCCAATCGAGCATTTTTATTAAAATTTTGGTTTACTTTGAATAACAAGACCGTCAAATTTTCGTTTTCATAATTGTAAAGAGCAATAGCCTAGTCTTCGCGTATTAATCTATTAGTTTCTGCCAGTATCATTTTGAGCAATCAAATTTAGTACATTATGTCGGTGGTTTCTTGAAATTTCAAATAAAAGAGAAGCTGAAATTGAAGGCTGAATCCTAGATATTGATCCTCGCAAAGAAGCGGACAATATTGTTGTATCCATAACCGCTTCGGGCTATAATCAAATTCACGTATTCAGAGCATCTATAGTGCTTCCTCATAGAAGATCAATTCAAGATAATCGAGAAATTTTCCTCCAATATGAGATGAGTTAAAGCAAATACTTTTCTGAATTGACGGCGAAAACAGACAGAGAAGCAACGTAGTACATAATTTCTCGCTATCGAACCACTGGATTCTTCCCGCACTTAGCCTCTGAGAATGTATCATATATTCTCCGAGACTTCGTCATCTGTTTATGGATACTTCTCAAAAGGATCCCACTGAAAGCATTTCATCACGCGTTGAATGTCTCCTATAACAGTTGCGTCGCCGGAATAGTTTTCCGACGCAATAACGATTTTCCATGTCCCAAGATTGTGTTCGATATGTTTGAGCATAAATTTTCGCTTTGGTAGATGAATCCTTTGAGGATCCAGGATTTGCGATCCATCTGAACGAACCTCCACCAGAGTTTGAAGGTTTACTGAGATGTAGCATAAAAATCGTTCTTCTTTACATCGGGTTGAGTCGCGTAGAATAAGATTAAGAAGCGCTCGAATGGATTTTCCAGCCTCGGCCAACGTGGAAGCTGAGCACATCGTCATCATCGCCGCATAAATCTGAGAGGGGGAGAACAAGCTCTGATCCATAGTGCCATTTAACAGGTTGCAACGCCTTGTAAGTTGTTGCTGGCAAGGAACACCAAGAATTATGTCATCAACCTTTATAAAACTGACGATGGGCACTATGCTCATTAGCTTCGTATATACCTATGAGTCAATAATACATACTCCGGTGTCCACATTCCTGTTGTTGCCACGCAATGAAATCATGATATGAATAGGGTTGCGGGCTGTTCAGGGCTTGAATTGTGGGTGTAGAATTCAGAGCTGATGGGCCACCCAATAAGGAAACTTTGGAATCATCCATTGTATAGAAGTAATCGCGTTGTCGATGTGGATTGGGGAGGGGGACAGTGATTTATATATTCCTTGATGAAATAACTCCTAGAGACAAACGTACGGTGGTGCTAAGAATTCTAGTCTTAGTTTACTTGGTTAGTGCCAGAGATAGTGACTATCACATAGAATAACCCCTTTAATTCTACAAAGATAAGTCTAGGCTCAAATATTGACATTTAGTGACGCAGCACATCAATGTAATTATTCGTCCAATTTCGCTTGCTAATATATAGAACAGGCACAAAAATGGTTTAAAAGTCAATGCTCAGTCACACGATATCTCGATTCTTAATTATCTTTAATCTTTTGTGCACTTTTATCAATAAATTTCGTGCAGTAAACGCATTTCTTACTCCCACAGGGGTTGCGAAGCTCCTGATATCGTTTCTTTATTCCCTGGCAAGGATCCTCAAAACAGAACTGCAAGAATGCATACTCCTCCCGCTCCCCACAGGATAAGTAGATATAATACACCTTCCAACACATTGGATAGAGTTTAGAAGCTTTTTTTAAATCAATGAATAAACTTGGATAATATAGATTTGATAATCCGGCTTAGACTCACGATTTGCTGTTTGGTAGATTATTGTGCGATTTGCAGGACGTATGTATAATCCAATGCTACTTTTAAATTAGCATTGATCAATGGCCAATATTTGGCTGGGTAATTGAGATAAATATGTCAATGTTCCACGAGGGCTCTTTGGGCTTTTCATGTGTGATGATAGTGAGATAATTAGAGGGGCTGAGGGGATGATGCCAAACAGAAGGGAGAAAATAGAAGGGAGAACAAGACATACATTTGGAAATAGGCCTTAAGAAGGGAGTGGCTCCAAAGGTGCTGTGCGGTTGAAAGAATTCTCCTCTAAACTCATGGGGGCAACGGGGTTATATCCTTCATGTTCCTTTGATGCAATAAACGCTCTCTGAGGTGCTTGCAAATATATCTCCATAGAGGAACGTCCAGGGAGAATCAATATTGCGGAAGATCGGGCTGATGAAGATAGTGGATCGCAACGTACAGTGGGCGCTGGGCTTTCTGTATCCCTGCTAGGATTTTGTGTATCTCTGCATAAGAAGAAACTCAGAAGTCTCATCGCGAGATACATGAGTGCTGTTTATTTGAATGTGTTTTCGGATTTCTTCTTCCTATCAAAGGTGTACTGTTATAAGTTCTTGGTCTTGATAATGTAGAGTATATTGTTCATCTATTTGAATACCACGAAAACATGGGAATCAACTCTCCCTGTTTGAAATAGAATATCTTTTAGTTTTGACCTAGCCTAAGTCAACATTTATCACTTGGCTTGGGGAATAATCCATAATAAGGTAAAGTATAACAGACACACCGATATCATGATCAGAAACTATAATACTCGATTATTTACTTGACTTTGACGTATCAACAACATTTGACATAGCAAACCTATACTCCTTTAAGGGCTTCGCCTTGTGAAAAGGAGTCAGGTTCAAATAGTAATTCACCAAGTTGGACAGAGCTATTCACATCTAAGATGTCGTTTACTATGTATTATATGCGTGTAAGTAGGAATAGATTATACATACCAAGTCGCCGCTTTTGGTACTGTTACTCTTTTCACCTGGTATGAAGCATCTCATCTCAACCCCTTTATTCTTATGTCAAATTCGGTGGCCTTCGAATATGCTTTGTTAGACGACCAAAACATAGAGAATTGGTTTCGCGAAAGAGGCGTAGATCGGATCGTGGATTATGTCTGGCTTATCAATATGAGACTTTAGATGTACGGAGACTTTCCTACCTGATGCAGGGTCTGGCAGCACGTGGTCTTTTCGATAGCACCCAAAGCTTTCCTCGCGTAGTATAATGGAGCGAGCAAAATTCAGATTCGTTTAGGCAGATGTATTGCAGATGTGCACAATGTGCTCTAACGAGATAAATTCGGGAACCTGTACACTCGAGTAAGGAACGGTTTTGTTGGTATGCTGGGGTTTATTATGAAGTTTGTGAGGGTATCCATTTACATCCTATTATGGCGGAGGATGGGGCTGAATCCTATAATGGAGCAAACACTAATAGTACTGGAAAACTTTCACCTGGGGCCATTTGGGACTTTCAAGAAACTAAATGCCCTTAGTATTTTGTTAACACGAGACAGATCCTATTCAAAACCACTGCCGGCAGTGATTCAGAGCTGGGGTGAAATCTAGCTCTGAGACTCTGACCAGTCAAACATTAAACAACCACTCCGATAATGATTCACCGATTTTTATTGGGCCACCTGAGTCAGCTGGGTGCTACGTCCCCTCAATATTCTGACCAATCAAATACGATACTTGTACTACTGGTTCTAGATCCCACCAGGGGCATGTAACTAGACTGCGGCGGCAAGGAACATCTCCTGCGTGATTTTCTAAACCATACTATTTACAAGGCAGCAAAGTCGGTAAGGACCAATCATTTGCATGATTTAGCGCTATCCTGCACTCGCTCCACGTCTTTTGCATGGCGTAAAGAGCAAATTTATCAGACGGTAAGTACTGTAGTTTTATTTTTGTTTTTAATTTTTGGTCAAGAATATATAGTCTTCAGTTACTGCTATTCTTCAAACCCCTTTCAACCCCGGAACAATCTTCATTTTGCCTCAACACCGCGCTTGCAGTGCTACTAATATATTGATTTATTTATTTTTATACACTGAAAAAACAGTACGTGGTATCTTCTATCTGGATTCCATATTTAGCTGACCGCATGTACTAGCAAGGATCACGATGAGGAGGGCATTGAATCCTGCACTCGCCAAGGCTGTCGAAGGGAATACCTGGCAAAAATTCACGAATCCAACGGCAGGACGAGGAAAGACTGCTTTCCCGAAAGGGCCAGCAGATCAAGAACGCCTCGGAGTTAGATGGGACTACGATGGAGAGGTAACCGATGCGGATATAGTTTACCACAAGTTTCAGATGCAGGCGAACGGTGGGAAAGTCCCCTCTGCAATCAAAAGTTGGAGAGAAAATCATGGCGGAACGCACGCCGTCATGGCTACTGCCTTGGTTAAGAAGGACGGTACGAAGGAAGACGTTGAGAAGGGGTTGAACGATGCTGCAGGATCAGTTCAGACTTGAAAATTTTCAGGTTTGAGACCGTCGAATATTCGGAAGGTGGATTTTTGCTACCTGGTCTACCGGTCATATAGATGCTGGATTAGCAAGTGCGCATCGTGATTTCACCCGGAATCATGTATTTAGAACCACATCTCAATATATTTCTGAATTGCTGTATTAGTGTATTCTGACCCTAGTACGGGTCATATCCCTCAGGTCCAACAACTATAATAGGTGGTCTGTTCAGCACACATTCGGAATCCAGTGGAGCAAAAGTGGGCCTTCTGACAGATCTACAGAATAAGCACTCAATTAATCAACTATCTACTCATCATCCTGGAAATAGATTCGTAATGTCATCCTGGAGTTTAAACAATTTATGCAGCAAGCTTTTTGGCTGCCAGGATGGAAAGCAATTATCGTAGCTGGCGTATCGGTAAGTATATTGGCAGTCTCGGTATGTTGGTACGTTACGTCAGTAATGATTACCTAAGACAATCCCTTCACGCGACTGAAGCGCGTTGAATGGTCACGACAATATAAAAGCCCTGCCTGTCCAAAGTTTCCATGATACCTCTTCGATTGATCATACCATGACTAAGCATCTAGATCGAATAGTTCTTTCTGGTCTTCTCTTCTCACGCGCCGTCATCCCTAGAACAAGTTTGTTCGCACGTTCTATCTCGACAATCCAAAAAATGCCTGATCTGTTCGAGTACACGTCTGGGCGATGGATGTATGTTGCAAACTAGCATTTCATCCATATCAAGCTCCTCTGCTGATTTGCAAGTCTAGTTACAATGACAAGTTGAGACATCGCGAGAGGAGACGTGTTTTCAACGTCCCTGAATTAAAGCGCCTTGCTGCCCTAGCAATACAGCAGAACGGAGACGACGTGATCGGTTTCGAGAAGCTTGCCGAAGGAGGTTTCAACCGAAGCTTTTTGATCACTATGCGAGACGGCTTCCAATTTGTTGCACGAATTCCATACCCAGTTACCGAACCCAAATTTCTCGTGGTCGCAAGCGAAGTCGCAACGATGGATTTCATGCGTGCTCATGGTATCCCAGTTCCGAAGGTCTTTGGCTACTCTCCTGATGCAGATAATTCCGCAGGTACGGAATATATCTTTATGGAACTTGTCCAAGGAAAAAATCTTGGGGATGTGTGGTATACTTTGTCTGAACAGGAGAGAAAAACAATGGTTACGAAACTCGTTCAATTGGAGGCTCGTCTATTTGGCTTGCGATTTCCAGCAAGCGGAAGCCTCTATTACTATGATGATTTGCGGGATAGAGACAGCCGAATCGTTACTCTAAGCCCAGACTCGACACATCGCTTCTGCATTGGCCCTGATACTTCACTACGATTATGGTACGGAAAAAGACTTAACTTATCGGTTGAACGTGGCCCATGTAAGCATATTTCGAATTAAGCTTTGGAAGAGACATTCTAAATTCAGGAAGATCGAGATTCTCTAGCGGTTCTTACTGCCGGTGCCGCTAAAGAGATTGCATATCTTGAGAAATTTGGGCGGCCTCTTCAGCCTTTTCAGCGTCTACGCCGAGAGCTATATGATTACCAAGCTCAGTCCCACTTTGAGCATATCATAGCTCTACAGAAATACCTCCATATTGCTCCTCACCTTGTGCCGCGAGGCTGTCCAGCCCTTCAACGTCCCACCATACGACATCCCGATCTTCAACCCAACAACATATTTATCTCTGATGACATGGAAATCAAAGGGATAATTGATTGGCAGCACACCACAATTCTTCCATTATTTCTTCAATGTGCCATTCCCGACAGTTTACAAAATTATGGTGATGAAGTTTCGGAATCACTACGAATCCCGACTTTACCGAATAATTTCGATGAAATGGAAGACATAGAGAAATTCCAGCAAGCGGAAATTCTGCGCAGACGTCAACTTCACTATCTCTATGTTAAAATGACAGCAGACATTAATCCAGAGCATTACGATGCCTTGACCCAGGAGTTCAGCGCCTTACGGCGACGTCTTTTCCACCACGCTAGTGATCCATGGGAGGGTGACAATACTACCTTGAAAGCCGATTTAGTTACTTTGTTTACTAAGTGGACGGAGGTGACCGGTGACGCGAGGGCACTTTGTCCAATCTCTTTTACAGATGATGAGTCGATGGAATGTCTGCAACTCGAACGGGCGCAGTCTGAGGCAGATGAGCAATATCAGGCTTGCCAGGAAGCTATTGGAGTTGGACATGAGGGGTGGGTGCCTGTTGCACACTATGACGAAGCAAAAGCGTGCGAGAGAAAATTGAGAGCGGACGCTCTCGATGCGGCTGAAACAGAGGAGGAGAGAATAAGGATTCGTGAAAATTGGATTTTCGATGACTTCAGCGAGGAAGATTATACGTGAGAAGGGTAGCCAAGAATAGTCGTGAAACAGGTTACCAGAATAATGAATGTGTCTGTAATTCCACTTGTAAAGTTAAGATGCCCGGTCTTTTGGATCCTTTAAGCAGGGGCTTGGATTTGTTTCAGTCCCAGAGAATAGTTTCCAACACTACGAGTGCCCTGCGCACCTTCAACTCGATGGTGGTACGTTTGCATGCCATTTCAGTGAGGTCATAAAGGCACAGTATTACTGCGTGAGGCTGCGCCCAAAACGTGGCGTCACGCAACATGAAAACCGGCGCTAGATGAATGGTTGGTAAGCTTCCTAGAAGCGAGCCGTGTCTATGCAATGAGACATGTCTACGGATGGAAAGGTCTGGAATCGTTTGGCCCCAATATCACCAACATAATTGCTTTTGATCTTGATCCAAATGGCCCAGGCTTTCTGGACGACATGTCGACTCTGACTTTATTCGCTGCTCATTTTGTGACTATACTAAAAAAGAGGGCTCCGACAGGGTTCCCCTCTCAGCCGGCAGGAGTTCTCTGCAATTTGAATTACCCCGTATATTCCAGTACGGTCGCCTCGGGTGCCCCTTGGTAATCAACTATGGAACAGCAAGTTGCTTTTCGCAACCACCCTCGAGCACAATGGACATTTCTTTAGCCCTTGAAGTTCTTCGGCATGCGCCACCTGAAGTTTTGCAAAATCACAGACAAGAAGCTATTGAAGCGTTTCGAGATATTGAAGCGCGAATAAGGGAGCTTGATTTCCCAGAGTCAGATTCATCTATCCCAGCTTTCACAGCGGTTGCCAATGGATCTGGTAGTCATGAAGCCGGGACGGCCGCCTCCACTCAACTACCATCTTCAGTCGAGCAACCCACCTCGACTGTTCAAGACAAAATCAAACCAAGTCATTCGATGAATCTTCTCACTGCCTTAAATAAAACCGCTTCCTGGGTGTGGAAATCTACGAAACGTCGACCAAACGAGGTTCTGGGTATCAAACGCCCTCGTCCTTGCGATAGAAGGCTTGCCGATGTTCGCAGGATTGAGGGTGAATCCCAGGCTGAGCCTAAATACAAATTATTGAGAGTCCTCGCTCAGCGATCTCTGGTTCTTCAAGGTGAGAAGTCCGGGTACTTGGATATCGAAAATTATTGCAAAGTGGCCTCTTCAAGGGGACAGGACAAGGCCAAGAAAGGACGTGGGGGGACAATCGCTTTATTTGTGAGAGAAGAACTTGAAATTGAGAAGGAAGACCAAGCCTTAGCTATCCAAGCAATTTCAGGTGGTATCAAACAATTAGTTACGGAACGACTGCTTAGAGAAAGGTTTGAAAAGACAGGACAATGCGGGAGTGCATCAGGAATTTCTGCCTTCACAGCTCTTGCCGTCAGGCCGTTCCGATATCTGAAGCACGAAGAGATCCCAGAGTTCTTGGATTGCCTCCTGATGCCTGATTCAATGGATTTGTCTGCATTGATGGACGAACCAAGGATGGAGAATTCTTTACCAGTTTCAATCAAAGAAGTTATTCAAAAGTCTTCAGAATGGCTGGATGAAATTCAGGTATATTATAATAGTAAGTTTGATATCTTCGAAGTTGATTTGTCACTGATTTTCTTTTCTTTTCAGCACTTCTCGATATTCGGGAAGACTTCGACAGTCGGGAAGACTTCGACAAACAACAATTAAACGAGCGGGCACGTAAGCGTCGTATGTGTTCCAAATCTTCTGTTGACGGCCTTGCGACCCGCTCCACTGATTCACAATCATTTTCGGATCGGCTGAGTGTTATAGAACCGTCTTCACCTGATCCTGATGAAGCTGGAAGTCACCCAACCACCAGTCCACAAGAGAGTCCAGATTCGTTCAACGGGGTGCTTGAACATCCTGGGTCAAATTTTTCTGAGTCTCCTTCAAGCACCGGCCTGGAGAGTTCTCTATTCGTTGGCTCTCCTTCCCAACGACGTTTTCCTCTCGCCATGTCCCAGATAAAAGACAACCAACGGAGTGATTCCGCAGGCACCACCTCGGAGCAGATGTTCAGCCCATCGTGTACGGCAAATTCAGTGGGAGAGAGTCCTTTCAGCCCCTTGTCCAGCAGTGAAAATCCCTCAAACATTGAGAAGGCAAGGTTGGATATTGTCTCATCCGAGTTTTCGCAGCATGGCACATCGCAGCTGCATGATCCTTCAATCCAGCCTTACACCGGCGCCAGCGACACACGAATCCCTTACGACCCTTGGCTGAATGTACACGTCACATCCCAGCTAAACGATCTTCCACTTGCGCCTTACGCCGACACTAGCGATACCCTTCCTTACGACCCTTGGCTGAATGTGCACGTCACATCCCAGCTAAACGATCTTCCACTTGCGCCTTACGCCGACACTAGCGATACCCGAATTCCTTACGACCCTTGGCTAAACGTGCACGTCACATCCCAACTAAACGATCCTCCACTTGCGCCTAACGCCGACACTGACAATACCCAAATCCCATCCGACTTTTCGCAACATGGCACACCCCAGCCGCATGACCCTTCAGCCCAGCCTTACACCGGCACCTGCGATACCCAAATCCCTTACGACCCTTGGCTAAACGTGCACGTCACATCCCAGCTAAACGATCCTCCACTTGCGCCTTACGCCGACACCAACGATGCTCAAATCCCATCAAATAATTGGCCGAATACGGACGCCACATTCCGACTGAACGGCCCTTCAGTTGCGCCTTACACCAGCACAAACCGTACCCAGGTTTTATTCGACTCTTCACAGCAGGTGCCATCCCAACGCGCAGTCTACCAGCATCCGGCACGCAGTACTCTACCATTGTGTATGACTGCGCAAAGGGAACACATGGCAACCCAAATTTCCACTTCAGTACAGATACCACTCCAAGCTACATGAAGGCACATCTCTGTGTTCTTGCGGAGCTTTTCCAACTCTTCTTCGTACCCTAGTACGTTGCAATTGATGTATCAATAATAGTAGTCACTAAATCTTGCGATAATTATATGTACATTTGAATTGTCTCAACTATATCGGTACAATAAAAATAATGGTCGAGGGTGAACTCAGGGTGGGCTCATCAGTGACAAATTGAGAGGTGCCTTCAACTAAATCGCCGCCTGGACTGATGGTTACCCCTGCAGACAGGGTAACGAGGTGCATACGCGAAGATTTGTTGATGATTGGTCTTGACTGTGAAAAATAGGCCAAGTCCCATCCCCATCCCTATTTTCCGATTAGCAGTGCGCAAAAGATTTTCGATAATAGGTATGATTCTCATACCGTGAGACCCATTTCGATTACCAACCTCGACACCTTGTCATCAAATAGCGTCCCGTCATATGACTTGCCATAAGCATTCTCTGTGAAGACAGCAAGCTGTTTTTCTTCTGAGTCGACTTTTGGCACAGACTGAGCTACTAATTTCTTGATTTCTTGACGCAAGGTCTCCGCTTTTTGTGAAAGTGTTTTGCTCATCTTCAGAGAAGACGTCTAAGGGCTGTCGAGGCAAGGATTCCTGCAATGATAATAGCAGCCAAATATGCGGACTGCAATAATTAGAAACGTGAGTACAGTATAAGCGGGTAAAAACATACCTTTTGGCCCAGTTGGGGAACTTGATTGAATAAGAGGGGCATTGGAGGGGTATTTTGAAGATTGAAAATCGCCGAGGTCACGTTGGGCAGATATGTCATGTGATCAAGTCGGCACCAGTTTGGCATTGAAGATATCAGATTTTCAATAAATCTAACGACGACGCATTTGAAAAATGAGGTATTTTAGTCAGGCTAGTACATTTTAAACCCCGAATACTAACAACAGATAATCTTTTCTATCTATCTCGCCCCGTATAGATCCAGACAGTAAAGCCTAGCATAGATGTGTGATCCCGTACCAAACGTCGACTGAATGAAACGCTTCTCGCCGTGGCGACAACGGACAACGCTAATATGGCCCGAGACCAAGCCTAGCTTCGTGGCGATTTTAGAAAGAAGTTCTTATTTCCAAGCATTATGTGGATCTGCAAAACAGAAAGACTCACGAATTATAGCCCATTTAATGCCCAACGGTTCAGGTATTGTTGCACATCATCAATGCACGCCATTGCTTGGCGTATGCTCTTGACAATTTCCGACTGAGCGGCCAATTGGTCAATGCCTTTCAAGTGTAAGCTTCGCAAGCCACATATACTGGTCTCCTCTGTTGACTCACGTATTGGCATATGTAAGCCTTCTAACAGATATAGCGCAAAGCAAGTCCTCGTATCCGAAGCTCGGCAGCAAGACAAGATTTGCGTTCCACTGTCAGCACAAAGTCGTCACTATAGTTTCTAATCACTGCTGCCATATTTGCCCGCTGAATGACGGACCTTTGGGTCACTAGGTCTCGAAGCTCCATCTCTGTAGCACTAAGTTCCCGACCATGAATTTCCGGAAATAAGTGCTGGAAGATTACTCCAAATAATAGGAAGCTGTAACGCATTTTGAATGAGCTTACCAGTTTATTCTACATCGGAAATGTAGTTTTCCCATGAAATTCACAACGCTAGCCACTCCCCATCAAGATTAGATTCAGAAGGCTGATAAAAAGGCTAAAGCAGAGAAGAACCATGCGTTTCAGGACGGGAACAAACGTACTGCCTTGCTGGCCGCCGATATGTTCTTGAAAATCAATGGCTACTACCTTCAGAAGGTACCATTCGCGGAGGATATGCACAACAAGGGGCTAGCAAATGCTCACGTCGCCGTCGTTACCAATCCAAGCTCATGGGCCAGCCTTCCTCCCATGGGGCCCGCAGAAACCCATAGAGTCGACAAAATCAAGACCGATTAAGGACTATCTTTTTTTTTTTTTTTTTTTTTTTTTGCAGATTCTCTGGCCCCAGAATAGAACAGATATTTACTCAAAATTGTATACTTTTAGACGCCGAGAATGTGATTATGCATAATAGACACACTAAGCACAAACGCAGTCTGCTGGATCATTATATGCCCTATCCCCTGAGGGAATATAAATACAAAGGTTTCTTTCTCCAAAAGTTGTTCCAGTTCTTTCTGATTATTAAATTTCCTGAAGCCCCGGTATGCTTTTAACCTTATGTTTTCAAATCATATGCTTTACATTGGTTTCCTCCCGTCAGCTTAGCCATGTTGAAATCGACCTTCGAGATCTTGTGACTCAGCAGTCTGTGATTCAACGTCCTGGGATGGCAGAAGTTATCAAAGGCTTTCGAGACGGCAGGATTGTCGCTGTCGAGTGGCTAGCGCTGCTTGACATGGCCCATAAGCTGGACAACGCGTCAGAAGAGCTTATATGGAGCATATATATACTACAAACAAGGTCCCCGTGCAATAGTAAGTACTTGCATTATAATTCATATTTAGATGCTTACATATTGAAGACGCTATGAGCCCCCAATGTCAAGGTCATATTCGGGCTGCTCAAAACGTTCGTGTCGCAATGGACCAGCTTAATGGGGCCCGCAATGAGCTTATATCTTTGATAAAAGCAAATGAAAGCTAGACCGATGGAATGAAAGTATCAATTAAGTGCAATTCATTGTAATAGTCGTCAGAAATCAACATCCAATAACCAATCATTCACAAGAACCTTCGTATTTAGCCCTTTTCACTAATCGCTGTGATCTTCTGAGTCCATTTCCATCCTCATGCAATAGTTGGCGTTTCTTCGTTCCCAAATTATGGCAGCCAGACATTGCATGACCAGCAGTCGGTCCACCATGTGAAAGACAGCTATTGGTGGCCAATGCCTGTAGTTTCAAAGGGTCCGTGTTCTCCGAGTCCGCGTTCTCACTGCCTTGGTCGCTTCCTAGGATGGGTGAGTAAAGAGAACAATATATCTTGAGCATAAACTAACCTTTTTCACCCCTGTAGCTGGATACTTGCTCTTCGCACACAGCCGTTGTAGATGGCAGTGGAATAGAGGTTGAATCAACGGCTGTAGCCTCATTCGTTGGGGTCTCATCGTCAACAAACCAACCCCACCAGGATTCTGGCGTGGTCAAAGCCTCAGCGTCCGTATCAGTCGTCGAGTCCGCCAGGAGTTCATGACTGTCGCGGAACATTTTCTCCCACCAAAACTCTGGCGTGTTTATAATTTCGGTGTCCGCATCAGATTGAATATGCTCATCGTCGACTTGATCGTAGTCCTCTTCAACGTAGATCAAGAATGGATTTGATTCTGAGCCCAACGGAGCATCCTCATCTTATTCGATCAGGATAGGACTTGTCTGCGTGCCTAGGCCAGACCAATTGTGCAGAATGACCGTTGGCTGGTCACTTTCCGCTGTAGAGATATTAGATCCAAGCTTAGCGAAGTCAATATAGCTATTTCTGTAGACGTCTCACCCAGTGCTTCGCGAGCGTTGTCCATAGAGGGTCTCATGTTGACTAATGTGGGAGAAATGCGTAGGAGAATAGATTGGATACATGCAAGAATTTGCTGCTCTTGAGTCCTAATTTATACTTCTCAGCTTCAAGGGAGCAGACTTCCCCCTGCTTATCGGTTGGCTATCGTGAAGCCAACTCTCTATGCGGCCAGATGATCCTGTCGTACTATTCATAGAGTATGCATCTCTGCGCATCGCCGCCGTTTCGATTGAGCTCTGCTTGCCACTCATTCCCTGGCCCAGGTCAGAAGCTAAAACATGCAGGAGGACCAACACGGAGACAGACACCCTCATCGTCTCCGGTCCCGGCGGCTGTAGATGGAGTAGGAGTAATTCCTATTTCTCACCGGTCCATCTCGCCTTCTATGCCAATCAATCGTGAACCTAGCAAGGATTTCGATCATAGAGCGCCATCGGTAACAGTGGTCGGGACTAAGAGCATACCACACTGATGCTGGTATCACAGGAGAACCGCATGTCTGCGCATCGTTGATTGAGCTCTGCTCGCCAATCGTCCCACGGCTTAAGACAGAAGACGAAACACGCAGGACTGGACTAGCAAAGAGGAACAAACCATATGATGAGTTGCCAGGAGGGAAAAACCCCAAGATTGTTGGGAAAGGGGAGAAATTTATTCGTGTACAAGGATCAGAAAAGAAAAGGCTAGGACTGAGCTGTGATACTCGATGATTGTCTGCTTCTGTGTATGGGTACCAGGGTCGGGTACGTGACAATATTTGTTCTAAAGGATCAAGAAAAATTCGATCACTCTGCTGCTGACTACTCACTCACCTAACTAGTTAGTTAGTTAGGCAAGGAGGGTCAGGTAGGCAAGAGAAAAAATAACATACCGATCACTGCTTTACGCCGGCCTGGTCTGGGGCCACATCCAATGTCAGGCCACCAAATTCTATACCGCCTTGTACCCTATTGTCGACCCTAGGCTTCCTGAGCCGTAAGTCTGGAGACACGGCAAAGAATGCCTCGACGACCATTGAGTTTGAAAGGCCTGAGAGGCAGATTTCATACCATGCACGAGCTAATCCACTGCAAATGTCTTAGTTCGAGATTCTCACTTGATGTGATGTCTCTGCCCGCCAGGTCAAGTGCGAAGCAACGACTGAATAGGGAGGATTTGGACCAATTACTGAGTCAGCAGTGGCGAAACTATTGGAAAAGATAAACGTCCAATCACATGGCAGTATTTCGGTCAAAGTTGAATTAAATCACGAAATAAAAACGACTGTCACGAAGCAGGGCTTCTTCACTATTGACGTTGATTTATTTTAATCATTCGTATTGGAAGCTCTTTTCGAAGGCAGATTAAGGATGAAGTGAGAGGAGAGACAAGTGGCAATTGCATGGTGGATTTTGAGTTCTAGCACACTAGTGACAACACAACTTCTCCTTGGTTTCTTAGGATTTATTGGTACACGCTGAGTGAGACTTTTTTGGCCCCTTCATTTAATACCGAGATCTGGATTTTATCGGAAATGAATGGATCAGGTTTGTCCAATTACGGCTGGACCGCTATTAACCACCAGCAACCTTCTACCTTTCCATCCTCCGCTCGAACCGAAGTTATTCCCGACCGCGAGTATTTCGACAAGACCCGCAACGACGAGGCAGTAGATGCTAAACTACCCATCCCCCGAAACCCTCGCCCAAAAATCGTCTCCAGCAGTGGCCGAGTCAGTAAGGCTTGTGAAAATTGCCACGAGCAAAAAGCCAAATGCAGTGGGCATCGCCCGGCATGCAATCGCTGTCAAGATTCTGGCGCCCACTGTTATTATGGCGACCGTAAAGGCATAGCTATGGTAAAGTGGGTGTTGCTGTATACTATTGCCGCACCTCGAACCTTTTTTAATCCATAAAACAGACAATTGAGTGATTTGACCACACGAGTTGAAACCCTGGAAGCATTGCTACGCGATCTCTATCCCAGACTCGATACCTCGTCAGCCCAGCAGGTTGATAGAACGCTTAGGGAGCTAAATTCGCGCACTCCACTCACCAGAACCAATGCTCCTACACCTCACTCGTTTGTCAGTCCCACTTGCCATAAGAAGGAGTCGACTTGCTTATCACCGGACATGATTGAGCCTACATCTTTTTCTTCAAGAGATTCGGGTTACACTCAGGATGACTGTATCCTTGATGAAGACATAGAGGCGATGCGGTTTAAAGCCCAGCAGCAGTAGGTGGGCGTTGCAGAAACAAAGATATATGAATTGGATCAAGGTATTTGAGTGCCAATATATAAGCCTATTACTGCCGAGGCCAACGGCGGTTGGAGGGAGCCGCCTAGAAATGCAGAGGATTTGACAAAGTCTCTGGCCCACGCAGAGGCTCGTCATACTGGACAGGGAAGAAGGAGTCCCTTCAGATGAATCAATAAAGTTTGGGAAATCAAATTCCAGTGTCATAATAAGCTTTCTCTTCATTACGTTGGCGACTGCCATTCAAATCCAGGCAATCCACGCTGCCTATAGAACATAGCGGGAGTCTTAGTTTGACTCGTGTAACAATGAGTCCCTTAGTAGAACAGTCCGGTGTCACCCCTTGTCGTGACGTATGTGCAAGATCCATGTAGGGGTCCAGCAAACAGCTCACATAGTATTCAATTGGTCCCTTAAGCCCCCGCATAAATATATTGTATCCGTCGGGGGTGCGGAAACATTCGCCATTATGCAGGGTTATTGGGGCACTAGAGAAGCTTGCAGCCTGACCATTCCAGGAATGGATATTGATCCAGTATACCTTAATACATTTGTACTTCAAGCTCTATTGCTCGGTAATCCAATCGTTGTACCCGGTCCGACCCAACCTCCTGCGGGGGTTTGAGGCGCATGCCAATTGGGTCGGACCGGGTATCATACTTGTGGAATTAACATTAGCCAATCCACTATTTGTTGAAGAATACAGTTGGGCCTTAATATTGTGCAACTAGACTTTCAGCGTGTCACAGTCTCGTCAGAGGACACAGTCTCATTCAGTCGAGTATTTCAGGGCACGTTGCTCGTCCACTTTTTCGGATCATTTAAGATCGCAAGTACAGTCCAAATTTTGGATATATACGCTTTTTCTGATTCTCGGGTTGTGTTCCTAGCTTTCTTGGAATCCTGACAATGGACGGTCTTGTCCATATCTGAAAGCAAAGGATTTGGTTAAGATAAACAAATTATTCATTATTGAACATCGCTCAATACGATAGAGATCTCTACTTTACAAGTTCGAGGGACCAATTTGATCTAGATGCAGAGTCTCATCACATTTTACCCTTTACGGGAACTATGCACGTATCCTATGAAAGACGATTCTGACGTGTTCAAAGTGACTTCTTGTAACAGTTGGCTGACCTGAGGACCCTAATTTTCTACGTCGTATCTATTACCGCCTTTCTATCTACAGCCACCGATGTCATTCCGACAAATTGGTAACATGTTGAGGAATCAACATTATAAGTCCAGATGAATACCACCACATTTACTAACATCACTATTACGCAGCTTTCCGAGTTCTGCAATCCGATAAATTCGCTTCCACAGTAACTGAGATCTCGAACAATACTGCAGTCATGCTCCAATATATACCATGACGACACACAAACAACCTTTAGATGAGATGCATTCTATTAAGAAAAGGCTTTCGATTAGTGCACTCTTGAACCCGCAGCAAGAGGACAAAGGATTTCCCTGCTCTATTACCTCACTGAACAGGGCAAAGCCATCTCGAATACCTTCTACAACTCAAATCTCAAACAGTTCGCTGTCCTCTCATGAACAGTATTTCTATAATCAGAAGGAAACGCAAACAAATATTGGGCACTCAGTTGCCCCACACATCATTCGAGGTGACGCTGCTCTCTCGCCGTATCACCACCATATACTCCCCACTCTCAGTCCATTAAGTCTTCAGCTCAATCCGAGCAAACTAAAGGAAGACGACAAAATTAGCAGTCAGAATTGCAGCACAAATAACAGCTGAAAAGTCTGAGCTCAAATTGGAAGTACGAGGAAGAGCATATATACTTTGCGAGGTACTACTACGTTGAGCTTCACTTGAATTGGGACGAGATACTCGCGCGATTCTAGCGTCAATTTCCCGGCATACAACGTATAAATTTTGAAACTATTCGACAAAAGCTTCGTCGTTTTGTGAAGGGAAAGGAGGCTCCATATCCAAGGATGCAACGCTCTCTATAGGAAGTTGAGTACACTGAGAAGCTTGTAAATTCCACTGATTCAAGTCTGAAATCAGATAGCAAGGATTTAGGATTGAAAAGATCCAAAATAATGTATGGTTATTCTAGGGTGACTCTGCCTTGCATGTATCATATTTATCCGCTCCCGAGGGAGTATTCCGGGGTCTGTTACGAAATATAGGATACTTGTACCGAAAATAGACCATGGCGGCAATGTATTCTGCCACAATAGATCGAGCTTACCCGTCCCAGGCAAGGTTCGCGTCTGGCATATGGCCTGAATCTGAATCTGAATACAAAACGCGTAGAACCGGACCACGCCCCTCATCTCCAGTTGTTCTTCTATCTCGCCCTCTATTCCAATCACTAATAAAACCAACGGGTAATGCGGTCACAAGACGCCTTGATGAGATGAACGGGGACTCGTAGATACCTGGAATCGATTGAGAAAACAGCAAAAGTATTTGTGAAAATGCAAGATCGGGCAGTTCTCATGCGAGCACGCAGCTTCCCAAGTAGCACTCAGCACAACTCGACGAAAATCAATATTCGATAATTATTAAGACATTAGAATATAGCTACCGTCTACATTCACTGGAACTCCCTGTTGGTTACCTTATATGGCATTCAACATAACGACAAATCATCTCACTAAATTGACATTAAAGGTAAAATCGATAAAAACAATACGGAGACGAGCATTGGCATAAATTGCAACGAAGCAACGCAAGACGAGTTCACATTCGAGTTACTGACTGTCTGGCCCTTTTGATCAATCGTTCAGATCGTCTCGGTTCAGGCCAGACGCCGTCAATATCTGAAAGTTTGCGTTTGGCTGACCATCTGTCATAAGAGTTATGTGGCGGTTCATTCGTAATACACTCAGTGGTGCTATGTGGTGTTTCCTGCGTCTGAAATTGATCCGTTATCGAGCAGGTGTCCGGCACACCGCAAACCGGATATTTATTGTCTTCGTATCTCTTTTGATCAGTTTCTAGCAACGGTCAACGAAAAGCATGTTAAGAGCTAAGGGTTATAACATACCCGCTTGGCTAGTTTGACCATAGAGAGCAACGGAGTGATCTTCCATCACCTTAGGCGCTCTGTCCTTGGTTGCTTTATCACCCAGGCGGGGACAATTCTGTTCAAGGATTCGAGGCTCTTCCGGATCCTCGCTGGCTAGCCGCGTAGTGAGGGATAGAGCAGAAACAGAGTTAACGTCTGCACGCTCGTCTGCTGGGGCTGGAAGGCTTTCATCGATCAATATCTCCCAGAACTCTGGTGTAGCCATGATCTCAGTGTCGGCATCAGAACCAAGATGCTCTGCCTCATCATAGCCACAATCCTCATCAACATGAATCACTATAGGGTTGGAAGCTGAGCCCAAAGGAGCAGGATCATCTCCAATCACTATGGGATTGGCCTCAGTGCCTAACTCGGAAGAATCGGTGAGTTCGTGTATGACCAGTGTAGGCCAGTCCGAACGCTCATCGGGGATTGATACTTCGCAATGTCAAGTTAGCAAAATCCATAATGCTTCTAGAATATCCCTCACCGAAGGCCTCGCGCGCATTGTTTGTAAAAGAGCTCATACTGACTGGAGCGGGGAGTAGAGGCGAAAACAAATGCTTAATGATTGATGTAGGGTAAGACTAAGGGCTGTGATCAAGCTCAAAGACCTAATCAGATTCTTGACTGTTGCTATCGGAGAAACAGCGTGCGAGATACATGGCTTTATATCTCTCGTCTGGCCGATTACGCCTTGTTCAGCCTGTAGAGCTGAAGCGGGCACCTTCGTCCAGGTCTCAGCGGCAAGACCCAGCAGGATCGCTTCCAGACGAGGCCTGTCTGCCAATCGTCTCCATGTCTAACGCACATTGCATCGGAATACTGTATGAAGGACCAGCTTATCGTCCATTTGATCCAATAACATCACAAAGCGCAGTTGCTAATTACGGAGGACTGCACTCCTGCTCATCGACCGCGCCCAGTAACACCGCCACCGTTTCGATTGAGCTCTGTTTGCCAGTCGTGCCACGGCCCAACAGAAGACGACGCATGCAAGATGGACCAACACAGAGACTAAGGACCCCCTCATCATCCCCAGTCCGCGCGACGCAGATACACAGAGCGCCTTCGGTGACAGGGGTCGGGACTGCGTAGATCTCCGGAATGAGGACGACCGCGACCCCGAGATGATACCATAATGATGCTGCTATTCCTGGAGAACTGCAAGTACGCGCATCGTCTGCGCCCAATATCCTCACCACTGGATTGATTGAGCTCTGCTCGCCAGTCGTTTCATAACTCGAGACGAAAGACGAAACGCGGAAGAGCAGACCAACATGGAGACACACGCTACCTCCATCTCCAGTCCGCATGACCTTTTCCTTGTCCTTCTATCAAGTCCTCTGTGCCAATCGATTGTGAAGTCAATGAGTTCGGTCACAAGGCGTCCAGTCAATTGAGCTCTAATTGCCATTCATTCCGTAACCAATTGCTGTGGATGAGACGCTCATGAGGTACTCACCGAGAGATCAAGGCTGCCTAATCGCCTCCAGTCCCACGTGTAGCTCGTGTTGAAGGATTCACCCCCTGCTGTCTTATCCGTCCATCTCAGCGTGTCTGCCAATGGATAACCACGTCAAATGGGTCAAGGACAAGGCGTACTTGGCGAGCTGAGTTCCACTCAGCTATTTCTGAAAATAGAACGACGGTACGAAGGATCGACGGGAACGGAGGCGTGCAAACGGTCTGGGGAGAACGGCGAGCGATTTCAGAGATCATTGAAGCGCCTCAACATGGCCGCTGTGGAAGCTTCACATCAAGAAGAGCAGGGAAAGGAGGAGTTGACCATGTTATCCAGCTTTCGCAGACGCTTGTATCGCTGGCTTGCGCGAATTGTAGGGAGGAGCGTCCGGTCGAGTATGCAATTGATGCGTTTTAACCAACATTCCCCTCGGTCCGAAATTGATTGGACACCATCAGCCACAAGGCTCTCACTCTCGTACTGCGCCCCAAGGCAGATCCACGAACCCGCCGCACACAGGCGATTGTCCACAGAGGGTTTAGGGCGACTGAAACCAAAGGGGCAATAGATCGACGACGGACCGGCCGACTGACATGTGATGTGATGTGACGTGACGGAATCTGCCGGTCGGCGTGACGGACCAGGGGCAAAAATCCCTCATCTCGAGCGTAATGGCGAGGGCTGAGAGGGAACGGGGCAGGGCGAAGGAAGCAGCGCAGATTGCGCTCCAGGGCTCGCTCGAAGGACCGCATAGGACTGGCTGGTTCACGCCGGCGATAACGGGGGTGGCGGAGCTCGGTGAACCGGATCAATGGCAAAAATGCCTCATGTGCAAGGCGCGCATGGGGGGGCGGGCCGGGGGAGAAAGGAGGAGCAGGAGAGCCAGAAATTTGAAGGGGCGATGGGGAGGACTTTATAGAACCACGCACGGCGACGCACAGGGCACTATGACGCTAGACCAAAAAGGCCAGCACTAGGCCTAATAGCGTAATTTGCGGAAGGAACTCTAACCATCCGATATGGTGTAGTGGCTAACATCGCCGTCTCTCACACGGCAGCCGGGGGTTCGATTCCCCCTATCGGAGTCTGACTTTGTTTTTTTCATGTAGGTAATTAGTTGTATAATATTAATTTTTCTTCTTGTTGCAACCATATTATGTTCAGTGCCGGGTAAATTTTCAAAATGGCGATTTTCCAAGGCTACGTGGAGAGGTAAAAATTTTTTGCTACGGATAACGTAGCGGTAACCAACCACATATGTAGTGTTACTTATAATGGGGTAGTGCAAGAGGCGAAGGAGAGTATAATGATAGTAGTGGTGTTGGTATGCTTAGCAGGGAACAAAGGATTTAATGTTTCGACTTTTACATGCAGGATGAAACATTATTTGACTACATCTAACACCGGCTGCGTCTCATCTCCCAAAATACACAGCATCTCCTCGATATCTATACTAGACCGATTAATAGGAAATCCTTGTTGAGTTATCAGCTTGGTGTGGATTTCAATTGGGCGGGTTCAAATAAGTGCCGCTTCGTTTTGTACGGGAGGGAGATCATATTGGCAAGTTTGTTGTGTTCCCATGCTAGTTTCAATAACCATTGAGAAAGTATAAGCACGTGGAGCAATGGCCGAAAAAACTTACGCGGGTGAGGAGGGCACTGATCTCGAGATGACGATCTCATCTCCTAGTTTTCATGTTTCAAGTTCCACGTTGTGTTATTTGTCGGAGGTGTTTGCGATGAGAGACGTTGTTGATGGGAGATATGAGAGGTCAGAAGCCGTTGTTCTCTATGCCAGGTAGACTTGGAAGGGCCGAAGTTTATCTAGTCATATATTCAGTGTAATATGGTGTCGAACAAGTCGATTATATTGAGGGTACATATCCAATAGATATGCGGTTGGAAATGAGATGTTGCGAGGAGTACCGAGTGGGATCTTCTTGGGCGGGGTGTTGTAGGATATTCATCTCCATTATGCTGAAGGGAAGGGCCTCATGAAATACGCGTATTAACTCGCCGTGGTTCACCGGTACAAGGCTCGAGTTGGGCAGACCAGTACATCCCCTTGGCGACATTTTCGAAATCTCAGATCACCTTTGGGCTCATCATCATATGAGTAGTCGTTGATGGATGTGTCGACGCACCTCCTCAGTACATAGATCGTAAAAGACATAGTGTCAAAAGATGGGGAACCTTGGAAGGCCACTCTTATTACCATAACACAATCCAACAAGAATGAGAAAGGTTGAACCCGAAGATGGACTGTGGCGGGAAGGCACGAGGGGCTAAGAAGGGGGTCATAGGAGCCATGTAAGGAAAGAGCTAATGGCAGCGGGGGATGATGTATTATCGGGTTATTTATATATCTACAGCAACCAATATGGCTGGCATTGAAAGACATGTATGAGGTATGATGTGATCGCATGCCACGCAACAGTCATATATTGTTCTATCATCGACCTGTGGCGATGCTAAATCAAGGTGATTTCTCGCCCAACCCAAACATTCTAATAGAGTTGTTCCAAGCACTGGAGAGAAAAATGAGTTAGCATGGAGCTGAGCATCAGGACGAATCAACATCTTACGCTTCGCAAACTTCCTCCACAGTGATACCCTTGACGCTAGCAATAACATGAGCAACACGAGCGATGGCGATAGGCTCATTCCGGCCCTTCACCATACACCCCTTCTGCCATTTTTCCTTCTTCACAGCCTTCGGTAGATCCGGTGCACCGTCTAGGTGCTTTGCAGATGCATGAGATGGTCGGATTTCACACTAGGATATAAGTTAGTCACGATTGATCCAACCAGAGCTCAGAGCAAGTTACATACCCATGGCCCATCGGTTTCGATTTGGAGCCGGTCGAGTGGAATAGCTTTGACAACCTCCAGGTTCTCCTCCGTCTTCATACTGCACCCGTTAACACCGACATCTAGACCCAGCGCGACCATCCGGTTCATCTCATCCATTGTCCCCGTGAAACTGTGCACAAGTCCCCGCTTGGGGAGCTTAGCAAGCCTTGGGGCAAGGAGTCTCTCAAAGTCCTCGCTTGCAGCTCTGGAGTGGAGGAATAAAGGGAGCTGAATCTCGACAGCCAGGTCTAATTGTGCCTCGAAATATTTGAGCTGAGGCTCCTTCTCGCTCATGAATAGTCGGTCATAATCAAGGCCGATTTCGCCGAATGCGACGGCATGGCCGGATTGTGTGGATTCAATTGCTAGAGCGCGGAGCTCCTCCAGCATTTTTGACGGACCCTCTGGGTATTCATCAAACAGCTTTGCTTGGCATGGATGCACACCAACGGTTGCATAACAAAAGCCCGCTGCAGAATCCTGGCGTTAATAAGGAAAGGGAAACTCCTGGCAAGCTCCGAACTTACGGTATTTGCTGGCGATATGGACAGCGTGTTTCGATTCTACAAGATCTGAGCCTGTTACCATGAACTTTGAGCAGCCTACATCGCGAGCACGCTGGACAACGTCATCGAGATCATCTTCATGGGCCTGCTTTCCGTGATATTCACCGCGGAACACAGGGTCGCTCAAGTTGATACCGATCTAGTATTTCACAGTTAGCTATGAGTTGCATAGTCTTTCGAGGGCGAGGCTCTTAAGAGAAGGGACCCACATCAACATATCGGAGAGGTTTGGATTCGGCCATATTTAATGTGGTCTGTTGTTTCCCGGTTGTGGAGATTGTTCTGGGATTTCCAGCAGATATGGAATTCACAGTAGACAGACCAGCCAAACTATGACTCTTATGAAAACCTACGAAATGAGTCAGCTCAAGCTTTTCCAAGCCACCCAGCCTTCGCATGACTGGGCTAGTGGATAAACCCGTATTTGGACACGAAACAGACCTAAGGAGACAGGTCTATCTACGCCTGTTGACTTCACACTCGAGGTGATGTTGCGGCGGAAAAGTTTCAAAGCACAGCCAACGGCAGAGTAAATCTGCATCAGATGAAAAGTAGATATCCTTGTTATTGGGTTGTTGAAACGCCTCCTCTGTCAAGCATAAAATGTGTGTTGACTCACGGTCGGAAAACGGTCAGCCACACTAGGGCTGAGGCTTTCATGTGGCTGGAGACAGTTTGTGCCTGAGGATTTAGGCGCCAATATCAAGGACCCACTCGGAGAGATATCCGTAGTCCAGTCGGTGCTACGCCGATTGAAGACACTTCAGGGTTGAGATGTCTCCAAACATGAGTGATTCTGTGTGCCCTCGTATTGGAAGTAATTCCCTGTTCTTTTTGTGAAATACCATTGATTTATTGACAGCTTTGTGTGACCAACATGTGTGGAGCAGAATGCGCAGGACTGAACATTGGAGGGATAGTCCAGATCACCGAGTGATCCCGAAGACATTCAAGCCCAGGATGTCGAGCACGAAAATGCGAATTTACAACGCTCATCATACGAAGTTAAATACTCGAATAGGAAGCTCGGGGGACTATAGCCCGCACACTCCGGGGTAAGTCCGGGGACATTGCCGAAGACCATCCCCGCCCTGGGTCCTTGCTGAGTATTTAGTTCGCTATGGATGGCTGCTTCAATTTCGTACCCACTTTATTCATTCTCATTCACACCTTTATATACAGGACCAGCGTTGTTTAATATCAGCCTCGATTTCCTCCCCGCTAATCGAAGACCCCGCCCGTCTATAATCTAACAGCAATGGCAGACCAAAGACTTCTATCTACTCAACAGATCTCACAGCACAAAACGCCTGAAGACTGTTGGATTGTGGTCGAAAAGCAGGTGTGGGACGTGACCGACTTTTTGGAAGAGCATCCTGGAGGATCTGCAAGTATGTACACCGACAAATATATCTGATGACGACATTTAATAATGTATGTCCTAAACAGTTATCCTGAAGCATGCAGGCGGAGATGCAACAAAAGCCTATTCAGAGGTTCATGCACCCAGTGTAATGAAGAACAATCTCCAACCGGAGAAGTTTAAGGGCGTCCTCGATGAATCTACAATTGACGCCGAGTGGGCCAAACCACCACCGGGGCAGAGTCCCAAGGTGATATTAGAAAACGAGAAACCCCCGCTGGATACACTGATCAACTCGCACGATTTCGAGGTTGTGGCTTCGAAGGCCGCCAACAAGAAGACCTGGGCTTTTTACTCCAGCGCAGCTACAGATTTGATCACACGGGACGCCAATAAATCATGCTTTGACCGCATATGGTTCCGTCCGCGAGTCCTAAGAAATGTCCGTTCGGCAGATGCTGGGACAAATATCCTGGGCGGGAGTTACAAGCTCCCGCTGTTCGTGAGCCCGGCGGCAATGGCAAAGCTCATCCACCCAGATGGAGAGTGTGCCATTGCCAGAGCCTGCGCAAACAAAGGAATTATGCAAGGAGTGAGCTTATATGATATTGTCGTTGTCAGTCACTATGCTTACGGTCTGGGTAGATTTCAAACAACTCATCCTACACTATGGATGAGCTACGTGAGGCAGCACCCTCAGCCGACTTCTTCTTCCAACTATATGTCAACCGGGACCGAGAAAAGTCCGCCGCTCTACTACGCCAGTGCTCAGCGAATCCGAACATCAAAGCCATTTTTGTTACCGTGGATGCCGCATGGCCCGGTAAGCGCGAAGCCGATGAGCGCGTCAAGGCAGACGAGAACTTATCAGTGCCCATGGCGCCGTCTAAGGTGCAGAACGATAAGAAAGGCGGCGGTCTCGGTCGCGTGATGTCTGGGTTCATCGATCCCGGGCTGACATGGGAGGATTTGCAATGGGTGAAACAGCACACGCACAAGCCGGTGTGTTTAAAAGGCGTGATGTCAGCGGATGATGCGCTGCTCGCAATGAAAGCGGGACTTGATGGTATCTTGCTCAGCAATCACGGCGGTCGCAACCTAGATACCAGTCCGCCGTCGATTATCACGCTCCTGGAGATCCACAGGCGCTGCCCGGAGGTCTTTGATCACATGGAGGTTTATGTGGACAGCGG